ATGTACATATGATATAAATATTTAAAGTTTAAAAAATGACGAAAATGTTTATAAATGCAAAACAAAAAAAATTATTGGTTATATAATTATTAATAACAATGATAATTGTTAACTTTCAAATCATTTTTTTACAAAATAGACATACATTACTTAAATAAACATAAATTTGTCTAAAAGAGCAAAACAATTTTTTTTAAAAAAGACCAAAGTTATCTATTTGAGTAACAAAAAAATTAATAAACAATTAAAAATTCAAAAATCGGTTTGAAGGGATCTCTTAGAAATTTTATCCCTTTTCATTTAAGACCAAGAACATCAAAATCCAATAAAATTTGTAGACTCTAGACAATTTTGAAGAGTAAAGTGTAAAAAATCCCACTGTGAGGCGTCCCGGGTAAAAGATACTGCGCTGGCACTGAAACGTGGTCGCGCTTCCACAAAAATTGCAATATCTCGAAAACTATTAAAGTCTCCATCGTTTTCTTTTTTGTAAATGAAAGGTGAAATTATAAGGAATATTTTATTATATATTGAAAAATACTCAAAAATCGGTCCCGTGCTTAATAAATCGATTCAAAAAATTTTTTTTTACTTTTTTTTGAAAAAAACAAAAATTTTTTTTTTCTTTTGAAAAATTCTTAAAGGACATGATTTTAAGTATAACATATTTAAATTTCATTAAAATCCGTTAAATTGTTTCGAAAATATTCACATTTGAAAAAAATCTTATCAAAAAATTCAAAATGGCTTAACTTTTACAATTTAAAAAATTTTTTAAAATCCTTTGGTACACTTATTTTTGTTATCAAATATAACAACTTCACCAAATTACAGAATAATCCGAAGACCCCATGCAAATTGTAATTTTTCTGACGGAGTCTTACCCTTATACAAAATAGTTTAGCTGCTAGGGGAGGGGGCACGAAATTGGCTACGTATGCAAGAGTCACACCAATAGGGTTCCGTCGGTACACCGTAGGTGTACGGAACCGTAAATATGATAAAAAATTATTTGAATTGCTGCTGAAATGCTGCTAAACAACATCCTGAAGGATAGAAAATTTACTATAACTTTTAAGTAGTAGCAGGTCCACCCGTACGCTATCAGACAATTCTAATAATTTTTTAACAGCTGATAATGGCCTGAATTGTTGCTAGGATGTTGCTGAACGACTTTCTGAAGCATAGAAAATTTCATTGTAACTTTTAAGTAGTAACAGGTCCACCCATACGCTATCAGACAATCAAAATTTGGGAAAAAGGACGTTTAAATTTAATTTGTGCAACACCTGCTGGAAAAAAGCTACTTTTCTTTAACATAAATGCAGCACAAAGTTGTCAATTTCTGTACATTTAAAAGTATGCAGGAAAGTGTACTTTCCTGCACACTTTTCTGTAAACAGTATAATATACACTATAATCAACATAAAACTATATTTATTGATTAGAAAAGTATAAAAATTACTTTTTTCGGTAAACAGGTGTTGCACAAAGTACTGTGTGCAACACGTACGAAAGAAGATTTTCCGACGAGTGCAAAGTTTGCTGCTCCCAGCGAAGCGAGGGCAGCAAACTTTGCAATCGTCGGAAAACAGCTTCTTTCTGCACTTGTTGCACAATATACTATTCTGTATTGATAGCAATTTTTATCAGCTAATAATGACCTTAATTGTTGTTGGGATGTTGCTGCACATTATCCTGAAGGATAGAAATTTTATTGTTTATTCGTTTGCTTCTTAGGTACCCTTCTTAGGAGTACGTAACATTTCTTAAATATTTATTCAATACTTTCTGTAAAAATTTAATAACTAGTAAAGTATGAAGTCTTTTTACATTCTCATCAAAAATGAGAAAGTCTTGGATTTGTGGGATTTTGAGCAATGTCTAATTTTGGTAAATCTTTACGTTTCATGACCCCCTGATTCCAAAAAAATGGTTTTTAGAGAAGTGTCTGTCTGTCTGTCTGTCTGTAGAAAATTTTGTCGTCACGATAACTCGAGTAAATTTTTATGAATCGATTTGCAATTTGGGGGACTTTTTTAGTCCATAAAAATGAAGCCTGAGTTCGTTGGACAGCTCATTTCGTCAAAAAATAACAAAAATACAAAATTTTGAAATTTTCAAAATTTTGTATTTTTGGCAATTTTCAAAAAAATATATTTTTTTATTTTTTTTCCTTAAATTTTGAGCAAAAACAAACAACTTTTCCTTTAAATACTTTTTTGTACAACAAAAAACAAAAAAGTTATGAATTTTTTTTTTTTTAAGTTTTTGGGTCTTACGCAGCCAAACGGGTCACGAACTTCTAAAAAATTCTCTAGCTAGAAAATCTTCACAGTATCAAATGAAGGCTTAAGCACAATAGAATCTTTAACCGGAACCGTAATCGTGAGCGTAAGAATGTGTTAGGGAAGGATAGATATATTGTTTATCCTTCTCTAACTCATACTTACGCTTACAGTTATAATTGCGGTTCCGATTAAAGATTCTATTCTGCTTAGGCCTTAAGAACCTGTAGGCACAGAAACTGCTCAGTTAAGGGTGCGTTTATACGACTGTCGATAGAAAAAAAAATACCAAAAATGTCAAAATCGCCTTCACACAAGCTATAAAGGAGTTTCTGCAATAGCTTAAAGATGCATTTTTTTGTCTGATTCAAGCTGCAGTCCCATGGCAGCATTGTAATTGATTTATTTCTCTCCTTCTGCAGCATTAATTGGTAATTTCTTATATAAAATTTTTCTCTATCCACAAAATTAAAATTAATATATCATTTTAGCTGCAAATCAACACATATTTGATGAGAATGTAAACCTTAAAGTCTTAGTAACTTTAAGACAAATAAATATTTTAGCGGCTCAAAAAATGTATTTCGTGTCTGATACGTAGTCTCAGTTGACTGAGTTCGTACCACAGCGAAATATTTTTTGGCGAGGAATCAGTATATTTTAGCTTAATTGCTTTGAAAGATATTATTAATGGAATTTTTTTATATATAATAAGAAACAGGAACCAGAATCCAAATAATGTACAACAATTGTAGACATTTGCGCGCCCCGAGGCGCGCTGAAACTAGCGAGCGAAGCGTGGATGAGAATGTGTCCGCCCGAAGGGCGGGCAGATTTTTTTTTGTTTTAATTGTCAGTTAAAATTTTAAAATTAATTTCCGCAAAAATTCAAGGATTTAATTGAATGAGAAAAAGAGAAGAGTATTGATTCCCGTGCAGAAATTAAAATGTGGGCCTGATAGGGTACTGGACAGTTATCCCGATCTCTGGTGTGGCTCTGGGTAGAGAAACTGACCAGTGCCCGACTATTGTGTGACGCTGTTCCCGACCAATGCCCTACTTAGGGAAAAACTGGTCAGGGCCTCGTCAGTTTTTCTTAAAATTGCCCTATTTTGTGAGGTTAATTTTATTCAAAAGAAATTACAATAAAATTACTGTAATTAAAAATATTATTATATTAGAAACATAATGAACACAACATATTTATACATAACATAATGAGGTATTATAGTCATTTTGACTAATTTAAAATTGAAAATGATAAAAATAATATAATTTCAAGAATAGAAAAACTTAAAAATTTTTGAAAAATATAATTTTTGGTTTTATGATTAATTCATTTTTCTTTTGGAGGTTGTCGCTCCTTTCTCCCTCCTTAATTTTATAATATTAATAAAGGTTATAATTTTTGTTTTCAAATGTATAAGTAATAATTAATATTTATTTAATAAATATTTTATTCAAATTTATTAATTATGTTTAAAAAATAGTTATTAAATATTGAAGGTGTTAAATTTAACAATCTCTCCGAATCATTTTCTCACTTTAAGCTAATATAATATAAAATAATTATTATTAAAATAATATAATATATATACAAAGCAAATGATAAATTCATCCTATAAATTAATAATTATTAAAATTCATTAAGTATAATTTGTTAAAAATTGTTTATTAATTATTATTTTTTAAATTTATAATTTTTATTTTTAAATAAATGTATAATCATTAATTATTTAATAACTATTATTATTCGTTATTTATAATTTAGTTGTTATTATTAATAAATAGACTTTATTATAATATTGTACTTAAAGGAAAAAAAATTACATGTATTTTCGTTTTTTAAATATATTACCATAATTATTTTAAAAAGTGTTTTAAAAGAACACGCTTTTTTAACTTAAATAACTGTATTAAAAAAGTTAATTTTAAAAAATTTAATTTATTTACATGCTTTTAAAACGAGGAAAACTGTCGAGGCCCTGATCAGAGCCCTATTTCATATCTAGTGAACACCCCACTTAGGGTTTTGGCCAGAATTTCTGGTCAAACCCATAAGATAAAAAAATTCTTAAAAATGTAGTATAATTACTCCGTTTAATTAATTTCTTCAATTGTTTATAATTTTATTATGGGGACTAATTTAAAAAACTTAATTCATTTACACTTTATTCAAACGAGGAAACTGTCGAGGCCCTGATCAGAGCCCTATTTAATATCTAGTGAACACCTCACTTGGGGTTTTGGCCAGAAATTCTGGTCAAACCCACAAAATAAAAAAATTATTAAAACGATAGTATAATTACTCTCTTTAATTGTATTCTTTAATTGTTCATTATTTTTTATTAAAAGTAATTTTAGAGATTTAATTTTTTTACACTTTATTTAAACAAGGAAAACTGTCGAGGTCCTGATCAGTACCCTATCTAAAATCTAATGAACACCCTACCTGGGGTTCTGGCTAGGAATTCTAGTCAAACCCCTAAAATAAAAAAATTATTAAATAACTAAAATAATGATTGCCTTTCATTGATAATAGCTTCTACAACAAAAAGGAATTCTAAAAACTTTATTAAAAAAAAAAATTTAATAGGGAAAACTGTCCAGGCCCTGACCAGAACCCTGTTTTAAATAGGGCAAAGTGGGGCATTTTCTGCACGGGTTCCTATTTTATGCAGTAAAACGAGGGAAAATTTTGTTTTGACTCACGGTTTTTCGAACACGAGTGGAAAGTGTAGTTGAGCTTCATGTCTCCAGTTGAATCATTCAATCACCCAAGAATCGCGCGTATGTTTATGCCAAAAATTCAATGCTCTGTTGAGACTTCCATCTTCCTTGTTAGCAATCTGTCAGATTCGTTTATCGCAATCAAGTCTCGAATGTTCCAGTTTCTGCAAAACAAATTATAAATTCAATTTATAATTAGAAAATGTTCACTCAAATTGAAAAAAAGAGTTTCATTTCTTAGTATATCAAATAAAATTTATTAAAATTGACATATTTATTTCAATTAACAACAATTACAATTTTTCCCAGGAGAAATTCTGCTAACAAATAATGAATTGACACTAATTGCTAGTAAAGTTTTTTTACTAAATCATTTGGTGGACGACTTTTTGTCGGTTCATTTACAATTAGAGAGTATGTAACTAATGATGCACAGCCACACAAAAAAAAAGTTCTGACCTGGGGGTCTCACTATGTAGACTTTATGTTTTTTGGGTCGCTGAATCCGAATCCGAGGTCCATTTAACACCATCAGATCAGGATTTTGACATAACCTCAAAAAACCAACATGGCGGACACGTTTTTGACAAATTCATCGGATTCGCTTGAAATTCGTTACTCTGGGGTTTTTGGGGTCGCTGATTACGAATCTGATGTCGGTTTTTCAAAATTCAAAATGGCGGATCCAATATGGCTGACACAGACATATTGGATCCGCCATTTTGAATTTTTGAAATCTGACATCAGATTCGTAATCAGCGACCCCAAAAACCCCAGAGTAACGAATTTCAAGCGAATCCCAGGCGGAAATTTCCAACCGGCGCGGATCCTAGCCCGTACTGACGCCGGTGTAACTGTACTGGCTCGGAACCGCCTGCCAACCGAATGTGAACGGGCATTCTACCGAATAGTGACTAGGCCAGGAGCGCGCTGGCAACCGGCTCGGAACTGGCATTCTACCGCCCGCTGACCGGCCGGGAGAAGCCGTTCCGTGTATAATTCAACCGGCTGGGATCTGGCACTCTACCGACCGTGGATTTTTCATTTAATAGCCAGCCGAGCGCTGGCATTCTACCGACTGACAACCGGGTCGGATCCAAATGATAATTTCAACAAATAGGGTAAGTGTGGGTATTTCTGCGAATTTTTAGTGTAGGTTAACTTTGCGAAACTCGTCTAAGTTTACGAAAAAATAAAATGCAGTTTTTTCAATTACAAATTAAAGTTCAATTATTATATTTTCCAAATCATTAAACTCAATCAAATTTCGTTACTTATTTGTATTTAAAAAAGTAAATTAAAAACTAATTGTCAACACATGTATTATTGTTGACTCGCGATTAATATTGTGTGACATTTATCAAGGAAACACCAATTATTGTGCGAGCATTATTGCAGAAAATCAGGTGTCGCATAGCGCGCTGGTTGTCAAAAAAGAGGTTATGTTTAGTATGCGTTGCGCAGTAAACGTATTTAAAAATCGCAATAATACTAACATGCAGTAAAAATTCTGCTACTAATATAGTTTTAAGTATTATTAATTGAAAATCAATAATATATGGGTAAATTAATATATTTTTCAAATAATAAAGTGTACTTCTTTGATTAGTAACACTGAAACGTGTATACTATAGTGAATATTGGAAATATCAATGGTTTTTAATATGTATTCATGACTGCCATATTTGATAATTTCACAGAATTCTGTCATAATATATTTCAAATTTAAATAAATAAATAAATAATTGTCGGAATGTACATTTTTATGAGCTATTCTATCAAGTAAGATTCAAAATAATTTTTGTAATTATTTTGAAAAAATTAGGCGTGTATTTCAAAATGAAAATAATAATTTTTTAAAAATCGCAATAATTGTGTCACTCGCAGGAATACCCACACTTACCCTATCAATACAAAAAATAATAATTAATTGCAAAAGATAAATACTAATGACAATTCATTGACAGTTCACTTTACACATTTTTTTATACACTTAAACGCAATTTTTTATTACATACACATTTGAAAAATCCTAACGCTTGGAGGTACGAACCTACGCCTAACCGAATATTTACGCACCGAAATCTCGCACGCTAACCACTATGCTACGCTCGCATGGGACTCTCAAATCTTAAATACTCTCAAGTGTCACAAGCTGAAATAAAACTTGTAGAATTACTACGCGTCAATGATACCGCTATATTTTCAATACTTTATTGAATGTATATTTAGGACTATTTCAATATTTCGTTAAAAAAGAAACTTGTTATATTTTTATTATTATATAATACATATATTGAATAATTGTTTTTCAATATAATAATATTGAACGTAATAATATTAATAATTTTAATTAATATCTCAATAATAATAAATTTATTATTATTAAGATATTATTAATTAATTTTATATATTATTAATTAACATTAATATTATTGAGAATTAATAATAAATTATCAATATTAATTAATAATATATCAATAACCATAAATTTATTATTATTGAGATATTAATTAAAATTATTAATATCATTACCTTTAATATTATTATATTGAGAAACAATTATTCAATTATTATTGAGATATTATTAATTAATATTATTATTAATATTAATAATTTTTTATTAATTCTCAATAATATTAATGTTAATTAACAATATATAATATTAATTAATAACGCATTTTTTTAATTATTTAATTTTTAAAAAAGTCTCAATAAATAATTACCTAATATATTGATTAGATTCATTTATTAATAATTATTTTCTAAAATAATGCAATTACTTGTAATAATTATTTAATTTATAATGTGACAATAAATGACGAGATCCGCAGTCGGATCCGCCCCAGTACCGAGCCAGTACAGACTCAACATATCCGTCATTCTTCCGACGCCGCAGAAGAATAAGATCCGCCGGCGGAAGAAATCCAGTACCGAGCCAGTACTGACAATAGTGGGAAGACGGTTCCGACAGTCGGAGCATAATCTGTACCGCGCCGGTTGCTTTTTCAGATCCGAATCGGTACAGACCGTCGGTACTTGCGGTCTGTACGGGCGCGGATCCCAGCCGGTTGTAAACTCCGACGTTCGTCCGAATTTTCCGCCTGGGATCCGATGAATTTTTCAAAACGTGTCCGCCATGTTGGATCCGCCATTTTGAATTTTTGAAATCAGACTTTAAATTCGTAATCAGCGACCCCAAAAACCCCCGAGTAACGAATTTCAAGCGAATCCTATGAACTTTTCAAAAATTTGTCCGCCATATTGTTTTTTTGAGGTTATGTCAAAATCCTGATCTGATGGGGTTAAATGGACCTCGGATTCGGATTCAGCGACCCAAAAAACATAAAGTCTACATAGTGAGACCCCCAGGTCAGAACTTTTTTTTTTGTGTGGCTGTGTTATTAACACAGCCACACAAAAAAAATAAAGTGTCTTGATCTGGGGTCGAGACATATATATTCCGATGCATTTCGATGCGCTGAATCCGAATCCGCCCTCAGAATTTGGCCAATGGGTCCTGGTTTCGCCCTAACCTCAAAAAATACCCTAAAATTAGGGTTGTGAGTGATGAAACGTTTCATTGAAACAATGAAACTTTCATTTGAAAGTTTCAATGTTTCATAAGCGAAAGTTTCATTAATTTCATAAAACATTGAAGAACCAATAATTAAGCTTTATTTGCACATGCGCAGTTGTCAGTTCAGGTTAGATAATCTCTAGAAATTTTAGGTTAGCTCGAAACAATTTAATGAAAATTTTTTGTTTACATCCGAAAACACGAGAGTAGTTATGTTAATATTAACTAAAAATTACCTAAAATATTACCTCTAACGAGTGACTTAAAATTAAATTATTAATATATTTTTTAATTATTTATTTTATTTATAAAAATTAAAGAAAGATATTAAAGTAAATAATAATACTTCATGTTTTTGTCGATAATAATATGCGTTAATTATTATACTTTCTTGCATTGAATTTGAAATTTCCCGCTTAAAACTTGAAACTTTGAAATGTTTCATGAAGCATTGAAACTTTCATGAAACATTTCATTTTCCAAAGTTTCATGAAACTTTACAACCCTACCTAAAATCGTTAAAATGGTCACTTTTGATTTATCAAAATTGAATCTAACCGCATGTTGATAATTTCCTAAGATCCCTTAATTTAAATAAACTTTTCTATAAGCTTTTCAATTGAAAATTCCTATAAAACATTAAATCTATCGAACCTAACCTCAAAAACACATCTAAGATTATAAACAAACAAATTATACCATACACAGCACAATAAAAATTATGTAAGCTCATGAAAGTTACAACTTCAGGTGTTTCTATGACTGCTGATTACGAATCCGGTGTTAGTTTATCAAAATTCAAAATGGCGGATCCAATATGGCGAACAATATAATTAAAATTTGTTTGGATTGGTTTGAAAATCGTTACTCGGGGTTTTCGGGGTCGCTGATGACGAATCCCATGTCGGTTTCTAAAAATTCAAAATGGCGGATCCAATATGGCGGTCTTTATTATTTCAACGATTATTTTAAATTTATTACTCGCGGTTTTTCGGGACCTTTGATAACGAATCCTATATCAATTTTTATAATCTTAAAGTCTCACGTATTGTTTTCTAACAATTTTTTCTAACAATTCGTAAGACTTTAAGATTATAAAAATTGATATAGGATTCGTTATCAAAGGTCCCGAAAAACCGCGAGTAATAAATTTAAAATAATCGTTAAAATATTAAAAACCGCCATATTGGATCCGCCATTTTGAATTTTTAGAAACCGACATGGGATTCGTCATCAGCGACCCCGAAAACCCCCGAGTAACGATTTTCAAGCCAATCAAAACAAATTTTAAGTATATTGTTCGCCATATTGGATCCGCCATTTTGAATTTTGATAAACTAACACCGGATTCGTAATCAGCAGTCATAGAAACACCTAAGTTGTAACTTTCATGAGCTTACCTATTTTTTATTGCGCTGTGTATAGTATAATTTGTTTGTTTGGAATCTTAGATGTGTTTTTGAGGTTAGGTTCGATAGATTTAATGTTTTATAGGAATTTTCAATTAAAAAGCTTTTATAGAATAGTTTATTTAAATTAAGGGATCTTAGAAAATTATCAACATGCGGTTAGGTTCAATTTTGATAAATCAAAAGTGACCATTTTAACGATTTTAGGGTATTTTTTGAAGTTAGAGCGAAACCAGGACCCATTGGCCAAATTCTGAGGGCGTATTCGGATTCAGCGCATCGAAATACATCGGAATACATATGTCTCGACCCCAGATCAAAACACTTTATTTTTTTTGTGTGGCTGTGTAATCAGTCACTGATTTAAAGCAGTAATATTTTACTAGAAAAAATAGTTAATAATAACTCATTATTAATCCTATCGTAATTATTTTGTTAGCAAAGAAAAATTACCTTTCTATAGAGTGTTAAAAAAATTAAAAGGTTTCGCTCCCTTAACGTTTTAAATTTCCACTCATGGCACGTGATAGACGTGAAAATTAACTGGCGCATTTGCACTAATTTATAAAAGTCACTCTCATGTAGACTGAATAAACAATGCCGCCTCTATGATATAAAATTTCATGTCCGGCAATAAATTATTTTTGAATGTTTCTTTAAAGAAAAACAGCCATTGGAATTTAGAAAAGAACTAGAAGGTGAAGTTCGCGTGTAAAATTGCTATACATGCAAAGTTATGAATGATTAATTCTAGCAGGTGTGTTTGTAAACGTTTAACATTTGAAAATATGTAAAAGCACACACAAAATGCATGTATATTCAATTTTCATAAAAATACAATTGCTCATTAAATCAATTTGCTCATTAAAATAGAAACTGTATAATATGTAAACTTTTTATTAGCAATGTGAATATACTTTTGGATTTTTTTCTTCTATTTTGTATATTTTTTTTATATCTTTCTTTTCTGTATACTTTTGATTTTTTGTAAATTTTTGTTTTTTATATTTTTTTTCTTAAATCTAATTAAAAAAAAGTATTTTCTAAAAAATCCCAACCCAGAAAAAATCATTACTTTACGAGTGACTCAAAAAGAAAATTTACTTGAAATAAAATCCACAAATAAACTTTAAATAGCGTTTTGAAGAGTTTAAGAGAACTTTTCAGAATTTGTGGTTTTTGGCCGTTTATCAAAATCACTGATCAATCGAGTCAGTATCTTTTATAATACATACAATTATCGTCTAAAGTTCATGGTTAATTCATTATATTACTTTTAGAATTTAATTACTAAATAACAAAATAAAAATAAGTGACTAAATAACTATATAAGTTATTTGCAATATAGAATCGTAACAATTAAAAAAAATTAATATTTTTAAAAGTATTTAGGTACTATATTAATTTTTCTAGTCAAGTAAACAAATAATTGAATTAATTTTTTATTTGTAATTTGTATATAAATTGCATTTGCACTAAAAACGTTTCTCAATAATATCATTTATTGCACCAAATAAACACTAAAATTATAAAAGTGATTTGAAAACTGTCAATTTTACGATTTTAACTTATTTACTATCTGCGTGAAATATTAATAAATTTTCTCAATACTTTATATTATTATTTATTATTACAAATAAATCACACGAATTGTCTTCTTTCAAGTCCTAAAAATTAACCTTTCGTATTATTTTAAATATCGCCCAATTTAGCAAATTTCACAAATAATAAAACTATATTAATAATAATAAGAGCAAAAATAATAGTTTTTAACAAAATTTCATTTTATAGAAACTTTACCTAGAGATATAATGATAAACTTAATTACATTATACCACCGAATGGTAAATTCATAATATTATAATAACAATAACATTAACATTAATCATAATAATGATGATAGTAATAAATAATAATGCTATTAACTATTATATTATTATATACCAGATAAAAATTCATATAATATTTCAATATCATCCAAGAGAAAAAAAATGTTCAATGAACCATTGCCAATAATAATTGCTCACTCATATGTTCTCTTGACATTGTCAGGAAACAAAGGATAGATGCCTCGTAAATTTAACAACGCTAAGAGATCATAAATTGAATGCTTTTATTATCTCATAAAATTTCAAGTATGAATTATATTCGTGATCGAATTATACAGATGCACTTTCATATTTATCTATTTCCATGTTTGTAATTGAAGTAAATAAATAAATTATATAATATATTATTATTTAATAATTAATAATTATATGATTATCATTAATAATTATTATTATCATTATCGTGATCACTATTGTTATTATCATTACAAGCATTCCTATCATTATTGTAATTATTATCATTATCATCATCAACATCATTAGCATTCCTATTAGTAGCAATATTAGAATTATTATTATTATCACCATCGTTATCATCATTAGCATTGCTATCATTATCTTTGCTATTACCATCTTTATTATCATTATTATCATAATCATCATTAGCATTTCTATCATTATCTTTGCTATCACCATCTTTATTATCATTATCATTACTATCATTATCATCATTAGCATTCCTATCATTGTCATTATGATCCTTAGCATTTATAGCATTATCATTATCATTATCATTACTACACTGAGAGAAAAGAATAGTAATTGTAGTCACCATTTTTTCCAAAATTATTTTTAGTTAGTAAACTATGCTGCTGATAACTTATTGGTTGGTGTTTTCATTTTTATCAGTGAACTTAGCTATTTTATTAGTTGATTCTGCTATTTTTTTGTTGCTCTACCTATTTAATTAGTTACGTTACTAACTAAATGGCTGAATTTACTAACTAAATAGTCAGAGTAACCAATAAAAATTTCCATCGACGTTATTACTAACCAAATATGTAGTAGTCACAACTATTCATTTCTCTCAGTGTATCATTAGCATTCTCATCATTACCATTATCATTACTGTTAAAATTACTGTTCTTTATTTGTTCACCCGTGAGCACATTTCGTACACTTACAAAATGCCCTTCGGGCTTCATCGACTATCTTCGATACTAGTCGTGTTTCATTGGATACGTTCATTACAGTTCGTTACCGACCTTCTCTCATGTCGGACAAGCCTCATGTATCTTATTGAATATATTTCAAGTTCATAATATATAATTGAGTTTTATTCACTGGTTCACACCCTCTATCATCAACAATTACTATCATTCCTATCATTATTATCATCTTTTTTATCATTACCATCATCATTATAATTATTACCATCACTATGCACTTAATTTTGATCACATTAAAATTTTAAATTACAAATTCGAAACCTCGATTAGAATTCACTTTTCAATTTTATTTACTGCAGAACAATTCTTTAAAAAGCAAATTCGGAAAAAAAATCAAAACGTCCACAAGAGAGTCAAAAGAACATGTTTTAGAGGATCTCCTCCTACTATGAGGAGATTGATGTATAGATGCTTCGAGATTAAATTGTGATGAAAACTTGGAAGCAAATGCATTGAATTATAACACAATATTTATATGAGAGAATGGTGTCAGAAAAACAGGGCGTGAATTTATGAGAATTTTCAAACACACGGTCTAGTTGGCCCTTTAACCAATTTATCACACGCATCACTTCAATCGTTTAGGCTTCTTCAACCATTGCATTTATTCTCGCAAATAATTCAAAAATTATTACCCACTTTTTCCAAAATCACTGCACATTATACTTTCAGGATAATTTATTTCCCCGCATATTCATTCAATCGACTTTAGTTAAACTATAAATTAAACTATATATTGCTCGTAAAATAATTGTCCTTTTAAAAAATACGTAACGGATTTTTTCAACCCCTCCCCCTTGTAACATTTTTTTGCATATATTAGCGCCATTTTTCTACTGATAGTAACAAGTATCTTGACCCCCCTGAAAGCGTTACGAATTTTTTGAATTACTTTAAAGTTTTACCTGAAACAACTAAATTAATCTTATTGTTAGAGAAATTCAGTAGAGTAGCGAAACTGTTAACTGTAACTCTAAATTTGAATTAGTAAATTTTATTAATAAATACTAATTTCCACTAATTTATTAGTAAAATTTACTAATTAAAAAGCAAAAAATCAGTCACTAATTCAAATTAATAAACATTTTTACTAATTCAAATTTAAAGTGACTTTTTGCTTTTGAATTAGAACACTATGATAAAAAATAGTTATTTCTACCAAAATATTTAGTAAAATTGACTAATTCAAAAGCAAAAGGTACAGTCACAAATTTAAATTAGTAAACATTTTTACTAATTCAAATTTAAAGTGACTTTTTGCTTTTGAATTAGAACACTATGATAAAAAATAGTTATTTCTACCAAAATATTTAGTAAAATTGACTAATTCAAAAGCAAAAGGTACAGTCACAAATTTAAATTAGTAAACATTTCTACTAATTCAAATTTAAAAATTATAAATAAGAGTAATGACAATTAATAATAATCCACAAGTTTTTAACTTTTAAATGATCGAAATATTTTTTCTTAAAATGTTTCATAAATATTTTTTATTAAAAATATTTTCATAAATTACCGATTGCAATAAAAATTAAGAACTTAAATTTTACTTAAACATAGTAAAGTAATTAGTAATTAAATTATTCATTTTTTGATAATAACGAAAAATTATTTAAATAAAAATTTAATTTGAAAGAGAAATAAATAAATTTTGCTCAATTGAACATTCGGAACCTTAGAATCTGGACGAACGAAAATTATTACACTAAATCTTAGGGAACACTTAGGAGAACTTAGGAGACTGCAAGAAAACTTTTGTCTAATGCTTTTTACAAAAAAACTAATATATCATATATACTTGGACTGATCTTAACTTGCGTTCATTACGGGAGTTTGTATTCTAAAGTTGTATTGGAGAAGTTATTTCTGTTTCGTGGGGAGAGACTCGCTTAGCCACTTCGTGCATCTAGTAGTCTGGCGTTCGCCGCGAATCGCAAAACACTTTTACGAGGGCCTCAACAACATGAGACCATGAAAAAATGCATCATCGAACAATTCAAACGTTATAAGTAATACCGAAAAATTACTAAAGAAAAAAAAAGTTAACATTAATCTTAAACGGTATATAAAGGCTACTCCGAATTTCTCCGAGAGAAAAAAAAATTTCCAACGACCACAATGCAAGACTAATAAAAAATTTACCACAAGAAGAATAATCGGAAACACAATCACAACGGGTCCATTAATCTGATCTCATCAATTATTTTTTTTTTGAGAAATCTTTCCCTTTTTTACACACTATTTCCTTCTTTGTAATAAATATATATTGTGCAAGTAGATAGAAATATGTGACAAGTTGACACTTGAGTATTAATGTACAGGATTAAAGTGTCCAAATTGCTAAAATCTGATTAAAGAATTAAATTTTCAAATCAAAGCTTAAGAGAAGCGTCAGTTTTGTTAATCTCTTTCGATTTTTTTAATCTATCGACGCGTGTGTGTGTCTCTCTCGAAAGAGTAATGATCTCTGAATAATTTATTTGAACCAATCAAAACAATCAATGAATCAGATGAATTGAATGCAGCAGTGTGCCATTTGACATTTTTTCACGCGTGGAAAATTTGCGAATTGGCCAACTACCAGATGATCGTGTGTGCGCCCCATTGGAATCTCGCAAGGCATCTTTAAAGCAAAAATAACTATTATACTCCTCCAAGTGAAAGTAATGCAACCACTTTTTTTCCAATCGAACACCAACGAAAAAGGACAAAAGTTTCTTTCAATCCCAAAACAAAAATGTGATCTTTGATGAATGAAAATAATCCTCCAGTGATCATTTTATAATAACAGTAAAATTCTGCATCTGCAATTTTATTTTCATCTAAAGTGAATTTGATCTAATTCCTGTTCGATCTAATTATTTTGATCCAATTACTATATTTATCTGATTACGATTCGATCTAATTACAATTTTTATCCAATTACAATTTGGTTTTAATTACCATTTGGTTCTAATTACAATTTGGTGCTAATCACCATTTGGTTCCAATTACAATTGGTTCTAATTACGATTTGGATCTAATTACGATTAAATCTTCAAGTTCTGTATATTTTTTCCCAACCATAAATTTTATTCTCCAACGAAATGATAACGAGTTTCAACAAAAATTCATCCAATCTGTGATCTTGTATTTTAAAAGTATTGAAAAATAACGTTCCAAAATTAAGAATTTATTAAGGGTTTACAACACCAACGAAAGTTTGTGAATATTGAATTAAAGTACACAAAGTGTCATTACTTTTTAAATTAAAGAGTCAAAATTAATCAACAATCAAGCAAAATAAAAGAAATCTTCCCTCACGAAAGATAAATATTTCGCATAAATACATAAATATTCAAATGATAAAAAATCCACTAGTGATTATGATCTACAAATGGATAAAAGGAATCTAGTCTACAAATTTTCTACAAGAAAAAACAATACTCCAAAAGGAATACTACTAGTACTTTACTACTACTACTACTACTAAAAGAAAAATCAATCAAAATGCAAGCAATGGATCGAAATGTGTCTCAAAATAAAAAAGAACAAAACGATCACTTGAAAGAAATTTATAAAAATGCCTAAATTGTAGAAAGAATGAAAGAAAATTCACACTAAGTTTCTATAAATTCGGAAAGATGTCCTACTGCAGAATCACGGGCAGGAGTCGGGGACTCCCAAAACCAAATTACTTCCCCCTTTTACCACCAATAAGTCCTGCTGATGCAAAACGTTTTTGCCGCATCACCGGTAAATCCTATGGATTACCAACTCATCACTACATTCCAGTTCTTTTGGGTGTTCACACGCATGACAAATCAAAATGTAAAATCACCAGTTCATCCGAACATGGTCCACATCATTTCACCGATGGTTTGATATTAGGTGAAAAAAAGAAGCACGTCGTTCTAAAAGACTACCGCTACATATTTCCCATACTAAAAGGTGATGGCGAGGAACAAAAAGCCCTTCGCGAATTACTCACTAAAAAAGAGACATCACCAGAAGAGGAGAAATGCAATTTTGTCTACAGAGTGGATGAGAGACGATGCAGTCTCGTTTTTCCAGCATGTCTCGAAGCTGCTGTTCGCGATGGTGACGTGCGCGATGTTATGCTCTCCAGAGATTGTGATAGTGTCCTCCTGAGACTGAAGCAAGGCAAAAATGTTTCCGTTGACTTTAAGAATTTGGAAAATTTCGACGACCTTTACGAGGGACTTGGACCACGAGAGGATGTTGTTAAGGAGAGAGAAAAACAAGAATCAGAAGCAAAAAAGAAGAAGAGAAAACGACAGAATGTTTTGAATCATGCGAAGAAGATTTTTGAGGATAAAGAAAAAGCAGCCGAGGAGGAGGAACTAAAAACAGCGAAACAGTTGAAACTAAGAAGCATCAAAGAAGAACGAGACGACAAATTAGTTGATTGGAAGCATGTGGACATTGGTCACGCGAGATCGAGAGGAAGTTTAGTCATGTCTTCCAGTGAATGGAGAGACTGGATAAAGCCTTTGAATCAATCCTGCGACTGGTCGACTTTCGAAGAAACTACCATCCAAGGCACTCCGGTTGTAGATCAAATTCCAGAACCCGTAAACATTAAACCTCAAATTATCAACCTTGACGACACTCCCCTAGGATCGATTAATACACCAATTGCCGAAAAAACGGGCGGATTCGAGGCGATATCGGTCGTGCAACCATTTGCCCCCCTCACCTTGGAACCCGATCTTCAAGTTCAAGAGGCACTGAAAAATATTCCTTTGGACGATTTAAAAACAACAATGAACGTCGATCGAAATTTCGCCAGCGATAAGGAGTCCCTGGAAACTTTACCAAAGGTCGATGAAATTCCCACCCTGATCAAGAATTTCGCCAAAGGAGAAAAAGCCGAACTTCTAAAAGTTAAGGGCCTAAAACTCGACATTAACTCAGCACAGAAATTCATTGCAGGGCAAACGATACACACCCCCACGGGCCCGATTTTCGTACCCGGACAAACTTTATCAACTCCCAAGGGTGATGTTTTCGTTCCTGGTTTCACGGTCAAAACACCCGAGGGACCAATGTTGATTCCTGGACAAATTATCTCAATTCCGGAGGAGAGTGGAAAAATGACGCCCGTCTTTGTTGCTGGCCAAACACTGAGTACTAAGAATGGAGAACAGTTTGTTCAAGGTCAAACTATTCAAGTAAACGATGGAGCGAAATTTATCCCAGGACAAACCGTGTTAACCAAAGAGGGTCCAAAATTCGTCGCTGGTCAAGTGACAACAGACGGTAATTTCATACCAGGTCAAACGATTTCAATGTCTCAAGGTAGTAAATTCATGCCTGGTCAAACAATAACCGATCAACATGGAGAACAACTGTTTGTCCCAGGTCAAAGTGTTCAGATACAGGACTCATGGGAATTTGTTCCAGGCCAATGTCTCAAGACACCAACCGGAGATGAGCAATTCGTCCCTGGACAAACAATGCTAACTACCGAAGGTGCCCGTTTTGTACCCGGTCAAACAGTCATTCAAAAATCAGGAGAACCCTGTTTCGTTCCTGGTATTTCACTCGAAACGGAGGAAAAATTGAAGTTCATCCCCGGTATCACAATGAACACACCTGAAGGTATCAAGTTCGTTCAGGGACAAATGGTAAAGACAGAAGACGGAGAGAAATTCGTTCCCGGATTAACAACGAACGGAAAAGATGGTCTTCAATTTGCGGCTGCGAAAAGCATCAACGAGGTTGTATTTCTAGAAGCCACACCTGTCGGTCTCGCCATAGATCCAAAAACAGCAAACGCAATCTCACACTTCCAGCAGCAGGAAATCTTTGGCCACATGGTACAAACGGACAAAGGTGTTGAATTTATTCCCGAAAGTGTACAAAAGTTTCCCGAGGGGAAGAGAATAGTTCCAGGACAATTAGTTCGAGGTGGTAAGGACAGTCCTCGATTCGTACCTGGAGTGATGACTGATGATGGCTTCCTTCCAGGTCAAATAGTAATGACCGAGAAGGGCGAACAGTTCGTTCCTGGCCAGGTAGTTGACACCAGCGCTGGACCCAAGTTCGTTCCAGGACAAATGGTAGAAGCCCGTTTGGGAACAAAATTCGTCCCCGGTCAAACTATCGAGACAGCAGATGGTCCCAGATTCGTTCCAGGTCAAATAGTCGAAACCAAAGCTGGACCAACGTTCATTCCTGGCCAAGTGATATCAACCGAAGACGAAGGTTCAAGATTCGTTCCCGGCCAAGTTGTCGACACACCAGACGGACCTAGATTCGTTCCCGGTCGTGTCGTCGAGTCCAGTGAGCACGGAGTGATTTTTGTGCCCGGTCAAATTGTTCAAACCGAAGAAGGACCAAGATTTGTCGCTCCAGACTTGACGGACACTCCCGAAGGGGAACTCGAATTCTCCGTTCAAGGCTTTGAAGTGACCCCGGAGGAACTCCGTCTCTTGAGACCTCAGCATTTACACTTCAATGCCACTGCTCAGCATCACGGTGAATCGTGCATTGATTCTCGCATGCTTCAAGAATTATCCAAAGCCGGAATGTCAGTTGGAAGAAAAATCTCCACCGATTTACCAAATGTCGACGTCGAAATGGATCCAAAAGCAGTCACTCTCGAGCAAGCTCTTGTAATTGCCGAGAAACTCGGTCTCAGAGGTACGTCTGCAGTGAAAATGGCTCAAGTCGTCTCGACCGTTGCTCAATTAGCCAAAAATATCGTTCACCAACAAAACCAACATATCGTCATGAATGGAGAACAATCAAACGATGAAGAACTTATCTCCGTTTCTGGTCTATCTCACAAGTTACAAAATGGAGAATCGACCAAGATCGAAGAGAATCTACAGAGTCGACAGACTCTACAGGATCAACAGAAACGAAATAAGAAACTAACAAAAGTCCACAAAAATCAAACAAACGGTCACGATATTTTGCCAAATGGAGATCATCCTCTACAAAATGGTCTCCCATCAAATAAAACTCATCAACAAAACGGGGAACATCCGCAAAATCACAGTCACGGCCAAATGAATGGAAATTCGATTCTAACAAACGGAACAGAAGAGGAAATGAATACAAATTGGTTACACACCGCAGTGAAATCTGCAATATCAGCAGCAATAGTCACTCTGACGAACGAGAAAATCGAGAACGGTCAGGACCTCCTCTTATCATCAATAAGTGAAGCTTTCAACGTCCTCCTAAGGCAAAAATCACCAAACATGGACGAATCAGTGGACGAAGTACTACAAATACTTCTAATCCCACGAAATCGCAGTCTACTTTGTCGCCAAGTTCTGATCGACTTAGCCGAGGCAAATTACAACAAAGTAGACCTTTTAAAATCCACCCTGATGAATTATTCCCTAAACGAGGAGGTTGTCCTAGAAAAGCTCTTTCAAGTCGTCGAAGAAGAGCACGGCAGTGACCTCTTTGTTTCAGCTTTCCGCGCCATGTCAAAAGGAGATCCCGATTTACTTTCCCGAGTATTGAAAAAAGTATCCGAAGAAGTGTCAACGGTGGAAACGGAGAAAGAAGCCGCAGAAACGGTGCATAAGGCAATTGTTCAAGCGGTACGGGAATCAAGTGAACTTAGGGTAAAAGAATTATTAAACGATGAGGGCACGAAGGTGAAGGAGATGCTTCTTCAAGCTGTCGGATTAGCAAGGGCTTTGGGAATGACCTCAACAGCGAGTAGTCTTTTGGCAGTACTCAGTGATGTGAAATCGACCCGAGTTCTAGCAGGAGATAAAGTGACACTCGACATTCTTAAAAGATTGACAGTAATGAGAAAATTAGCGGAGGAGAGACCGCAATTTGTATCAGCTCTAGGTGATCTTTGCAGTGATCCAGAATTGGCGAGATCGGATCCAGTTTTAAGAACACTGGTCCGCGAGAGTGCGGCTCTGATGATCGTTCCCGAGGAAGGACCTCTACAGTCGTCGATAGATGTTCCAACATCTTTACTGCATGCCGAGAACAGTCTTGCTATTGAAGAATTCCTAATGCGAAGGAGTCATAGACCCTCGTCGATATTTATGATCTTGAAACAAGGTTTCCAGTGTGTTGTTCCAAGGGAGGCTGCGAGGAGTGTATTGACAGGAGAGGTTGCCTATACTGTTCTCGATGAAGATGGTATTCATCATTTTGAACCGCTCAATGTATTTTCGGCACTGAGAATGAATAAACCAGCTGCACATCGATTTTCAATGTACTGCTGTCCAGTGGCCAGGGAAGAGGATATTGACACTGAGATGCTATCTACTTTTAATGGACCAATTCCAATAACAAACACTAGCAGTTTCGATGAATCGACATTCGAGAATTATGAAAGACTAGAGAGCATCGGCGTTACTTTGTCAAAGTCTGACAAATCCGTTGGATGCGTTGACGGTCGGGAAAATACACCCAGCTTCCGGAAGATTTGTAACCTCTATCACGAGAGGGTAATTGCAATTTTTTTCCTACTTTTAAAGAACCAATTCCCTAATTAACTTAAGTAGAACTAATATTTTCAAACCATTTTATCATTATAACAAATCATTTCTTTCCATAGACATTTTTGTTAATTTTACTTTAAGATTAAAAAATAACTCGAAACAAAGAAATTTACAAAACACAAGGTTCAAAAATAAATATAAGCCAAGAAAAAAATCCGAAATGACGCAAAACATAAAACAGACGTACAAAAATATTTCTCTTTTTGCTTTCAGAAATCGGAAAATTACGTGGTCGTTAAGGAGTTCGCTGAGGGCAACTTTTCAGTGGATGTCGGTGAAATCGTCGAAGCCGTCGAATATGGGGATTCAAAGTAAGCACCGTTTCGTTTGAGTACGCACGCATCAAAGAAAAGCAAATAATTAAAGAAACAAAAAGAAAAAATAAATTTTGACGCTTAGGGAAAACAGAATCTCTATAAAAAAAAAGAAAAGAAAACAAGTTTTTGACGCTTAAGAAAAGAAAAATGCAAAAAATTTTTTCAAGCTTTTAACAAAAAAATATAATCCAATGCAAAGTTCGCTGGCACATTGGACTTTGTATTTGTGTGTGTGTTGAGGTACAAATGTGTAAACATGTATGAGTGTTGCATTGCTATTTTGGCAGCGTGATAATTTTGGCTTTCTAAATATAGCTATACCATAGAGAATAACGCATCTAAACGATAACAGACAGCCTGCCACATGGATCTCTCGCGATTTACTATATGAACTTTTTAATAGGTTTTTTTCTCGTGAAAAACAATAAACATTAAGCAACAATGGCAACATTGAAGTCTAAAGAGAGTAGATAACAATGAGCTTCCGAAAAGCTTCTCTGCCAATTTCCGACAATGTCAATTTACACCACTCAAGAAATTCGTTTAAAAAAAACAAAAAGACTTCTTTTCTTTCAGTTTACATATTAATATTTAAATAATTTTCTCTTATTTAATACATTGTTAATATAAATTACTCTTGCTTATTAATATATTAATATAAATTATTCTTGCTTATTAATATATTAATATAAATTACTCTTACATATTAATATATTAATATAACATTACTTTGCATACTATTATATTAATAAATATTAATAAAATAAATTAACATAAATCACTCTTGTATATTACTACAAAATGTTGTATTATTATCACTATATAAATTACTCTTGTATATTAATATATTATATTAATTAAATTTGCCATTATTTATTAATATTATTAATTTATTTTCATTAATAAATTACTTTCTGCGTGTAATGATTATAAAAGATAAGTGTAAATTATAATCACTCCCATAAGGCCATAGTATTAATTTAATAAATATTATAATAATAATAAAAATAATAATATAATGTACAGAAAATAAATGCAGCAATATTAAAAAAATATTTTTCAGCATTTTCTTTTATAACTTTACGCAAGCAGTCCCCTTAATGTTCAGATACAAGTAAAAAATAAATACAAACTATTTTTATTTAATAATAATTATTAATATTAATTATTAATTCATCATTAATAGTCAATTCAGATTTTATTATAAAAAATGCTTAAAATTATTTTAGGTTTTCTAAAAATAATAATGAAAATTCAAATTTAATTAAAATTAATATCTATCGTAATTCCTAAAATTTTAATATTAATTACTATTAATTATTATTAATTTAATAGGATTTATATTAGTTTTTATTAGTTAAGTAATTATTAATGTATAAAATAATTACTAGCTTTTTAAAATAGTTTAACAAATAAATTGTCTTCAAATAATATTCAAGCTTTAAATGAACTAATTTTTTATAAAATGAATTAAAATAAATAAATTTTTATTAAAATTTATTAAAATTGTGTAAGATTCATAAAAATTAATTAAACATTTTTTTAATTTCATAAAAGAAATGTTTCAAATTAATTAAAAGCTTCGTAATTCTTCCAAAATTCAATTTTTTCAATTTTAAAATAAAATTATTCAAAACCAACTTCAATCATTTTTAGTTCAACGAGAATTCAATTATTTAAAAACAAAAATAAATATAATTAATAGAATTATTATTCTATTAATTATATTTATTTTTGTTTTTAAATAATTCTTAAAATTCTTTTTTCTTTTTCTTAAAATTCAATTCTTATACAGAATTTTATCCAAATTTATTACAATAATTGAATTCTTGCAACCATATTGCATTATGGTTAAAGTTTTATTAATTTATTGTAAAAATAATTAAATTCCTGTGAACATAAAATTTTTGAAAGTAATTGAATTTTTTTTTGAAGTACTTTTTTATTAAAAATTTTGAGAATAATTTAATTCTTTCGAGAAATTTAATTACAATTGAAAATAATCCAATTCTTATAAACAAATTTTATGAAAATTATTAAAAATAATGAATTTGTTTAAAAGAATTTTATAAATGTTTTTTTAAACCAGTGAATTATTTTGAGAATTTTTATTAAAATAGAAGATATTGAAAATAATTAAATTCCTGCGAAGAATTCTATCATTTGTGAAAATAATTGAATTTTTGAAAAAAATTAAATTCTACCGACGAATTTTATTAACCCTAGAAGGAGTACGTTAGTTTACTCACCCTCTAAGGAGTAACTGGGGTGTCCCGACACCCCACGCTTTAAACTTGTTTTATAAGGTTTCTATTTGACGTAAAAAAAATTCATTATAATGAATTGATTGGTTTTTTAGTAAGGAAGACAATAATATTATTCATATTTTGATAAATTAAAAAAATTTTGAAAAAAAACCATAAAAAACCCAAAAAAACACCAAAAAATTGCAAAATTGACTTTTTTCACAAAAAACGTTGTAGTTTCTTAAAAATTTGACTAATTTTAAAACTATTTTAGGTTTTTAAAGTTAAATAGATACACTTTTAGGGGAAAAAAATTAGTTTTTGTATTACTTCCAAAAAACATAATTATTTGAACATCTGAAGTGAAAGAAATTAAAGACAATTGACGAATAGTGAAAATCATAAAAATGAACTATAAAATGGACTTGAATAATTAATATTTACTAAAAATGGTGTTGAAAATTTAAAATTTTACAAACTTGATATATCTGAATATATTAACATTAAAATTTACAACTTGTGAAATGATTTTGTAAATTCATATTTAATCAAAGTTTTAATTAACAATTCTTAATACCTCTAATATATGTTAAAATATTATTAACAATATAGAATTTATAATTTAAATTTGACTGTCATATACTACATTTTTCTGTATTAGAATTTAATTTCTGACTGTAGAGAGAGCACAGAAATTTTGAATAAATCTTAACTCAAATTTCATAAGTTGTTACAAATACAGAATGTCTATTTTTCATAAAAATAGAATTTTTGTATAAAAATGTTTCTTTTTCATAAAATACAACTTTTTCATGCATAACCTATCAATTTATATTTTAACAGATGATTTTAACTGATTAAAAACGATTTTTTAAAAAAATTTGAATTTACTTATCTTGACAATTTTTCTAACGTTAGGGAGTAACTGGGGTGTCCAGACACCCCAGTTACTCCTTCTAGGGTTAAAATTGACGAAAATAATGGAATTTTTAATCAAAGATTTTGAAAATAATTGAATTCTTTAGAGGAATTTAATTTCAATTGAAAATAATTGAATACTTATAAACAAATTTTATCGAAATTATTAAAAATAATTGATTTCTTTAATAGAATTTTGTAAATTTTTTTAAAAATAATTGAATTATTTCGAGAATTTTTATAAAAATAGAAGATATTGAAAATAATGGAATTCCTTCGAAGAATTCTATGATTTGTGAAAATAATTGAATTTTTGAGGAAAATTTTTGAAAATAATTTTTTTCCCTTGAATTTTTCTTTATAAAATAAGAAATTCTTTTAATTCTATTTTAAATTTGTTTTCTTGGATTTGCTTATAAGAATTTTTCCTCTTTCTTTTTTTTCTTCTTTTTTGTAAATGAAAACTGACTTTTTCCAAATAAAGTGTAATGTACGAAGAAATTTCAATAAACAAATTTAAGATAGATGCTATTCGTGTGAATTTATCAAAACAAAAATCTCGTTTGAAAACTTGCAGCAGTGATTTTATATGAAATGAAATTCGAAAAAAATCTTTAAAAAAAGAAGAGGGGGGGGGGAAATGCACGCTATTCATTCTGACGCATCTCGCATGTATAATAGTGTGAAAGTTAACGATCTGCAGATCATAAAATCCAAAAAGAAAAGATAAATGGTGATGCTTTGAAAGAGCGTTAACGACATAAGCACGTAAAATTGAAAAATGACGTATGTAGACATTCATTATTGTGAGACGTGAAACAGAAAGGATCATTGCTCCGCCGTTGAAGCTTTTTTTTCTGTTTATTTTTGAAAACGTATTTTTACGATCTTTTCGAGTCTATAATAACCAGTCATTATACAACTTTGAGGGAAAAATTATTAACGCGTGTGAATGCTCATTGATATTGTATATCGATATTATTGATATCTACATTTTTATAGGTATATTTACTAATTAATATAATTAATTAGTAAATAAAAACTAATTATTATAATTAAATTTAGTGCATATTATAAACTAAAAAATATCATTTTCATTAGTGCTAATTTATTAATAATTTATTTTTATTGTTAGTGCATATAGACTTATTAATACAATTAATTGCAATGTATTTTGAAATTTTTACTAAAATTTAATTAGTACTGTTACTAATTTATTTTAAAAACATAACAATTGCTGCTGAATTAGTCAAAAGCGACTAATTCAGATTTAGAGAGTACAATTAATTAGTATATCTAATTTAATTAATATAATTAATTGGGAAATCTGAACTAATTTGTATAATTAATTAGTATATCTAATTTAATTAATATATAATTATTTAGAAAATCTGATCTAATTAATATAATTAATTAGTATTACTAAAATTTTATTCCTATAATTTGCATATAATTTACTCGGACGTTAAAAATTGATTTAATAGTATTATTAATCTTTGCGAATTATGTTACTTATTAGAGTAAATTACTACTTTTTTCCTCAATTAATTTTCAGAGTTTTTAAATAATTTTTTTACATACAGTCATTCCTGAAATTTTATCAATCCTTAAACACTTAATTTACTACTAATTAATTAATTAATTAAAAAAGTAAATAATTAATTAAATTAGATCATTTTTCCAAAAAAAGTATATTCAAATATTTTTCTATTAAAAAATAAATAAAATTATTATAATATAAATAATAAATAAAAAAAATTATTTACAATTATTTTATAAAATACTGACTTTACGGACCAAAAATGAAAAATTGCGGATTAATTGCTGACAAAAATATAACCAGTCCGAGTCAAATAAGAAAACATTTTACTTAAAACTATATAAATAAAATTTTTTCATAACAATAATTTATTTTCATAACGCGGTGCAAAAAAGGGCACTTTTTTGCACCTTGTTATGATAAATATCGTTCGTAACTAGTGCGAGCAGTTTGTTCCAAAAAAAGTGCTCATTCAAAAATTGACAACTGCTCGCACTCGTTAATTGAATTCTTATAAAGAATTCTATCAACAAATTTCTATTTATAATCAAATCATTCTATTTATAATTAAATGAAAATAATTGAATATATTGCGAAGAAATTTTAAAAAATAAAATTATAATTACGGTGACTAACTTCCCAAGATTATTTTAGAAAAATTTAAATAAAATTCTTTAAAAGACGTTAATTATTTTTAATAGAATGTAAAGAAATTTCAATTATTTCAAAAATTATCAATTATTTGTTTATAAAAATTCAATTATCTTGAAACAACAGAATTGAAAAATTTCAAAAATCTTAATTTTCAGAATTTTCAAAAATAAACTTTGCGAAAATTCAATTCCATTAAAAAAATTTAAGTGCGTATATTTTTTTAAATTAACTAATACATAATATTCTAATTATTAATCTTCGCACAAAGAAACATGAATACATTAGAATGTGACTCTTTATAAAATTCAACTATTTATCAAATTATTAAATTAAAATACTTTGAAAATTCGATTTGTTAAAAAGTTTTTAATGAAATGAAATGAAATTCTTTAATAAATTTTATTATTTTTAGTTGAATTCCGCACTAAATTTCTATTAATTCGATAAATTTTTTTTAAATTTATTTACATACTATATTTGAATCAGTGACTGATTTTTTACTTTCAAATTAATTATTTTTAACTAATTCAAATTTAGAGAACAGTATAAATATCTATAAAAATTTAAATAAATAGATAGGTAGCGATTTTTTAAAAACAAATTAAAATAAAACTTTTTTTAATTTGTTGAAAAAATTCCCGGTTTTGCATAAAATTCCTGGCTTACTCCCGATTTTTCCCGGTCAAATTAAATTCCCGTATTAATTATATCGTATAATTTACGAACTTTTCGTTCTTTTCAATCAAATTACAGACTTTATGGACCATTTTAAAAAAAACTTACTTTTACGGACCTTTACGGAATTTACGGATCTAGTTCGAGCCCTGTAATTTGTATCTTTTTTAAAATCAAAAAATTATTTTGTATAAAAAAATGATTTTTAATAAAAATAAACGTTTCATTTTAATTATTTTTCTTTTTCGTATTATTAATATTAAAAAATATTTAAATAGAACAAAATTTCGTTCATTTGAATGTATTCAAAACTTTAGAAACATTAATTCCCATGAACTATATTCAGAAAATCAATATCAAAAAAATGAAAATCGTATACAAAACTTTCAACATCGCGTCATGCTTTTCTAGTAATTCTATTTTAGCATTCACATATCAACTCTTGACGGTAATCGTATATTCGTTTCATTTTGCAATTTCCTAAGATCTTCGAATCTCGTTACTCTCGTCAAAGGGATATATTATATGAAACATCAACTGCAAATGGATATAAATAAATATAAAAAAAGAACTAACGAATCACTCACGTGATTATATATATTTCTTAATATCGAAACAACTAAAATTAAATATTAAAATTTCAAACAAAATATCTGGAAATTTGGCAGCTATTATTATTTTCAAAAGGGACACACATTTAATTTGCTTTGCACACTAATAAATCAACCTACTAATTGCTTAAAAATCCCGATAATATACGTAACATAACGGAAATTTATATTAATTAATAGATTTTCATATAATTAATAATACGAAAATAAATATTAATTAATATAATAAATAATACGGAAATAAATATTAATTAATTAACATTAATATTATTAATAATACGGAAATTAATAAAAATGACGAAATTGAACTTGAAGGCAATAACAATAAAAAAACATAATGAAATAATAAAAATTGAACGACTAACGAGGAATGGAACATCTTGCTTTTGAATTAATACCTACAGATAATAATTGGCAAAGCTGCATGGAACTAAAAACAAAATCAACAAAAGGACTAATGGAAGATAATGAAGAACAATATTCTGAAGAAGAATTTTTGACATTGTTTTTTTAGGAAATTGAAGCTAGATCCTGAATTAGAAGTCGGTGAAGTCAGTGACCGATTGGATAGTTCGGCTGCCAAACATAAATTGTCCGTAAGACCGCGAAAAAAATATGCGGATCCTCGAGCTCGTAATATTTCAAGGTCAAGTTCAGACTCCAATATCAACAGGTACGTTACAATACAAAAAAAAAAGAAGAAAAAATATCTTCAATTTATTTAACATCAGTGAAAAGATTCCCTTAATTCAAAATTATTAAACTAATAAGCTACTCGACAATTTTCTACACTGAACAAAAAATTTATTTTATTCAAATAACCAATTACTTGACTATTATCAATTAAATATTTACTTGAATTAAATAATATTTATTTTAATCAATCAAATAAAAATTATTTGATTCAAGTAAATATTTATTTGATAATTATATTCGGTTATTTGAATAGAATAAATTTCTTTTCAGAGTACATATATTACTAAAAAAAGAATATAAAAAAATAAAAAGCAACTGCTCGATTCTTTTCTATTTACTAAAAAAAAAAGAAAATTAAAAAATAAATAAATCGTAAATACCAAAAAAATTAAATATTTACTTATTTTATTAAATATTAATATAAAGAAATAAACAAGGTTACCGCAAAAGTTTGATTTTGTTTTTCCCTGATTTACAGACAGAATTTTGACTTTTTCCCTGACCCTAAAAAATATTCTAATTCACTCTAAAAATTAGATATACGAGAAAATATTTCTAATTCTTTTATTTGTAAATATATTATATCTTCAATTGTAAAAGTATTCGAAACATAAATAATTTTTTTTCCTTAATATAAACATTTAATAGAAGTACTCGTATTCACATGTCCCTCTCTAGCCATAGTCAAGGGAAACCAGGCGCAGATCCAGGGGGGGGCACAGTTACATGCCCCCCCCCCCGAGAATTCAAACTTCCTGGAATTTTTTAAATAAAAATTTCATTCATAATAGGTCATCAAGCTAGCGTCTAGCAGATGCCCCCCCCCAAGAACCTTGTCTGGATCCGCCCCTGAGGGAAACTACGGAAAACCTTAACTGAGTACAGCCGATTTATCGACGCCGAGTCTTTGATGTATAAATTCGAAGTCTCGAATATTACACAACCAAGTCCTCGACGTTCAAATCTCCCGCTCAGATTATCTCACGTGCCGGAAAAATCCCAGGCTAATAGGCGCGAACCAAGTACCCTTGGTCCTAAGCGTCCGCCGAGCGAGGCATTTATCCGACTGAGCTAATCTGTCGGCTAAATTAATTTTCAAAAAAATTATACAAATTAAGTATAAATAAATAATTCACAAATGAATATGAAAAATATTAGGAAATTTTTTCAAGAATTAAATTATTTTAAAAATAAATTCGAATTCATATTCTGTAAAACTAAATTATTTTTAGAAATATAAAAAATTTATGTTTTTTTATTAAAAATCGTGGTGACTTTAATTTTAAGGTAAACAAAAAAATTAAATTAATAATTGCAATAAAATAAATAAGTAAATTAATTAATTTTCAAAGGTTACTGAATACCAAAAACTAGAATTTTTTATCAATTCTAGAAATTTAATACTTTTTCCAATTTTGATAAATTTCCTGACTTTTCCCTGATATCCATAACCAATGGCAACCCTAATAAATATTTAACTATTTTATTCAATAATATTAATATTAATAAATTAATATTTCTATTAGTAAATGAATACAATTTTAATTGCATCAAATAATAATTTAATAAACTAAAATTTTAAACAAACACTAATTTATTCACTAATATTGATGTTAATAAAATAAATATTTAGAAATAAGTAAATATAGAAAAAAGAAAAAAAAATAGAAATTCTATATATTATTTAGAAAGATAATAGAAATATTGAAAATAAAAATTTTGAACTTTGGTTATCTTTTAAAAAAAAGGTATCAAAAAATTCAATGATCGAGACACATCGAAATCAATTAAAAGCATTATTTAAGACAAGAGAAAAAGTTAAATCTTCAGTAGAAAGGAAGAAAAGTTGTTGAACTTGAGGAAGAAATACACGAACGCCAGGTGCAATGTGTGAAGAAAATGATGATAAAGTTAAGTTTTGTATATATAAGTCATATGAGAAGAAAGACTAAGCCAACGACCCTATCATTTCTCACCCCCCTCCCCCCCGACTTTGGAGTATATGACGCTCGCAATTGAGACGCCTGTTTAATTAATTTCAATTCATAAATCTCAATGTGAATTCTCCATCTACGAAAACAATTTCGAAAATTCCTGGAAAATATATTATATTAACATCCACTACTGTAATAATTTATATTTTTCCCTGGAATCAAGAGCTGGAAATTATAAATTTCCCTCGCTTCAAACACTTAAAGTAAAGAATAATTTTTCCCTCGTAATTTTCAATTTCATTTACAGGCCTCGGATAGTTCGAATTTTTTGACTTTTTTTGACTTGTTTTCAAAAAATGCGACTTTTCGAACTATTTTTAAAAAATGTGAATTTTTAGACTTTTGTTGTAACCAGTCAAATATTTCAAAATTCATTTTTGATAATTTTTTTACAAGATAATTAATCTTCAAAATATACATATATATAATTAAACAGTTTTTAAATAATTGAAGTTTTATAAAATTTTATTGACAATAATTGATTTTTTAAGCATTTCATTAAAATTTTTAAATTAAATACGAAAGTTCAATTTTGGAGAATTTGAAGAATTTTAATTGTAACTTTTGAAAATAATTGAATTTTTAAAAATTGTACCTAATGAAAAATCAAAATAAAAATTACTTTAAAAAAATTACAGTAAAAAATTATTTTAAAAAGTAGGTAATTTTTAGGATTATTTTCAATATTTTCAGTTACATATTTTCAAAAATTCAAAATATCTACATAAAATAATTCTGTTTGAAATATTTCAAGAAATCTAATTTTTTCTAGTTATAAAATGTAAAATGCAGTTTTTAAGATAACAATTATTTTTAAAATTTTTAAATAAATTCTTTAAAAAAAACTGATTAGTTTTTTAAATAGTCAAAAAATTCTTTTAATAAATTCAATTATTTTTCAAAAATAACATTATTATCTACAAAAATAGAAAATTAAATTTTTTTAGAAAATCTACCTTAGACAATTAAAATTTTGGAAAAATCATTTTTTTTCGTATGTGCAATTAAAATTCCTCAAAAACTTGACTACCTATTTTTTAAATAGTCAAGATTTAAATAGTCAAGAATTCTTATTATTTAAATGATAAGAATATTTTTCAAAAATTCTTTTAAAAAAATACAATTGTCAAAAAATTTTACTAAATTTCATTTAAAATTTTTCAATATTTAATTAAAAAAATCTACTATCATTCAAAAATATTCTTCAAAAACTAATTCTAAGAATTTAAAAAATAAAAATTTTTTAAAATTTGATTATTTTAAATATTTTTTGTTATATATTTTCAACAGTTCACCTCAATTAACTTAATGAGAAATCATGAGTCGTTTTATAGTTACGAATGAACTTTTGTGTTAAAATAATTGAATTCTGAAGAAACTTTCGAAATAATATAAAAAATTATTATTTCAGAGAAGAAGTTTAGTTAAAAGTTATTGTCAATAATTAAATTTTGAAAGTATTGCAGTTTTAATATTTAGAAATAGTTATTTTTTTGAATGAAGTTAAAATTTTTCAAATTATTTTAATTTCTGTGGAAAAATAAATAAATTTTATTAAATTATTTATTTAGAAAAATTGTCGAAATTTTGATTAATTGAATTTAGAAATGAGTGAATGGTCATAAAAATGAAAAATGAATCCAGCTACTCAGTTGACATTTTTTGCGCCTTAAAGTCGAACCGAGGCTTGAATTTATAAATGAAATATTTAATTTACTAATTTATAAATACAATATTTATATTTATAAATTTACAAATATGATATTTATATTATATTGTAATACCTATATAAATATAATTATATATTACATAATATTTTCCTAAAACATTGAACGTTCAATTGAACCTAATTTCTTTTTTTGTTTAAATATTTTAAAAAATTACTATATTATTTAAATGAAAACTGGTGTACATTAAAATTAGGAATTAATTAAGAAGAAAAATTAATTTTCATAGTACAGAAAATAATACAAAATTGCAGAAGTCACAAAAGTATCGTTGTATATTTGAACGTTCAAAAATGTAAGAAAATATTATAATACATAAAATATATATTTATAAATTTATAAATATAAAGAGAACAACAAAAAACATTTCTTAATATATAAAGAGAAACATTCAATCGAAATAACAAATAAAATTTATAAAATTTAACTTCAAAATCCATTAAAATTGAAATAGGGATTTTAAACAATTAAAACTGTTTAAATATTCTAAAAATGTACTAAATATAATGTTTAAAAAAGATCCACATACCATTTTACCGTGAAACAATTTCGCTATTATTTTCATTTGCACAATTATTGAATTTTTTTTCCAATTGTATAAATTTCCATTAGCCAAAAATATTATTAATTTTCATTATCGAGTATTTCCAATTGCAAAAATTATTGCAATTGCAACAATTTCGCTATTATTTTACTTTGCGCAATTATTGCATTTTTCCTTCCAAGAGTATAAATTTCCATTGGCCAAAAATTATTAATTTCCATTATCGTGTATTTACAATTGTAAAAATTATTGCACAACCTGAAACAAAAAAAAATAAAATTAAAAACGTGATTAAAAGTTACTTAAGACTTTTATAATATAGAAAAATTGTAGACATTTTTTCGAATAAATATCCTCATTTTTTGAGAGACGAGAAAAAAATTTAATTTTCTATTAAAAATATATTCGACGGGATTTAAAAAAAAAATTGTTTCTATCAAAGCTGAATAGGTACTACGGTTTAAGGTTACTTCTCTAAAGTTTAACTTCTCACATAGTCGGAAGTTAAATTTTCCTATCTTAGGTATTAAATGTATTTCCAAAGAAGTTCTCAAATTTTCTAATTTAGAGTGAGAGAGTTTCCTAGAAATATCGATAGACGAAAGATCTATCGAAAGTCATAAATATATACACACATACGCGTTTCTTATATCACAAGGACTTTTGTCAAGTAATTCACTCTCAACCTAGATTTTCTACATCTACTTTATTATTCGAGAAATCTGGAGCAGCCCATTTCATGTCGTCGTATAAGAAATTCATGTTAAAATAAATAGCAAACACACAAAAGAATTTTAATCGCAATATTGGCCACAATTATCAAAATCTCTCTCTCTCTCCATCTTTTTCTCATTGTATAAAATAAATTCTAAATGTCACGAGATTTATGATGACGCTAATGAAGACTAAATGATTATAAGTGCTCGTGCATTAATTGTTTAATGGATTTTATTGAGAGACTCTGGCATGAAAACAAAACGATTTTAAATAAATTTCCAATCGCCATCTAATAAGTATTATCTTTTATAAACTTTCAAACTAATCTTGACGCTTTTGACAAATTTTGAATGATAATCCTCATATTTGGCATTTTGACAGAATTGCATTATTTTCAAATACCTATCGAATTAAACATATTTATTATTATTATATTAATTCTGTCCATTTGAATTCAAATTATTTTTATTTGATCTATTTTTATCATCTATTTCATTTATATTTTTTTAAATTCTATAATTTATTGTATTTTTATTTTTAGTCTAAAATTAAAAAAATTTAATTTTACACTAAAACGATTAAATGTAAATATGTTTGTTTTGGACAAAAGACAAAAGTGATGCCAAATAGTTTGCAAGACCAATGTCACATAACAGGTTAATTCTTGTAGGAAATAGATCGAAACCAAAAGGAACCGATACACGAGACATCGAGAGAGAGATAAAATTAATTTTATTGCTAATTGATGTGTCAAATACGTCTGTGACAATGCTGTCTCTTTATATTTTGTCGGAATTAGATCAAGACGTCTCTGGCAACTCCCGCTTTTATCGCACAATTTCAATATTTAATGTTCCTTTTACCATAAAGATTCGGGAATTTTAAACATTCAAGTCTAACATAAAAAAAAATTTTTTCTATTTTTATAAAATCATTTTCGAATTCGTGGTGTCATAATTCGAAAATTAATATAGAATTTTTCTTCTTCTAGTCAATAAAGTTTAAAGTCTAACCACAAAAATAAACACATGGATGTTTACGACTCCCGTTTCTCTTAAATAAATAGAAATAAATTTTTGACAGTCGAGTGATATAATTTCATGGAAATATAATTTATGATTGATAGTTAAATCTTAAGATAAAATTTAATAATGACGACCCTACTGAAAATCCCTGTATAAGATCTTGTAGAAGAAAATGCACACGTTCAGCAGCTGAACTTGTACAAGAAAATGTACAATTTCTTGTATAAGGCCTAAAGTGAAGAGACTTAACGATTATAAGTTATTAAAATGCCAATTTTCAAAAAAAAAAAATTATTTATAAATTTACTTATTCCAATTTTCTAAAAAAAATTTATTTTTATCCCACATGCACAAAAATGGCGCTTTTAGATAGCTGACGACAGGGAGTAAAGTCACTCATTTGTTCGACCGTATGAAAATGGCGTCCATTTTCTCCCATGTGCAAACATAACCGCTGATCCCATGCGTTATTTTTGCCCAAGGGAGAAAACGGCCGCGATTTTCATATAAGTCGAACAAGTGACTGACTTTTATTCCCTGTCGTCTGCTATCTGAAATCGACACTTTTGTGCATTAGGAATAAAAAAATATCGTAAGTAACACGGGAATAAAGGCAGCCAATTTGTTTACGGTGATTTTTGTGACACGAGTTTCTTGTACTAGTTTCTTTTCTTGTTCAAGTACTTGTACATTTTCTTGTACAAGTTCTAATACAAGAACTTGTTTCAAATCCTTATACAAGAAATTGTACATTTTCTTGTACAAGTTCATAGCTGCTGAACGTGTGCATTTTCTTGTACAAGATCTTTTACAGGGATTTTCAGTAGGGGAATGACGAAATGATTAATAATTACCCGATTGACGATTAAATCATTACGAGCATTGTTTTTCCGAAGCAATTACTCCATTTCCACGTCAATGACATGACAACAATCGACAATTTCGATTAAAGTAATTTTTCAATTGTTTAATGTTATTTAATAATATTAATTCAATTGTTAAATACGTTTAATGCTTAATAACGCTTGGAAGATAAAAAAAACTGTATAAAACGAAAAAATTTCAGCGGATGGTCAAAAAGTGATGAAAATAAAGTTACAAAAATTTTGAGGTTAACTTTTGGTCGAAACATATTTACTAAATTTATCATTTTTCCAACTAGTTCTTATTAAACTTTTATATATTATCAACTCTGTACACGAATTAGAACTTGATTATTAATAAATATTTAATATAAACGCGAAAATCTAAATGATTTCTTTAGATTTTATAATTCTTGACGCGAGGAATTACCGAAATTTCTTCTACTTTCGGACGCAACCATTACACTGAGCAGTGTTGCCAATGTATGCAAAAGAAAATTTTAATCGTTCTGTACTGCCAACATAAACATACGAAAATTGAAATTATTCAGTTTTTTGCAACTAAATATTACATATACTTGCAAATAGATTTAAAAAATGATCAATGAAATTAAATAATTACCCAATTATAAATATTTATAATAGACGCTAAAATATAGTATAGAAGCACCTTTAAACAAGTAAATGAAATGGAAATTTGGAATTGAAATGAAAAATGAATTATAATAAAATGGTATAATTACCTAATTGGCGACTAAATAATGAGTTGTTTTTCTGACGCCACTATTTCATTTTGCGGAGTTAACGACACGACTTGACGATCAACAATTTCCGCATCAATAATGAAAATTTTTCAATTATTGATAATATTCAATTGTTTAATATTCATATAACGTGTGAGTGATAAAAAAAACTACTAATAAAAGGGAAATTTTTCAGCGAATGGAAAACAAAAGTAATGAAAATCATGATGTCACAAAAATGTTGAGGTTAACTTTTTGTCAGAACAAATGTTACTAAATATATTAATTTTGCTTTTGGTTCTTAGCAAACTTTTATAAACTTTTAATACTTTTCACGAATTAGAACTTGATTAGCGATAAATATTTATATTAAAAGCAAAAGTATAAACGATTTCTTTAGATTTTAATTATTTTTGACGGGAGGAATTTCTTCTATACTTCGGACGCAACCATTACATTTAGCAGTGTTGCCAATTTATGATAAAGAAAATATCGAAGCAAGGTTGGGAAGATAAGTGTTTAACGTTTTTTTATTGGTTCATTTGTTTCCAGTAATTTTTATAAACCAATAGAAATTTGTTTACTGCCACTCCCAACTCTGCTTTTTGTTCCAGAAGAAAATTCAAATAACGTATGTTGTATGTAAACAATTATTAACGGTCAAAAGTAACAAGTGAGTTTTCTCCATAGTTTTTAACTATTTATCCTCAAATTAGTGAATTTTCTTTAGTTCTTCTGTGTTTTTTTATAAAAGAGATAAATAATAACATAAATAATCATATTGTAAAGGTGGGTAAGGAATATATATTTTGATCTGGTGGCAGTAAATCTCTCAACTAAAATTACAAGGTTATGTGATCACTCACCACAAACAATATTAATAAAAGGAGAATAAACGTAATGGAAAAATATTTAAACGAATAAATAAATATGGGAAAAAATTAACTGACCGGAATCTTCATTTTCTTACTATTTCATCAATAAACACTAATAAGTTGGTAAATCTTTTCAATACCAAAATTTCAACACAGGAAAAAGGTAATAAAATATTCAATATTGTTATAGAAGATAAATTAAATCACGACGATTATTGCTCTTCGAATTGACATGAAATGTCTACTATTTTATTCCCAGTCAATTTATGCCGCCGCAAATTAATATAAAACGATTTTCTATTCACAAAACTTTTGGCATTACATATAAACTGATTATTTTCACACTTTCTGATTTCACGTGGCACTTGAAATTATTAATATTATTATATACAAAATTTTACATCGAGAAGATTTGTAAATCCAAATCTCTTAATACATTTTGGGCACTTTCCCAAAAATTTCTAAATATCTTGTACCATTTTTAAGAATCATCCTCTGATTCATCAACAAAATATAGTCATCATACTTTAGACAAATATTTTTTAACACTTTTATGTTAAAAATCATAATTATTTCAAGTATTTTCGAAAATAGAATATTAACATTGTTATCATTTTTCAGGTGGATAAATAATTGGATAATTAAATTATTAACGAAAAATCACGTGCGGAATATAAACAAAATTTAAAGAATGACTAATGTTAGACGTCTTCTTAAATTCATTCAATAATCACGAAATTCCTTGGCACTGATTATGTATTTTATTTACTTGACAGTCACTGACACGTGAAAATCTTTGTTGTTTTTTTTAAGTATTCCATTCTTGCTTTTTAAATTAAACAGAAAAAAGAATTATGTACATTTCTGTTAGAATGCGATCATAAACTTTGCTTTTTAAAACTTCATAAAAAATAACAAAACTGTCAAAACTGTTCTTTTCAAATTTTGTTTCGAGTATTTAAATAACTTTGGCAATTTAGAAATCATCAATTTTCGTTTTCTTGTCAGCAATTTCCGCTGGACATAAATTTTTTTTCGTACCTTTTCTTTAATTTTTTTTCTAATATTTGAAGACATATTTTATCTCATTTTTCGGTGTTCGAAAAATGTCATGTTTTTATTTATAATTTTTGCTAAAATTTTGATTCGTAAACTATTTTTCAACTTTTTACTTCACTAATGAGAGTATTTTGAACAATTTTTTTTATAAATTTGAATAAATTTTCTTTTGTAAAACTTATAGTTTTGATATTTTTTTTTGTACTAATGGCAGAAATTTTTGTAGAGTCTACGTAAGAACATCAAAGGGAAAAGAAGGATGGCTACCCACGTCTATTGTCATGCAAACTTTGCTAAGCGACGAAAGTTCAGCTTTTTCGGGTTCTCATCGACGAGAAGACTCAACATATCGAAGAGAGTAAGTTTCTTTTAAAAGATTTTGTAACTAAAGAATTTTTTTTTCATTCAAAAATCAAGAAAAATTTTTTGAAATGAATCTAAAACTTTATGAAAATTTCTAGGGCAGTAATAAAGGAATTGGTTGAGACGGAAGAAGAATTTGGAAGAGACCTTCAACAAGTTGTGGAAAGATATTTGAAACCTCTCGACAATCCGGGAGTGCCTCGTGTTGTTCGAGACAACAAGGAAATCATCTTCACAAATCTCAAGCAAATCGCTGAATTTCACAATACGTATGTATAAACATCAAAAACACAAAACATTTCACAGTCAATCGTCAACTCATTGCGATAACAATACAATTTCACTCAAAAAAAAACAATCCCTCCGAGAAAAAGCTTTTTTACAATAAAATTAAAATAAAAAATTTTTCATTTTCATTCAAAAAAAAGAAAGTAAAAGACAAAATTTTCATTAAAAAAAAAGAAATTAACTTTGAATTTTTCCTTTTTATTTAAAGAAAAAGAAACTTGACAAACTTTTTATTCAAAAAAAGAAATTAATTTCGAATTTTTCATTTTCATTCGAAAAGAAAAAAAAAAATTAATTTAGAATTTGAAATTTTTTATTTTTATTGAATAAAAAGAAATTAATTTCAAATTTTTCATTTTCATTCAAAGAAAAGAATTTAATTTCGAATTTTTCATTTTCCTTCAAAAACAGAAATTAATTTAGAATTTTTCATTTTCATTGAATAAAAATAAATTCATTTCAAAATTTTCATTCAAAGAATAGAAATTAATTTCGAATTTTTCATTTACATTCAAAGAAAAAGAAACTAGAATACAAATTTTTCATTCAAAGAAAGAACTTAATTTCGAATTTTTCATTTTGATTCAAAGAAAAGAAATTAATTTTGAATTTTTCATTTTCATTCAAAGAAAAAGAAACTAAAATACAAATTTTTCATTCAAAGAAAGAACTTAATTTCGAATTTTTCATATTCATTAAAAAAAATAAATTAGTTTAGAAATTTTTATAGTCGCTCAAAAAAAGAAATTAATTTGGAATTTTACGTTTTCATTGAATAAAAATAAATTCATTTCAAAATTTTCATTTTCTTTTAAAGAAAAGAATTTAATTTCGAATTTTTTATTTTCGTTCAAAGAAAACAAAAAACTAAATGAAAAATTTTTCATTTAAAGAAAGAATTTATTTTAGAATTTTTCATTTTCTTAGAATTAAAAGAAATTAATATCAAATTTTTCACTTTCATTCAAGGAAAAGAAATTAATTTCGAATTTTTCATTTTCATTCAAAGAAAAATAAACTAGAATACAAATTATTCATTCAGAGAAAAAACTTAATTTCGAATTTTTCATTTTCATTAAAAAAAAAGAAATTAGTTTAGAAATTTTTATATTCGCTCTAAAAAAAAAATTAATTTGGAATTTTTCATTTTCATTGAATAAAAATAAATTCATTTCAAAATTTTCATTTTCTTTTAAAGAAAAGAATTTAATTTCTAATTTTTTATTTTTATTCAAAGAAAACAAAAAACTAAATGGAAAATTTTTCATTCAAAGAAAGAAATTATTTTGAAATTTTTCATTTTCTCAGAATAAAAAGAAATTAATATTAAATTTTTCATTTTCATTTAAAGAAAAGAAATTATTTTCAATTTTTTTATTTTCATTCAAAGAAAAAAACTAAATGAGAAATTTTTAATTTAAAGAAAGGAATTATTTTAGAATTTTTCATTTTCTTAGAATTAAAAGAAATTAATATCAAATTTTTCATTTTCATTCAAAGAAAAGAAATTAATTTCGAATTTTTCATTTTCATTCAAAGAAAAAGACACTAAATACAAATTTTCCTTTCAACGAAAGAAATTAATTTTTAATTTCTCATTTTCATTAAAAAAAAAAAAATTAATTTTGAAATTTTTATTTTTGTTTAAAAAAAGAAATTAATTTGGAATTTTTCATTTTCATTGAATAAAAAGGAGTTAATTTTAAATTTTAATTTAAAGAAAAGAATTTAATTTCGAATTTTTTATTTTCGTTTAAAAAACATAATTAATTTCGAATTTTTCATTTTCATTAGAGAAAAGAAATTAAATTCGAATTTTTTTTATTTTTAATTTAAAGAACAAAGCAAACTAATCTTCTTATTAATCAAAGAGAAAAATTGCAAACAATAATTATAGTTTAATTTAAGCAATAAACAATTGGACATTTATTACACCCAATTTAAAAATTCACGAAATCATTATTCAGATTTTAAAAAAATCAACTAATCTTAAAATAAAAACCACAATACAAACGAATATATACTTTCAATGAACAATAGTGAAATAAATACGTAAGTTAAAGGTTTGAAAATTGTTTTTGTGACGTCTGCGTGTATCTAACGAAATTGTTTTGTACATTGACCCATTTTTAATCAGTCGAAAAATGTGGTTTTCTGTTTTAATTCTAAATGTAATTTGTGTTTAGAAATTCGTGAATATTTCCCTTTAATTGCTTTTTTCAAAGTAAATCTAAAATAAATTACTAAAAAATAACTATATTATATAACAAATAATATTGTTATGGTAATTATTATAATATTATTATAACAAATTTTACTCAATATTTTTCTATAGTAAAAAATTGCTTTTATCCTTTTATTACAATTTAAAAATTCCATCAAATTTTTCATGATAAAAATTGGCTTATTGTAAATGTAATGAAAGTACTTTTAGAACTAATAACTAAATTTTAAATTGTCCTTAAAGTAAAATTAATCCAGTGGATAAATTTCTCGTCTTTTTTTTCTCACACATTTCTAACATGACAATGAAATGAAAAACCCGATTAATTGTCATTTGGTTCTGTCGCATTAATGAGAAGTCGAAACTGTTTCTCGTAAGCGTGATTGTGAGTTTGGCATGTCATTAATTCCGGCCTTACTTAGATCGTTCGGCAGGGTGTTAATCGAGGGTGTCAAATACTACGCGGATCAGCCACGAATGCTTGGGAAAACTTTTCTCAGACTGGTGAGTTTTATTTCTTATAACAAAAAAATTGGAAAAAAATTCAAAGCAGTAAAAATTAAAAACTTAAATTTTACTATTAATTTTTTTTTATACGGACCAAAAATTATTGTAAAATTTAATTTGAAGAAGTAAATAAATTTCGTTGATTTGAACGTTCAGAACTAAAAGATCATTAAAATTCTCTACTTGTTTTATGACAAAAATTTCATTTTAAGAACATTTAAATTCAGTTACGAAAGTTTTATAATTTTTAAGTTGAAACAATTACAAAAATTAACAATTTTGAATAATTACAAGTGCTTTTTTTCACTTTTGGAATAATAATGCTAATGAAAAAACTTTTTTCCAGGAAAGAGATTTTGACAAACACGTGGCTTATTGTAGAGACGAACCAGCCGCTCAAGAATTTCTTCAAATGAACGATGGAGTTCGAGAATATTTTGAGGTAAAATATTTAAAAATTAAAATCGATCATCATGGTTTTAGATTCAAACACAATAGAATCGAAAATTTAAAAGTATGTTAAAAGACGGAGAAAAATAGTCTTTCAAAAAAAAAAAAAATTAACAGAATGTTGAAAATTAAGTAAAACATTCAAATCGTTCTTTTTTCACTAAACGAATTTGATTTTTATCAAATAAAAAGTAGTTTATTTTGTTTATTTTTTTACATATATTTTTTTACTTTATGTTGTTTTTATTTTATTTAATTATTATTATTTTTTAATTTCTGATAATCATACAATTTTTGCATATACAATTTAAAATAATTCTAAATTAACATTTTCCGAATACTTACAATTTTCGAATAAATTTCGAATTATCGAGAAATTTTGTGTATTCTCCATTGAAGGTTTCTGCTTTTTTTAATTCATCGAAAACACATTTTCTAATTTTCTCAGGATTCTGAATGCCCATACGAAGAAAACGTTCGCCAACAAGTAATTCGCAATTTTTAAAGGCTTTTAAAAATACCTCTTCATTTTTAATGTTATCCTCACTGTTGTTTTCATTCTGACTTTGTCGTTTTTCTTTATTTTCTTGGATCGTCGTATTTGTTGCAGACTTTTCCGTATCAGATGTAATTATTTCAGTAAGATTTGTCAGATTTTTCTGATTTTTTTCCAATTCCGTACAATTTTTATTCTCACTATCATTTGTGTTTGAATTCAAATTAATTGTTGCATTTCCATCAATTTTTGTTGTTTCTTCGTTGTTATTTTTTTCGAGTTTTTCGACGGTTGAATTTAAAATTGGTAGAGTGCGTTCTGAAATATTCTGTATCAAATTATCTGTATTTTCCTTTATTGAATATTCAGTTGTTGAGGAAGAATTTTTGTCTTCTATCGTTTGCTCCGTATTTGTAATATTATTTGCAGTATTTACTGATTTATTTATTTCCGTTTCGTCTGTTAAATTTTTCGAAATATTTTGCGTTGAATTTACAATCAGTTTTGGCAATTCCAGATTTGTTGAATTGTCACTCTCTATTTCTGTTTCCGAACTTTTCGTTTGGTTCGAATCTCTGATTTCTTTTGATTCTTTCTGAAAGCAGGGAACTGCATTTTCCGCTGTTGTCTCCTACGAAAATTTTTTGTTAATAAAATGATAATTTACAAGTATTATAATTTTAAAATATAGAAGTAAATAATTTTCGACAGCAAGTATTTAAAAATACTTTAATATTAAAATTATTAATATAATTAATTATAATTAATTAATTAATATAATTTTACTTTTAATTCTAGTCATTTTCGTTAAAATAAAATTTTTAATTAATATTAAATGAATATTACATTAATATTAAATTAATCTATAATTAATTAAAATCGAAATATTAAGAAAACTGAGTAAATTTTAAAAAGTATTTAATAAATAAATAGAATTTATTTTCTAATGTGATTAAATAATTAAATTATTTCTTTTCAATTGTTTTTACTTACCAGTATTGAAATAACAGAAACAATGCAGAGAATAGTTTTAAACGTTGCAAACATTTTGACTTCTCTCGAACAATTAATATCGGAGAACGTTTCAAAATTCTAAAACACATATTAACCTTCGCGAGTCAATCAACATAATTAATTACCCATTTAATGTCAGATTTTTAATTTAAAATCCAGTTCTAAGACTTAATATTTTTTCAAAATTGTAGAAAAAATTGCCTTTATTCTTTCTGATTCAGATCATAAAAAAAGCAATTGATAAAATTTTAAATTAAATTAAAGAATTAAACGAAAAATAAATATTTTGCGTTAATAATAATAATTTATAAAATTAGTTTTATAAATTTAATATTTATTGCTTTTTTTATCATTTAAATCAGAAAGAGTGAAGACAAATTTTCAAATAATAAATTCTATTATTTATAAATTTAATTATAATTTCATAAATTGTATAAAAAGTTACAAAGTTTTTCCTAATTTAAATAAATAAAAAACGTTAAACTTTTTTTAAGGTCCTAAAAATAAAAAACTAATAATTAAAAAAGCAATTGATAGAATTTGCAAAAATTAAACATAAAAAAGGATTATTTTTTGTTAATATAAATTATTTATAAAGCTGAACGCGAATAATGATAAAGAAGTTTTCTTTTGGTTTCTACAGGGTGTCACGAAAGCTGATTGTCTAATCGACAAATTTTCATCCCACGCTTTACATTCTAATATAAATCACAATTCGCACTTCATTTTCCCTAACAAGAGCCGACTCCTTTTAAACACGAGACATTTTCACACATATGAATTTTGGAAACAATTGAAATCAAATGATAGGATTAATTTTTAATTAATTGATTAATTAATTAATTTTCAACGATTAATTATTTTTAATCAAAAAAAGGAGAAAAATTTGAAAAACGAAACAAAAGGAAATAGAAAGAGGAAAAATTTTCCAAAAAATGAAATTTTTATTAATTTGTTGTGTGAATGCTGTATGGATATTAAAATAAGTAGATGATGATGATATGGAATAGTGAAAATGTATAGCAAATTACATAATATGCTGGGACATACGGGCGGCTGTCCAGACATCAAAATAGCTGAGTTTATTTTTGAGATGGGAACATTTTCTTTTCCTGTTGAACGCACTATGTCATCCAGAAATTTTCATAGCGCTTCAAAAGAAGAGAGGGTGGGAAGAAAGGGAAAAACGGGAATGAAGAAAAGAGCAATTATATAGTCGTCATGAACCAGTGACGTCATTGCAGTGACGTTGTAGGGAAACATTTTTCTCTTATAGTGTCACCGTACACACGCAACGCACGCCACTGAAATAAATGACTCCTAAACATAATCACAAGGTCGAAATCAACTTCATTTTTTTTTCCTCTTTCTTTTCTCTTTCTTCTCTTCTATATTAGGAAACATTCTAGTTGGTGTGCCATTCTACTTACGTGAAGAAATATTCGCAATTGAATCGTAATGAATTAATTCAATTATAATTCATTAATTCATCAGTTAAACAATAATTAATTCAATTATTAAATTATAATTTTGTTTTAATTCTAACAATTTGAGAAAAAACTCTTTTCTATTTACCAGGAATGCTATTTCCTTTTTATTAAATTATTCATTTTCTGTCAATTGAATTCTGTTGATTCAATTATAAAATTTCGGTTGCGATGTGCGTAAAATTCTTTAGTTACGATTTTTAAATGTTGACTATTTCGAAAGGGAAAAAAACTTGTAGACTAATTGCGGAAATGAAATTAGAAAATTCGAAAAATTGTTTAAATATTCAATGTCATGGTATTTATAAAAGTAGAATACTTTAGAGTGTTGAAACAATTTTCAAGTTAAACTGGTTCTGATTAAAATTTGCAATAATCGAAAAATCCAAAAAAAAAGCAGATTGTCGAAAATTGAATTTTTCAAAGACTTGATTTTTCAATAATATTTCAATTTCCCAATTTTGAATTTCAAAATTAATTTTCTATAGAAAAAACAAAGTAAAAGAAAATTGTGAATTTTCCAAAAAGCTAATTTTTCAAATATTTAAATTTAACAATTTTCAATTAAAAAATGCGAAATTCAAAATTTTCTATAGAAAAAAGCCAATTATCTAAAAATTGTTAATTTTCCAAATATTTAATTCTCCCAATTTTCAATTAATAAATTAATTTTTATTTAAAAAATGCAAATTTTCTATGGAAGTAAACGATCATTAAAAATTGTAAATTTTCCAGAAAACTAATTTTTCAGAAATTTGAATTTTTCCAATTTTCGGTTTAAAAATAGATTTTCAAATCAAAAATTCAAAATTTTCTGCGGAAAAAAATTGAAATAAATAAATAAATAATCTAAACATTGTAAATTTTTCAGTGAACAAATTTTTCAAAAATTTAAATTTAGCAATTTTCAATTTGAAAGTTAATTTTCAATTAAAAAATGCAAAATTCGAAATTTTCTACGGAAAAAAGACGATTATCTAAAAATTGTGAATTTTCCAAAGAGCTAGTAATTAAATTTCTCAATTTTCAATTAGAAAATGCGAAATTTTCTGTAAAAAAAAACCCGAAAATCTAAAAATTGTGAATTTTTCAAATATTTAAATCTTCCAGTTTTCAATAAAAAAATTAATTTCTACTTCAAAAATGCGAATTTTTTATAGAAGTCATCGATTATTAAAAATAGTGAATTTTCCAGAAAACTAATTTCTCAGATATTTAAACTTTTACAATTTTTGGTTTAAAAATAGATTTTTAATTCAAAAGTTCGAAATTTTCTGTGGAAAAAAACCGAAATAAATAAATAATATAAAAATTGTAAATTTTTGAGTGAGCAAATTTTTCAAATATTTAAATTTCTCAATTTTCAATTTAAAAATTAATTTTCAATTCAAAAATGCGTAATTCAAAATTTTCTATGACAAAAAAAAGGTTTACATAAAAATTATGAATTTTTCAAATATTTAAATCTCCCAATTTTGAATTTAAAAATTAATTTTAAATTTAAATCTCCCAATTTTGAATTTAAAAATTAATTTTAAATTTAAAAATTCATAATTTTTAGATAATCTGATTTTTTTAATAAAAAATCCGAAAATTTGAATTTTTTAATTGAAAATTTATTTTTTGGAATTTTTTATGGAAAACACCGAATAGTTATCTAAAAATGGTGAATTTTGCAAAGAGCTAATTTTTAAATTTCCCAATTTTCAGTGTAAATATAAATTTTCAATTAGAAAATTCAAATTTTCGCATTTTTTACGAAACAAAAATGATTATCTAAAAATTATGAATTTTCCAAAGAACTAATATTTAAATTTCCCAATTTTCAATTTAAAAATTAATTTTTAATTAGAAAATGTGAAATTTGAAATTTTCTATTAAAAAAAAACCGATTATCCAAAAATTGGGAATTTTTCAAATATTTAAATCTCCCAATGTTCAATTAAAAAATTAATTATCAATTAAAAAATGCGAATTTTCTATGGAAGTGACCGATTATCTAAAAGTTGCGACTTTTCCAAGCAGCTAATATTTAAATTTCCCAATTTTCAATGTAAAAATTAATATCCAATTTAAAAATATGAAATTCGGAATTTTCTATGAAAAAAATCCGATTCTCTGAAAATTGTGAATTTTCCAAAGGACTAATATTTAAATTTCCCTATTTTCAATTTAAAAATTAATTTTCAATTCAAAGATGCGAAATTTTCTATAGAAAAAACCGATTATCTAAAAGTTGTAAATTGTCCAAAGAGCTAAGTTTCAAATATTTAAATCTTACAATTTTCAATTTACAATTTAAAAGACACGAAAAACTCCTCTTCGTCTGTTATGGAAAAAAAAATTGTTGCAGGATAATGTTACCGTATTATCATCGATATGCATAGCAATGGTCGTGAATTAGTATTTGTTCGTGGTCAGTCTTAGTTCTCCGGCTAAGTATAGCCGTGGCCGTATTGGTCTCACTGGTTTTCAGACTGGCGAGGGGGTTTCGGTAACCACTGACTATCCGGATTTCAAAGTGTGGATCAAGTCAATCCAGTCTGCGACCAACAACGTGGGCACCCCGAACCATAATTTTCCGGAGTCAATTTTTCACACTCGATAGGTCATTAGACCTCAAGACACCTTTAAGGTGTGTTTATCACGTGCTCCAATTAACCCCCCTCCCCCTTCTCTCAATTTAAATAACCTTTCTCCAAAAGAAAAGAAAAAATTTTCTTTAATTTTTTTTTCTATTTTCAAAAAAAAAAAAAAAAAAATCTTTTTTTATTTTCTTTTTCGTCGAGAGAATAAAAGTATTGTCAACAATGACACTGTCAGTCACAGTGACGAAAAAGTTTCGTGTGACGGAAGTTAAAGTGCCAAATGATGTGTCCCAGAAATACTTCCGACATTGGATTACACTTTGTTTTTCTGTTTAATCTCCAGAAAGGATTTTGTGATTTTGTGATAATTTGGAATTTAATAGTGAAAAATTGAAGTACTACCGATTATTAGTGATTGGAAAATTTTTTAATTCTTGTGTAAAATATCGAGTTTTTTTTACAAATTCAGAATTTAAATTGAAGAATAATTTTCATTTTGGAAGTGGCAAAGAATATTTTTCCGTTCGATTTTTCGAATAAATTATCATTAGTTATTATTAATGTTTAATTAATTTCGGAAATGAAAAAAATAATAACTATTAGTAATTATTAATTATTAAATTGATGTTAAATTAAAATAATTATTAATTATTAAATTAAATTAAAATTGAGTTGAAATTGAAATAAGATTGAATTAAAATAATTATTAAAATTAAATTTTTAATTATTTACGCAAATTTGTGGGTTTATTAAAAATGGACCGTAATAATTTTTTAGGAGCTGAGCCAGACTCTTGGAGATGATAAAAGATTATCGGAACATCTGAAACTTCCGATACAACGCATAAACGACTACCAACTCCTCTTGAAGGTAAAAAACAAACAAAAATTTATTTTCTTTGACGTGATTAAAAAATGGTTTTCTTTTTGCATTAATTTAAGTTATTTGCATGAAAATTGGCAATTTTTTCCAAATTAAATTTGAATTAATTTAATTAATCCGAAGTTGAAAATTAAATTAACCAAAAAGTTACAAATTTTAGAAATTATAACGAAAATAACGTGAAATTTAGGTATTTAGTGGATTAAAGTAAAAAATTAATTATACATTTCATGCAATATATTTTTATAGAAAGTCTATTTAAATTTTTCTAAATAAATTTTATTTTTTCAAAATTTGTTTATGAACATATTTTGTACGAATATATTTTATAAATATTATAAAGAATATAAAATAATGTAAAGAAATATTATAAAGAAATAAATATATTTCTATAAATCGAAAAATAAATTTATTTTTATAAAATTATAAATAGAAAAATAAATAAAAAATAAATGAATAACTAAATAAATATTTTTATGTAAAGAAATAGATAAAAATATTTATAAAGAAAGATAAAATGCAAAAAACATGTAAATTTATAAAATTTATTTTTCTCCAAACCAATTTGTAAACTAATGCAAACATTTTTTTTAAACAATTTTTTGAAATAATATTCCAAGCCTCGAGCCAAGAAAGAAAATTAAAAAACTGTTGACAAAAGAAAACGAGGAACAATTTTATTTATAAAATTTTTGATCAGTCGTGTCTATTTTTGAATTACGATATACATTTTATAAGAATTTTTGACTCATAATTCTCAAATGTAAACAAAACCTCGTGTTCTCGTTTTAATATAGTATTGTTTAGCGGCCTCATCTTTTATACTCTCTTGTAAATATTTAAAAAGAACAATTAACAATTTTTTCTATTTTAAATTTCAGTTATTGTCTATAGAAATAGCATCGAATTCTAGAGAAGAGAGTATTTGCAAAGACTTTTTACATTCAATATTTTGTGATTCATTGCGTTTAGAAATATCGATAGACGACAAAACGAAATTCAAATCAGTTTCAACGCGTCTGTGATGGTATTTACTTCTATCACATATGCGATTTTAAGATAGTGTGAGGAGTGAGAGTGGGCGCCCGTACAGATTTAGCGCTCTAAAAACAGGTCATCTTCATGGCACGTTATCCTTTCGGATGCTATTCGAATGCTACTAAAAAGTCCAACAACATTTTGTTTATCTCGCGAGAGAAAAAAAGCGAGACATTTTTCCTCAAGAATTTTTTTTCTCTTTTGGAAAAATGTCTCTTAAATCTTCGAGAATTTTCTTTCTTTTTCTGTCAAAAAGTTATTTTTTTTGCTATAAACTCAATTATAATTCATTAATTTTCAATCAGATTTTTGCAAATTGAAATATTTTTCAATTTTCAATTTTTTTGTTTAGTAATTATTAATTTATTTATTTATTTATTTACAAATTTTGTTCCCGCAGTCCTAGTGAACTTTTTTTTATTAATGATATTAATTTTTATTAATGATAAAAAAATTTCTAATTATCAAATTTATTACTTATAAATTATTTCACTTAATTAATTAGATTTTTACGACCAGAATGATTTATTTTTTCAATTTTCAAGTTTAGTAATTCCTAATGATAAACAAATTTCTATTTGTCTAACTTTGTTTTGGAATTATCAAATTTATGATTTAAAAATTATTTCACTACTTTGGATTGTATTGTAAATATTATATTAATTTATTAAAAATTGTGAATTCAGAAAATTATCAATTTTGAAAAAACAAAGAAAAATGAAAAAAGGTTCACTTGAAATTGATACTGAAAATACAAAAGGATTTTCTTGTGTCTAACAAAACTTGTCTTGTTCCCCTATAATTTTGCCATGAATACAATACTTTCACTACTTGTCTGACTATATTTGGCTCTCCACTACTGGAGAGTTTCATAAAACGATTGCTTTGAATTAAAGACCTATAGATTAGATTAAAAATTAATTTTATTTTACAATTATAAAAATGTATTTCTTTTTTGATAATAAAAACAATAAAAAAATTTTGTTTACAGGAGTTGGTGAAGTATTCGACCCGGCTAGGCGAAAATTGTGACGACCTCCAGAACGCTCTGGAGTTAATGCTAGGAATTCCTCATCGAGCAACTGACAATAAATTCATCAGTAATATCGAGGGATACAAAGGGAATATTCACAAATTAGGACGATTGCTAACTCACGTCAGTAATAAAAATCAAAAATTAATTTATTCTCAACAGAACTCAACTAAACCACTGCGAAAAAATTAATTATTAGGCAAAAAATAAATTTTACTTTCAATTATTAAATTGATAATTGAATTATTTTAATTATTAAATCGATAATTGAATTATTGAATCAATAATTGAACTATTTTAAGTATTTTCATTTATTACGTCAGTAATAAAAATCAAAAATTAATTTATTCTCAACAGAACTCAACTAAACTACTGCGAAAAAATTAATTAACAGGCAAAAAATAAATTTTACTTTCAATTATTAAATTGATAATTGAATTATTTTAATTATTGAATCGATAATTGAATTCATTTAATTATTCTATTAATAATTAAATATTACTTTAATTATTAAATTGCAAACTGAATAGTTTTAATTATAGAATCAATAATTTAATTATTTTAATTATTAAATTACTAATTCAATTATTGAATTAATTACGGAATTAATATTTGAATTGTTGGATTAATTATTAAATTAATAATTGGATTGATGGATTAATTGTTAAATTAATAGTTGAATTATTGGATTCATTATTAAATTATTTGATTAATTATTCATTAAAAAATGTTAATTACAAAAATATTAAAATTCTAGGAGTGGTACACAGTAATCGACAAAGACGGAAAAAGCAAGGAAAGATATTTATTTTTGTTTAAAGCGAGAATTCTAGTTTGCAAAGTCAGGCGTATTTCTGAAGATCGTTCAGTTTTTGTACTCAAGGATATAATTCGAGTGAGTTTTTAAATATTTCATTTAAAAAAAGATATACGACCGAAAAATTTGATTCAATTTAATCAAATTTTTGTTTCCTAACTTTTTGGATAATTCTTCTGTTTTGAATTTAAAAATTATTGCATTCTTGCGAAGAGTTTCATCAATAATTTTGAAAGCAATTAAATTCTTGCGAACAATTTTATTAAAAATTTTAAAAAAAATTGAATTCCTTTGAAGGATTTCTTCGAATTTTTAAAACAATAATTGAGTGTTTTTTAAATAATTGTAATTGAAAATTTTTATAGTAATTATTGAATTTTGTTTCAAACTTTTTTGAAATAATTGAATTCTTTTCAAGAATTTTATCGAAATATTAAAAAAAAATTGTATTCTTCTAAAGAATTTTATTAAAATTATTAAAAATAATTCAATTTTTTCAAGATATTTTTATTAAAAGTATGTTGACAAAAAAATTGAATTTCTGCAAAGAATGTTATTATTTCTTAAAACAATTGAATTTTTCTAAAAATTTTATTAAAATTTTGTGAAAAATAATGGAATTCCTGCGAAAAATGTTATTATTTATTAAAATAATTGAATTTTTTCGAAGAATTCAATTAAAATTCTATTAAAAATAATTGGATTCTTTATAAAAATTTTACTAAAAATTTCGTAAATAATTTAATTCTTTCAATAAATTTTTGAATAAATTCAAATAATTTAATTCTTGTTAAGAATTTAATTAAAATTTTTACAATAATTATATTAATTTAAAGAGTATAAGTTAAATTGTATTTAAAATAATTAAATTCTTGTAAAGGACTTTATTAAAACTCTAAAGAATAGTTGAATTTTTCCATGAAATTTTATTCTTTATGTAAATAATTAAATTCTCGCACAGAATGTAATTAAATTGTAATAAAAGTAATTGAATTCCTGTGAAAATTTTTATTATTTATGAAAATAATTGAATTCTTTTGAATAATTTTGTTATTTATAAAAATAATTGAAATCTTAGGAAGAATTTTATTATTCATGAAAATAATTAAATTTTATCAATCTATTGTTGAAAATAATTGAATTCTTATAAAGAATTTTGTTATTTTTTAAAATCATTGAATTCTTGCGAAGAATTTTATCAAATTTTTTTGAAAGTAATTGAATTCTTGAGAAAATTTGTATTATTATCGAAATGCCAAAATTCCAATGTGAAAACTGTTCTAGATTCCAGAAGTGGAAGTAAAAGATCATCCGGGAGAAGCAAGATCATTTGAATTGCATCAACCAGGTGCATCAGGCTATCCAATAACTCTCGTTGCCCACAAGGATCCAGTTAAGGAATATTGGCTCAAGGAAATTCGACAGTATACAAGTGACGTTATTGCACTTGCCGAACACGCCGCCGATGATTTGCAAGTAACCGACGAGCCAGAAATTTCCAGCCCGAAAGCTGAACCAATTAACATTCAACCCCCAACAACTGACAAACCGTCTGATTCAAAATTAACCGAAAAACGAAAGGAGGAGTCCACCGTCAAGGCGACAGAATCCAAAAAGGCCAAGGTCGAAGAAGCCGAGGACATGTCGCGATATTCATCAAGTCGCTACAGCGCCTCCTCTAAAGTCGTCGAGGGTAGGAGAAAAATCAATTTTTTCAAATAATAGTCAAGAAAATCAAAATTTTAAAAATCAAAATTTTTTTAATAAAAAATAAATTTGTATAATATAAATATAAAATTAGGAAAATTCTTTTTTTTTGGTGAAGAATACTCGTCAGTGTCGAGCAGTAGAGATGGACAAACAACTCACATGGAATCGTCAGCATCATTATCGAGTGGAAGAAGAGAGTCGTCATCTCTCTACGGAAACGATCGAGTGACGGAGAGTTCGAGTTCTTATCAGACCGTAGTTGGTGGTTCAAATGTCGAATCTGAAATGAGAACAGCGAGAGTGGCATTATCAGCCACTGAAACTGGAAAACCATGTTTTTCACAAACAATCGAAGGATGCGAGGCTCAATGTAAGTTTACGATTACAAAGTAATTTGAAAATTTCCCTTTCTGACACAATATTTGAATTTTATTTCAATCGAATAAAAATATTTTGAATTTTATTTCAATCGAATCAAAATATTTTGAATTTTATTTCAATGGAATCGAAGTATTTTGAATTTTATTTCAATCGAATCAAAATATTTTTAACACTGATAAAAAGGTGTGAAATATTATAATTAGCGAGGGTAAAACAAATTTTTCCTGTTCTAGCGACGCAATCAAAAATGGCTTTGATACATGTGATAGGTAAAGTGAAATCGTGAAGTCACTTTTGCTCGTCTCTTCATATCATTTCAAACATCTTTCTCTTCTCTGTCTTTTAGAACACAAAACATATTCATATGTTTGCTTTGTAAAATTTAGCTTTCAAAAATTGATTGTCGCTTTCACTGGAAATATCGATCAGAATCTTTTTGCTTATTGGCTGAATTTCAATATTCAAAATTCAATTTACTGTTTACACTTTTTTTCTACACTTACACATAATCACGAATCACAAACATTTTCCATACTCACACAATTCAAATTTTCGATTTCAAATCAAATAAAAATTATATTTAATTATTTTACTTAGAACTTTACAATTTTTTAGTTTTTTTATTTGTATTTTTTTTTTTTTTGAGTTTTGTATTTTTTTTAATTTTTGTATATTTTTCCTATTTTTCGATACCCAGCTACTAGTTTTGAAATTAGGAAAAAAAATCGCTGAGTTAAGTTTTTATTTAAGAGACAGTCGCGATTAATGATTACAAGAAATCTGTCACCTGTTCTTTTGGGGGAATGTAAAAACGCGAGAGGCGCCTCGAGGTTGTTGGAAACGATTCGGAAACTCGAAAAGAGTATAGATTTCAAATTGTGCATGATGCCAAATTCTCACGGCCCACATGTTTCGATTAGAGCCAAGAATCGTTAAGTGTCTAAGACACAAACGAGACTAGAAAATAGAAAAATATTCAACATAAAAAACAATAAACAAAGCACAATTATTGAAATCCGATTAATTTTGTTTTTTGAAAAGTAGAAACAAAAATGGTGACAAATTTCCTAAAAATGTAATTATAGGTAATTAAATAAAAAAATAATAAGTTGATAAAATAAAATACACAAAAAAAAATAAATATCTTGATAAAAGGATAAATATTTAAATAAAATAATTAAAAGATATATAGAAAATTAAAAAAAGAAAAGATCGAAGTAAATTAAATTATTAACTAATAATAAATAATAAATTAAATAAATAAAAGAAGAGAATTAGAGTAGAATTTAAATTGAAGCATAAATAGTAATTTAAAAACACTGAAGAACATAATCTTTCTTCATTTTCGTATACAACATATAAGAAATTTTTGTATGACATCACGAATTCTCTATTTATAAATATATCATTTTCATTGAACATATGCTTGTAATTGTTAAGTAATTTAGGGGAATTAATGAAATATTTTAATGTAATTTGTATTATTTTTTTCCCCAATAGCTGGAGAAAGTGCCACTTTCGAGTGTGTTCTTGCATCAATTTTCGCTCAAACAAAAATGCAATGGCTGAAGGACAATAGACCATTTAATGACAAATTGGCAGATCGTGTGAAAATCTCTCGAGCTGATTCAAGTTTCAAACTTGAGATTAACAACGTTTTAGAATCAGATTCTGGAATTTATACTGCACGAGCAGTGAGTGGAGACAGCAAAGCTTCTTGTACCGCTCAATTAATTGTCACCGATTGTAAGTAAACTTGAGAAGAAAAAAAAAAAAAACTGTTGATTTTTCTATTCAAACACAAATTTTCACATTATCGACCTTTTTTTCGATTTAAATCGAAAAATTTTAAATTAAATTTATAATAAATAAGAAGAAAAATGAAACCAATAATAATAACAAATAATAATAGTTATAATAATAATATTTTTACAGAATAAGTTAAAATATAGAAATTTAATGGTTTCCAAAAAAAGCAAATTACAAATTTAAAGACAATTTACAAAAAACAAAAATCAGAAGATTAATTTAATGGAAAAACTACATTAATCTTAATTTTGTCTTATTATTATTAATTTATTTCAGATTTTATTTATACTGTTCGAAATTTATTTCAGTAACACCTGAGGAACGAAAAGCTCGTTTAGATGGAAACAAACCGGATTTCCTGGTTCGTCTCAAGGACACAGAACTTTTGGAAAACACTTATCTTCGTTTTATGATCAAGGTCAAAGGGGATCCTAATCCAGAACTCAAATTGTAAGAGAATTTTTCTTTTGCCCTCAATATTATTTTATAGAGATCTTTTCATTGAAATTAAAAGAAGAATCTATAATGAAATTAAATTGTTTCTGGAATTGAGCCAAAAATTATTAAATTACAAGTCGGCGAGAAAATAATTTTGATACACTAAATTAGATTCTAGTTTCCAAAACTATTGCACCCTTGAAAATATTTTGACAGTATTAATAATCTCATTAGCTTTAGAAGTTCTCTTTTTATTAAACCAATTTTCATTTTAATAGAAAATTTACAAAATATTCAAAACCTCAGGCATCGCTCTTGTAAATTTATTTAAAATATGTAAGTAACAATAATTTTAAAAAAATAGCAAACGGCTACTTGCTTTGAAAATAAAAGATGTAGCATAAATAAACAACAAAGTAATTTAATTCAATTTAAAATTTTTGTAAAATAAAATTATTTTTCAAATTTTTAGTTAAAATTCTTCAAAAAAACGATTATTTTTACAAATATTTAAAAGTAACAAAATCTAAATTCTTTCAAACATAAAATTTATTTCAATAAAATTTGAGACAAACTTTACAATTGATTCAATTTTTTTAAAAATTACTTTCAAAAATACAAATATCTTAAAAAAATTTTAACTACGATTTTTTAAAAAATTTTTAAAAATTTTTAAAAAACTTTTACCTTATTTTTTTTAAGAATTTTTAAATTAAATTATTTGAAACTTCAATATTTTAAATAAAACCAATGTAAATGATTTTGAAATTTAATATCTTGTTCTACATAGAATTATAAACTTAAATTTTAGGAATTTCTTATTAATTTCGTTTTCATTAAATCAAATTTAAAGATTAATTAATTCATTTACTTATTTATAAAGAAATTTATAAAACCTTCGAAATAATTGAATTACTGCAAAGAATTTTATTACTTTTGAAAATAGTTGAATTTTTTAGAATAGTTTTATTAAAAATTAATTGAAAATAATTGAATTGTTTCGAAAAAATTTATTATTTATGAAAATAATTTAATTTTATCGACCAATTTTATTAAAATTTTTAGTGTTTAACTCTTTCAAGAAAATTAATTAAAACTTTTAAGAATTTTAAAAAAATTTTTTAAAATAATTAAAACCTTTCAGGAATTTTATAAAAAAAATTTTTTTGAAAATAATTGAATTCTTGAGAAGAATTTAATTAAAAATTCTTAAAAATAATGAAATTCTTGCAAAAAGTTTTATAAATTTTGAAAATAATGAAAAATTTTCCTAATAATTTTATTAACATTTTTGAAACTAATTAGATTTTTTTAAAAATTTTAATTACAATTGTTATGAAAATATTTCAATTCTCATAAAGAATTTTATTAAAATTTTTCAAAGTAATTGAATTTCTGCGAAGACTTTAATTATTTTTGAAAATAATTAATTTTTTAAAATAGTTTTGTTCAAAATTTATTGAAAATAATTGAAATCCTGCGAAGAATTTGATTATTTATGAAAATAATTGAATTTTTTGGAAGCATTTTATTATTTATAAAAATAATTGAATTTTTGCGAAGAATTTTATTATTTTTTAAAATAATTGAATTGCTTCGAAGAATTTTATTTAAATTTTTGAAAATAATTTAATTCTTAGAAAATATTTTATAAAAATTTTATTAAAATTGTTTGAAAACTATTAAATTTGTTCAAGGAATTTAATTGAAATTTTTTAAGATAATTAAATTTCTTTGAGAAATTCAATTAAAATTGTATAGATATTAATTGATTTCTATTAAAGAATTTCATTAAAGTTCATCATGAAAAATAATTAAAAACTTTTGAGAAATTTTATCAAAATATTTTGGAAACAATTGAACTCTTGAATATTATTTTATTATTAATGACAATACAATTAAATTCTTGTAATGAATTTTATTAAAAAAATTTCTAAATAAAAATAAAAATTTAACTAGCTAATTAGTTATTAAAAGAATTTTTTTTAATTCTGAATCTGTAATTATTGAAAAACTGTGGTTACTAGATATTCGAATTTTCTTAGATTTCAATTTAAAAACCTATTAAAATTTAATTGTTTTCAAAGATTTAAATTTATTAACAAATTAATAAAATATAATAATAATAATAATATTTTTTCAATCATAAATTTCGTTGAATTGTAAATTTTCTAAAAGTTGTTAAATTATTTTTTCAGTTATAAAGACGATGTTCTCATTGACTCAAAGAATGAACGAATGAAAATCATCACAGAAAAGGCGGATAAAGGTTTTTATGAATTAGTTATTCCTGATGTATTGAGAGAGGACGCGGGTAAATATTCGTGTACAGCGACAAATAGTCATGGGGAAGCGTCATGCGAGGCTGTGGTAACAGTGACTGACGATAAAGTAATTTTTGCCGGTCTTCCTGAGGGTCTTCTCGAACCCGGTGAAATTCCAAAATTCAAATGGTCCAGAGATGGAGTTCCCTTCGATCCAGAGGAGAGATTTAAAGTTCTATTCAAAGACGAAGAAGACACTTTGGCATTGGTCTTTCAACACGTCAAGCCGGAAGACGCGGGTTTATACACCTGTGTTGCACAAACAAGCACTGGAAATATTAGTTGCAGTGCCGAACTCACTGTTCAAGGAACCGTTCGACAATTATTGAAAGAGCCGGCAAAACCCGCTCTACAATCGGAATCAAGACATTCCGAATGTAGTGTCGGCGGTTCCGCAATGTTGGACCTTCAAGTGAGTTTTATTTTCGCAAAATAACATTCGACAAAATTTAAATCCAATTAAGAATTTTTACATTCAAGGATTTTCTACATTTTCTAATGTTTAATTTTTATAATCTTCTATCTATCTTCTTCTATCTTCTAATTTTTTTGATAATTTTTCTTTTTAATTTTTTTGAATTTAAGATTAATGAAATTCTAATTTAATTCTTTGAAGATTAAAAAATAACAAAAATTAATTAAATCAAATTCTTTTTAATTAAAAATAATTCTTGTATCTATTATTTCTTATTTATTTCTTTTATAATTTTAAATTTGAAATAATTGAATTCTTATAAAGAAATTTATCAAAATCTTTAAAAATAAGATGACTCTTACTAGAAATTTTACTATAAAATAATATTAACAATAATTAAATTCTTATAAAGAGTTTTATCAAAATTTTCCAAAAAAATTGAATTTCTGCGAAGAATGTTATAAGTAAATTTTTTGTTAAATAACTGAATTCTTTCGAAAAATTTTATTACAATTTTTTTTTAATAATTTAATTCTTTCGAGAAATGTTACTAATTAATTTATAAAATCAAAAAAAATCTTGGTAAAAATTTCCTTAAAATTCTATTAAAAATAAGTGAATTCCAATACAAAATTGTACCAAATTTTTTAAACTAATTAAATTTCTGCGATAAATTTTATTATTTAGAAAAAGAATTAAATTTTCTCAAAGTATTTAATTAAAGTTATTTCTTATAAGAAATTTTATTGAAGTTTGTCTAAATAATTAAAGTTCTTGAGAAGAATTTTATAAAATTCTTTAAAATAATGAAATTCTTGGGAACAATTTTATAAATTATGAAAATAATTGAAATTTTCCTAAGAATTTTATTAACATTTTCGAAAGTAATTAAATTTTTTTTAAGATTTAAAATTTTTAATTAAAATTGTATGAAAAAAACTTCACTTCTCATAAAGAATTTTATTTAAATTTCTGAAAATAATAAAATTTTTTTCAGTTACCTATGTTATTAAAATTAAATTGAAAATTATTGAATTTTTTCGGAAAATTTTATTAAAATTTTTGAAAACTATTAAAGAATTTCATTAAAATTTTGAAAAATAATTGAATCATTTTGAGAAATTTTATCAAAATATTATTGAAAATAATTGAATTATTGAATAGAATGTTATTAAATCTTTTTTAAATATATAAATAATAAATTCTTATACAGAATTTTAATAAATTTTTTTTAAGTAAAAACATTTTTGCGCAGAATTTTATTAACATTCTTTAAAATAATTAAATTCCTGTGGAAAATTTTATAAATTTATGAAAATAATTCATTTCTTATAAATAATTTTAACAAAATTTTTCAAGATTATTTAAATTTCTGCGAAGAAATTTATTAAAACTCTTCAAAGTTATTAAATTCCTGCGGAAAAATTTTTAAATTTTGAAAATAATTGAAATTGTTTAGAATTTTATTAAAATTGTAGAAAATAATTGAATTTTTTCCAGGAATTTAATTAAAATTGTAGTGAAAATATTTCAATTGTCATAAACAATTTAATCAAAACTTTTAAAAATAATTGGATTATTGCGAAGAATTTTATCAAATGTTTAAAAATAATTGAATTTTTGCGAAGAATTTTATCAAATTTTTAAAAATAATTGATTCCATTCAAGAAATTGTATTGAAGATAATTGAATTCCTGCGAAGAATTTTATTAAAGCTTTGGTTACAAATTACAATAAATAATTAAAATTAAATAGTAAACTAGTTAATTACATTTTTTTTTTATTTTTGATTCTGAAATTATTCCGAAATTGAAATTAGTAATTAAAAATAAAAATCAATATAATAATCATTTTCATTAAAGGTGAAAGGTTATCCAAAACCGGACATCAAATGGACAAAGAATGGAGAGGAAATAGTCGCCGGTGGAAGGATAAAATATCTTTGGGAAGACGAGGAATCACTCTCGTTGGTAATAAAAAATGTAACAGTTCAAGACGCTGGCACGTACGTTATTAAAGCAAAGAACGAACTCGGCGAGGACAGTACACAAATTGAATTGATCGTCAAGTCAGCGCCGAAAATAACGAAAAAAATGAACGATCTTCTAGGACAAGTGGAGGAGACACTCTACATGAGTGTACAAATACAGGCATCGCCAAAACCGGAAGTTAAATGGTTCAAGGACGGTCAACAGCTGGAAGAATCGGAGCGAATTTCTTTCCGAAAGGAGGAAAATGATACCTATACTCTTGTGATAAAAGACGCTAGATTAGACGATTCAGGTTCATATTCAGTCTCAGCCAAGAATGAAGTCAATCAAACGTCAGAATTTTGGAACGTCTCCGTGCGATATCCACCGAAGATAACGAAAAAATTACTGGAACCACAAATTATTGACGAGGGTGATAGTTTGACTTTATTAATTGAAGTTGAAGCCGAACCTAAACCAACGGTTACTTGGTTGAGAGACGAGGAAGTTGTCATTTCCGACGAACGAGTGAAAATTGTTCAAGAGGGAAAGAGACACATGCTGAAAATAACCGGTGCTTGTCACATTGACGCTGCGACTTACAGAGTTGAAGTCGAAAATAAAGACGGAAAGAGCGTCGATTCAACTAATATAAAGGTGACTATTCTCTTTTCTTTCCCTTTCTTCTTTCTTAATTTTTTTTCCTAAACATCTCTAAAAATACGATTTTTTGGAAAAGATAATAATTTTTCCTTTTTTTTGTTTTCAGGTTCGTTGTGCGCCGGTATTTAGGACAAAACTCGAAGACACAATAGCGAAGGAAAATCAAGTGAATCTAGAATTAAAGGTAAAAGTCGACAGTATTGAGGAGCCGACAGTCGAATGGTTCCTTAGAAATACGGCGATAACAGAAGAGAAGAAGGACTATCAAATAATTGAGAATGGCGACGTATATCGACTGGTGATCAATCAAGTGAAACCGGAATTAGCCGGAAAGTATATTTGTAAAATTAAAAATCAATACGGTGAGAATAAGTGCGAGGCAAATTTGACAGTCTACACGAGACCGAAAATAAATAAAAAGCTTGCCGATCAAAAAGTCAATGAGGGCGAAACATTGAGTTTGAAGGTGGAAATTTCCGGTACACCAGAGCCGGAAGTGAAATGGTACAAGGATGGAAAGCAAGTTGATGCATCAGCGGATGCTAGAATTAAAATTTCCCGTGACACGAAACGAAAGGAAAATTATGATTTGACGCTAACACTTATCAAGGGTTCAGATGGTGGTATCTATGAAGTGAGAGCTGAAAATGAACTCGGTCAAGTCAGCTGCAAGAGTAAAGTCATCATTTTGAGTAAGTTGAAAACATTTTCCAATAAAAATTTTACAAAAATTTGAATTTAAATCGAAATTCTGTTCTAATAAGCAAAAAAAGGAACTTGGGATATCAACAAAGTAGGTTCTATTCCCTTTTTCTAAAAATGTTTCCTTTCATGACTCCAGTTTTTTGTTTTATCTATTTTCCTTTTATCAATGGCTCATTTTGTTTAATTTTCCCTTTGTTATTTGAACCTGTTATTTTTGTTTCCAATTATTCCAATTTTTCCAGTTTTTTAAAATGTTAATGTTTTCTGTTTTCTTTTTATCAATGACTTTTTGTTTAATTTCCCTTTTATTATTTAAACCTGTTATTTTTCTTTTTACATTTTTTCAATTGTTCCAATTTCTCAAAATGTTACTAAAAATGTATTCTTCTCATGAATTTTAAGAGTAAATTTTTAAAAAAGCATCTTGTTTAGCAAAAACGGAGGAAATTGTCGAGAAAACGAAAGAAAGTGCACAGGAAGTGAAAGAAGAGGATGTTTCGGCAAAAAGCCAAGAGGCTGAGGAATCAGGACCTGAAGGTAATTTACACATTCTACACATTTTACACGTAACGATAGAAAACTACGATTTCAAATTAGAAAAGTTATTGAATTCAAAATACTAGGCTTTGCACTCGTCAATTAATTTAAAAATGTGAAAAAAGTATCAAAAAGTAGCAAAAAGAAACTTTAATACTGAAAAGAAGTAGTCAAAAAATAGTTATCAAAAAATTTAATATAACGACTTAAAAACTCGTTTCAGTCGATTTAATGCGCAAAAAAAAAAGAACTCATTTTATTCAGGATTATCACAAAAATTTGATTATAGGTATTCTCCTGTTTTACAGGAAAAATATTAATTTCTTTTCTTATCCTGCTAATAATTTCAATTCTAAATTTTTGAAAAAATTCAATTATTTTCCAAACATTCAGTTAGAATACTTAAAAAATACGATTATTTAAAATAATTTTGAAAAGTTTACAAAAATTAAATTCTTTAAAATGTAAAATTTATTTCAATTAAATTTGACAAAATATTTTCAATTGTTTCAATTTAAGAAAAAAACAACGACAATAACAATCTTCTAATTTTTTAGAATTTTCATAAATAAAATTATTCAAAACTTTAATGATTTTTTAGGAAAATAATAAATTGATAATTTTTAAAAATAAATATTTAAATATTATTATCATTTTATAACAATTAAAATTTTCAAAGATTTTAATTTAAAAACATTTGGAGTTTAATTAAATTAAATTAAATTTCAAAACGTTCTTCTTGAATTTTTTTCCATCTTAAAAGCTTTTGAATCATAATTACCTAATTTAAAAATAATACCTTGAGTTTTTTTATTTCTGTCAAGAATTAAATTTTATAATAAATTTCTTCAAGATATCAATTATAATTGACATAAAAAGTATTTTAATAAAAAAATTGCAATTTTGAGAATGAATTGAATTCTTCAGAATGTTTTGAACTAAAATTTTGAAAAAATTTTAATTTCTGTTAAGAATTTAATGGAAATTAATATTTTACTTAAAAAATTTCAATTTCTGTGAAGAATTTAATAAAAAATAATTTATTTACCTACTTAAAAAAATTATTTAAGTTTTAATAAATAATTTTATCTAAAAATCTAAAAAAAAAAAATTGGTTTCTGAGAAATTTTAATTCAACTTTTTAAAAATACTTGGAATTTTTAACAAAATTTTATTATAAAGAATAATGAAATAAATAAAAAATTTTTGTGATATAAAATTGAAAATTGATTAAATTTGTTAAAGAAATACAGAATTTTTTAAAAGGATCGAATTTTCAAAAAATTATAATTTAAGAATTGAAAAATAATTTAATCTTACAAAAAGTTATATATCAAATGCATATTTCAATTCTATTTTTAAAGATAATTCAATGTTTGATAAACCAATAATTGAAACTTTTTGAAATAATTGAAATTTTTCTAAAGTTTAAAAATTCTATTAAAAATAATTGAATTTTTAAAAAGAATTTTCCAATTAATTGTATTGAAACTTTTGAAATAATTGAAAGAATTTAGTTACAGTAGGTAATTCATTTTATTTTTAAAATAGACGAACGTCCTTAAATGTTTTTTAAATTAAAATTTTCACTAGTAAAAATTGGCTTCTTTTATGATTGAATTTCCCTTGAATTTTTTTTAATTCGTTATCAAAGAAAAAATCAGAATTCTATCTGAAAATCAGAGAAAAGTGAGAGAAAAACAAAATCAAATTTTTTTGTTAACCCTGTTAATTATATATAAAATTCTACAAGAAATAAATTATTTAAACATGAAAATAAATAATGAAATAATTTTGATTTAAATAATTTAAATAAAATAATTTCTAAAATACAAATCTAAAAAAAGTATCCAAATAATAGCAAATCGCGAGAAAAGTAGTAAATTCACAGTAGATTTTAGTATATGAGTGCGAAGCCTGAAATACAATTTTTTTACTTCACTTTCTAGTTAGTTAACTTTTGCCTTTTTATTGTCTTGCAAATGAACCTGCAATTTCAACTAAAATCAATAGACACTTTAGTTGAGCACAAAATAATAAAAATATTTTCGAAATATTATTGTAAATCAAAATAGAGAGTTGAAAATCGCATCAATCGATATAATAAACTCACCGATCGATGGAGAAGAAAAAAAATTTTTTCCTAAGCTTAGCTTTAGTAGTGTTTTTTTGTAGTTTATATTTGATAAATTCAGGTCGAGTCAAGTTGGAAAAACAAAAGGTCGAGGTAATTCGTGGCGCAGGTGACAAGATAACCATCTCTGTAGCCTCAACAACAACACACGAGGCTATTTTGACAGGTAAAATCATGCACATCAAGAACATTATCAATCTACAGCTGGAGCAACCGCATTTTTTATATTATTTTCCATTCAAATTAAAAACTATTAATTAAATGAAAAAAGAAAACTTTTCTCTAAAAGAAAAATTAAAAAGTAAAGTAAAACAAAATTTGCAAATTTGCAACAATAGAAATTAAATCACTGTTTGATAATTAAAATATTCAATTTTGAAAGCGAAAGATTTCAGTTGAGTTAAAATTCTAAACAAGACTTTCTATTTTGTCAGCGAATTTTTAAAAAAAGTTTGCGTTTGCTTTTTGCTACTGTTCGAGGATAAATTTTAAATTAGTTCAATAATAATTTTATGAATATTATTTTAGTGTTTAAAATTGGATTTTTTTTTATTTTGCAATATTTTAATTTGCCTCTAATATTTTTTGGCAAAATAAAAACTTTTTGGTTGCTAAAAATAGAATTCAAAAATTGTAAATTCAATGACACAGATTATTCAAAACACTCACATTTGCTTTCGTACACTTACGCTTTTTGCTAAATTGCTTCGTAATCATCATCTGAACTCAATTGTAATTTTTTTTTTCAATTTCCTGATTAATTTTTTCTTTAATTAATTCATAATTTAATTAATTATTTAATCAATAAATTAATTGTTTAATTAATTATTCAATTAATTGCTTATTTAGTTAATTAATTATTTAATTAATTAGCTAATTCATATTCAGAGAATATTGAAAAAAGTGCTTCTATATTTGTTTTCTAACTTAAAGCTTAAAATCCTGAGTCGTAGAAAAATTAGTGATCAAGACAGACCCTTCACAGGTCCCGATGAGAGACACACAATCCACAAAATGACCTCGACGAAAGTTGAGTGCCAAGAGATGCACTCCGAGGGTCCACACGTCGAAGAAATTGCCTCCTACAGTTACACGATTCATCAAGAGGACGGCACAAAGGCACAAAATGGCGTTCTCATCGAAGAGTATTCGGAAGGTGACGATAATAAAGCAAAACTCCAAGTGAATAGAGGCGTTTCCATTGTATCAGTTTCTGACGACGAATCAACAATGAAGGCAATTTCCCGCGATGTCAGTACCGACGATGTTCACGCCGAACTATCAGACGATCACAAATTAATCACCAACGGATCCATAGACGACGTCTTTGGAAATTCTAATGGCAAATTCGAAGAAAAATCCTACGACGATCGTAAAGCACAACGAGGAATTCTCCTCACCGAAACAATAATCGAAGAACGTTCCATTGACGAATCACTCGAATTACCAATAGTAAAAGACACTTCTCCATCGAAAATTCAAAAAGCCGAGGAGAGTAAAATCGAGCGACAAACATCGGTGAAAATTCAAGAAACATTAAAATTCGAAGAAATTGAAAAACCCTCTTCAGAGAAGGGGAAATTTTCCAAAGAAAGAAGTATTTCGGTCGAGAGTTCTCACTCGAGGAAGAATTCAATAAAAACCGAAATTCTCGATTCTGCCGAATTACAAACGCCAATTGTCGAGGAGAGTATCGTCTCTAAAGAGAAATCGGTCAAAGTCGAAGCAAAATACAGTTCGATTAGAAAATCCGATTCGATCGAATCACAAGAACCACAAACGCCAATTATCGAGGAGAGTGTAATATCCAAGGAGAAATCGGTTAAGGTAAAAACTCAATACAGTCGGGAGAATTCGACAAAATCGGAAATAGTCAATCAGGCACAATCGCCACTTATCGAGGAGAGTATAATTTCTAAAGAAAAATCTGTCAAGGTAAAAACGCAGTTCAGTAGAGAAAGTTCGATAAAATCTGAAAAACCACTAAATGAGGATGAAGAATATTCTCTGGAGAATAATAAGGAGAATAATTTTTCAAGACAAAATTCATCACAAAGTTCAATTCACGACGAAAGTAAACTCTCTCGACAATCGTCAAAATTGGAAAGATTCAATTCGAATGAATCAAAGAAATCGATTAAAGAATTTTCGAGGGAAAATTCACAAAAAGGGGTGAAAAATGATGAAGAAGAGGTTGATGAAGAAATGGAAAAATTATTCGAGCGAATTAAACGACAGAGAAGTGTATTAGATGAAATTCTTGATCAAACTACTGGTGATAGGGAAAAATCAGGTAAGACAATGATTATAAACAGGGTTGCCACAGATCAGGAAAATCTGGGAATTCAGGGAATTTTCAGAAAAGTACTGAAAAAATATTAAATTTTTAGAATTCAGAAGAAAATTCCGAAAAATATTAAATTCTCAAAAGGTTTTAAATTAAAATTTAAGAAAACTTGAATTCTAAATATAGGTAGATAATAAAAAATTCAGAAATTAGGTTTTAAAAAAATTTTGTATTTAAATTTTTTTTTAAATTAAACATTTTTAGTTAGAAATTCTAAAAAGTAATTGAACTGAAATCGGGAGAATTATTTTGTAAAAAAAACTAAACATAATTGATTTCGAAAAAAATTTTAGTTAGAAATTCTAGAAAATAATTTGAATTGAAATCATGAAAATAATTTCAGAGAAAAGTGATTGAAAATAATTGATATTACAAAGAATTTTAGAGAGAAATTCTTGAAAATAATTGAATTGAAATCTAGAAAATAATTTTCGAGAAAAATTACAAGAAATAATTGATTTTTCAAAAAATTGCAGTTAAAAATTCTAAAAAATAATTGTATTAAAATCTTGAAAATATTTTTAGAGAAAAATGTTTGAAAATAATTGACTTTTCAAAATTCTTATTTTATTTTAATTTATTATTGGAAATAATTGATTTTTCAAAAGATTCTAGTTAAAAAATCCAAAAAAAATTTGAAATAATTGATTTTTCAAAAAATTTTATTTAAAAATTATAGAAAATAATTGAATTGAAATACTGAGAATTATTTTGGAAAAAAATTATAAAAAATAATTGATTAGGCAAAGAATTGTAGTTAAAAATTCTAAAAAATAATTAAATTGAAATCTTGAGAATTATTTTGCAAAAAATAATAAAAATAATTGATTTCGAAAAAAGATTTTAATTAGAAATTCTAAAAAGTAATTGAACTGAAATATTGAAAATAAATTTGTAGAAAAATTACAAAAAATAATTGATTTCTTAAAGAATTTTAGTCAAAAATTCTAGAAAATAATTGAATTGAAATCTGGAAAATAATTTTAGTGAAAAATGGTAGAAAATAATTTATTTTTCAAAAAAATTTAGTTAGAAAGTCTAAAAAAAATAATTGAATTGAAATCATGAGAATTATTTTAGAAAAAAATTTTAAAAAATAATTGATTTGAACAAGAATTGCAGTTAAAAATTCCAAAAAATAATTGAATCAACATCTTGAAAATAATTTTAAAGAAAAATGATTGAAAATAATTGATTTTTCCAAAAATTGTATTTAGAAATTCTAGAAAATAATTGAATTGAAATCCTGAGAATTATTTTGAAAAAAATAATAAAAATAGTTGATTTCGAAAAAAGATTTTAGTTAGAAATTCTAGAAAATAATTGAATTGAAGTCTTGAAAATAATTTTGGAGCAAAAATTACAAAAAATAAATTATTTTCCAAAGAATTTTAGTCAGAAACTTTAAAAAAAATTTGAATTGTTCACTTGAGAATAATTTTTGAAAATAATTGAAATAAATAATAATAAAAAAATAGTTGATATAAATATATTAGAAACATTTTCTTGAGTATTTAATTATTTTTAGAGTGAATCGAAATATTCTTTAGAGTCAGGGAAAAAGACGAAATTTTATCTAAAAATCAGCGAAAAGTCAGGGAAAAAGAAAAATATGTTTTTGTGGCAACCCTTATAAATTTTGTCTATTTTTTCTTATCAAAATTTAATTTTTTTTTTACTTCTAAATGCGTGTGATTCTAATCTCACTTTTTTTTATCCCTACTAATTGTGAAAAAGAAATTCTAACTTAAATGTAATTCCATAAATTTCTAAATGTAAAAAATGTAAATTTACTTTCTTTTTGTAAAAATTTCCCTCTGGAAATTCACTGTAACAATGAAGTTCGGTCATTATAATCACAAGCTGAGCTTGCATGAAAACACAGAGTCAAATCAACTCAGTACTTGCACTTCGTCAACGGTAGGTGACTGCAAGAATAATTTTACTATTCTTTCAAAAAAAGAGCTTGTTTTTTTTAATTATCTATAGTTTTTCATTATTAAAATTTTAATTAATTAATAAAATTTTTATTAATGAATATATAATTTTTTATTAGTAAAATTTTAATTAAGGACTAATTTTTTATTATTAAAATTTTAATTAATGAATATAATTTTAATTAATAAAGTTTTAATTAATTAAAAATTATCTCCAACTGTAAACATTGTTTAGAATTTTAATTTTTCTTTTTTGTAATTCAGCTTCTCCGAATATAATCAGTTCGACGCTTGAGGATAAGGAAATTTTCGAAACGCAGAACGTTAGTTTTGAAATAAAAGCCCAGGCATTGCCACGACCGGAAGCAAAATGGTACAAGGATGCGGAGCCACTGAAGACTTCCGACAGAATTAAATATTCAAATGTGGGAGAAATGTTCCAGTTGACGATAAAAAAGGCCGAACTCGAAGACGCTGGTTGCTACTCATGTATATTTACGAATAAATTGGGCGAAAAAACGGTCGACGGCGTTCTATTGGTTCTACCAGTTGAGGAACTTCGTAAACCAAGATTTGTTCGTCCTCTCGGCGATGTTGACGTTGCTCAACATACAACCGGAACTTTCAAGGCTGTCGCTACTGGCGAACCAATTCCAGTTGCAACTTGGTAGGAAATTCATTAAAATAATTAACTTCATGTGAAAAATTTTATAAATTATGAAAATAATTTAAATCGTGCTTAGAATTCAATTGAAATTTTCCCAGACAAAATTTTGACTTTTTCCCTGATCCTAAAGAATATTCTGATTCACTCTAAAAATTATTAGATACTCAAAAAAACATTCTATTACATTTACTTACGAATTTCTTTAATTGTAAAATTAATTGCAAACATCAATAACTTCATTTTTAAATAAGTATTTAATTACTATTTTTCCGTAGGAATTAAAATTCTTCAAAACATTTAAATTCAAACATTTTTAAAATTCAACAACTTATAAGAATATTATTATAAAACATGAAGATATAAATCACTCCGAGTCTTCGACTCGGAGTAATTCATGTCTTCATGTTTAATAAAAATTTAGATTTCCATAAAATTTTTCAAAAAAAAATTAAATTATTTACAAAAATTATAATAAAATTCGTTGCAAGAATTCAATTATTTTCATAAATTATAAAATTTTTCTGAGGATTTCAATTATTTTTAATACAATTTAAAATAAATATAATATAATGAAATTCTTCGTTGAAATTCAAATATTTTCAAAATCTACTGTTTTTAAAAGTTCTCAAAAGAATTCAATTATTTAAAAAAATGTAATAAAATTCGTTGCAAGAATTCAATTACTTTCATAAATTAATAAAATTCTTCACAAGATTTCAATTATTTTTAATACAATTTTTAAGTAAATTCTTCGAAAAATGTAATTATTTTTAATACAATTTTTAAGTAAATTCTTCGAAAAATGTAATTATTTTCAAAAATTTTATTAAAATTCTTCGAAAGAATTCAATTACCAATTATTTTAAAAAATTCATGCTATAATGCTTTTAATATTCAATTATTATTAAAAATTTTAACTGATATTAATTTTTAAATCAATTTTTATTGGAAAATTCTACGAGAATTCAATTATTTAAATACAAAAATAAATAATTTATTGATTAAACGAATGTTTCTCGAAATTGAATTATCATAACGAATTTTATCAGCATAATTGCTTTTTTCGAGGAATTTTAATAAAATTTTTTAGTATGATTAAATTTTCGAAGAATTCGATTAAAATTGTATTAAAAATAATTGAAATTCTAAGATGAGTTTTATTATTCATGAAAATAATTGAATTCTTGTAAAAAATGTTATTATTTATGAAAATCACTGAATTATTGCGAAGAAATTTGTAAAAAATTTGTAAATAGTTGAATTCTTTTAAAATTTTTATTATTTATGAAAATAATTTAATGTGTGCTTAGAATTTTATCAAAATTTTTTTTTTAAATAATTGAATTCTTTTGAAAAACTTTATTAAAATAGTACCTAGATATTGAAAATCATTGAATTGAAAAAAATTTTTTGAAAATAATTGAAATTTTGCAAAGAATTTTATTAAAATTTTTTAAAATAATTGATATTTGGAGAAGAATTTCATTATTTTTAAAGATAATTGAATTTTGACGAGAATTTTTTTAAATTTTTGAACATAATTGAATTTTTGCGAAGAATTTTATTATTTTTGAAAATAATTGAATTTCTGCAATCATTTGTAACTTCTCCAAAATTCAATTTTTTCCAGTATTTTAATAAAAATCCCTGACTTTTCTCTGACCAATTTTATTAAAATTTTTATGTAAGACAAATGAATAACCAAGTTTGTTCTGAAACAAATATATGCGTTTATTTAACTCAAAATATATTTGGTTAAAATAAAAATTTTCATAATAATTGATTTCCGGTGAAGAATTTTATTATTTAGAAAAATAATAAAAATTTTTTTAAAACATTTATTTACATTTTTTTCTTATAAAGAATTTTATTTAAATTTTTCAAAATAATAAAATTTTTGCAAAGAATTTTATCAAAATTCATTAAGATAATTAAATTCCTGCAAAGAATTTGATTAGGTAATTACGAAAATAATTCAATTCTCATAAATAATTATATGACAGATTTTTTTTATATCACAAAGTTTCTGCGAAGAATTTTATTAAAATTGTTTAAAATAATTAAAGTCATGTGGAAAATTTTATAAATTATGAAAATAATAAAATTGAAATCTTGCTATAAGAATTTTATTAAAATTTTCTAAAATAATTGGATTTTTTCCAGAAATTTAACTAAAATTCTAGTAAAAATATTTCAATTCTCATAAAGAATTAATTCAAAATTTTGCATAATAATTGAATTTCTGCGAAGAATTTTATCAAACTTTTTAAAATAATTGATTTTTTTGAGAAATCTTAATGAAAATAATTGAATTCCTGCGAAGAATTTTATTAAAGTTTTTGAAAGAATAAATAATTGTAATTAATTAGTTATTAATTGAATTTTTTTAAAATTTTGAATATGAAACTATTTGTTTTTATTGAAAGGTACCATTTGGGAGAGGAAATTCCCGTTGATGAAGAAAGATACGAGGCAACAGTTCGCAGTGAACCTGTCGAAGATGGACTGAAAGAATGCACATTTATCCTGAAAATGGACAATTGTGATCTCGATGATGTGGGAAAATATTCCATAAAAGTCAAGAACAATAATGGTGAAGCTGAATCGAGCGTAAGTTTTTTGTGTGCAAAGTTTTTTTTTAAATTTATTTTATTTTATTTTATTTTTAAATTTATGATTCTCTGTACAGGCCGATTTGGATCTTTTGATACGTCCAATAATCGAGGAATTCAAGGACATAAATCCTCCAGTTGGCGAGAAAGGCGAATGGGAAATAATCATAAAAGCAAATCCAAAACCCGATGTCTACTGGGTGAGAAATGACATAGATCTGGGAGAGGATGATCGTTTTGATTTCGAAGAAGATCACAAGAAGAAAAGCTATAAACTCATTATAAAACAAGTTGAAATGGATGACGCTGGTCCTTATAAAGTGGTTGCCATTAATGAATTTGGTGAAGCAACGGCTGTCGCTGATTTAACACCCTACAGTGAGTTTCGTATTACTTTAGTAATAAAATTCATCTTGAATAATTTTAATTTTATTGTTTAGTACTAATTTTATTTTAGACTTCATTTATTTTCGCTGAATTGCGTTGAATTTTTAATATTTTAAAGCCGTTGGTGATCCCGTTGGTGAAGTTGACAACGTTTATAATCACAAAGAATTTAGAAAAAAAAATATATTTTGTATTTAAATTTTGTATTTTTGTATAAAAAATGTTTTGCATAGTTTTTCGATCAACTTAAAACATAATAAAATCTAAACGAAATATTTTATTATTTTTGGCATGAAAAATATTTTTTTCTTTCAATCGTTGATCTTCAGCGACGTTTTTACTTTAGGGCGTAAAAAAAGTCAATTTAGCTAATTAGAGATAAGAAGAAAAGTCCAAAAAGCCGTTCATTTTATTCCGTGTTGTCACAAAAATCCCATTTTTTATTTTTCTGAATTTTCACTATTTTTTGTTAAATAAATATGTATTTAAATCCTACTTAGTATTTATTTTTCTACAGGAATTGATTTTTTTTAAATTTAAATTTCAAATCTTCTGAGTGAAAATTAATTATTTCTAAAAATTACAACTTTCAAAACTTAATTATTTTTTAGAATTTTTAACTAAACTTCGTGACTAAATCAATTATTATTTTTAATAATTTTCCAAAAGTTCTTCGAGAATTCAATTATTTAAATACAAAAATTGTATTCTTTAAAACCATTAGAACTAAAACTCTTCATTTTTTTCAAGTTATTATAGTGAATTATTAAAAATGTATAACCAAAAATATTGAAAATAATTGATTTAAAAAAAATTATAATAAAATTCTTAAAATTATTTTTTTTTAAATATTTTTTAATACTCTTTGAAATTTAATAGATTTTCTAATTATATTTAATTGAAAAATTTGCAAAAAATTAAAATGTACTAAAAATTGGCAATAATTTTAGACAATAATTGAATTTTTTAAAATAATATTTGGAAAATATTGAAAACAATCAAGTTTTTGAAGAACATTGAATACAAATATAAAAAAACGTGTTTTCTCTAAAATTTTAATGATAAAGGTTAAAAAAAGTAGAATTTTTGAAAATTTTAATTTATTTTTTTGTAAGATAATTGGATTCAAAAAAAGTATAATTTATTTGTTTATAAACGAGCAAAGTTTTATAATAAAAAAGTTTACAGAAATAGTTTTCTAAAACTATTGGAATGTTATATTTTTTTAAATAATTGAATTATTTTAAACAACATTTGGGAAAAAAAACTATTCAATTTTTTGAAGAATTTTAGTTAAAAAAAGATTGGAAAAGATTTATTTACTTAAAAATTTTAATAATTCTAAAAAAAATTCTAACATAACTATTTTTGTAAATATTTGAATTTTCAAAAATTTGTTAATTGAAAATATTTCAAATAATTAAGTTTTAAAAAATTGCCATGAAAAGAATTCAAAGAATTACTTTTTTAAAAAATATTTTAATATAAATTATTAAAGATAATTTTTATTAATTTTCAATTTAAAATTTTCATTTACAGATTTTTCATAAAAATTGTTGAGAATTCAATATTATTTTCAAAATTTACAATTAAAATTCTTAAAAATCAAGGAAATTCAAATTCAAAATCAACAAAATTCAAGGAAAAGTCAGGAGAATCAGAGAAAATTCTCAAAAGTAGTAGAATAAGTTTTAAATTTTTAGAATTAATAAAAAAATTATTGTTTTTGATGTCCAACCTAAATTTTTTTTCTAATTTCCGACAATAATTAAACTTTACAGAATATGAATTTGAATTTATTTTTAAAAATATAATTCTTTAAGAATTTTTATAAAATTGTTTATAAATTATTTTGCAAATAATTTTTCTTAAAAATTCAAAAAATAATTGAATTTTGAAAGAATTGCTTTTTTAATTTTGATGTAATTTCAATATTTTTTTTTTGCTTCTAGCCGAACCGCCTATTTTCACAAAGGAACTGAAGAAAGAATCAGTGAGAGATCAGAATAATTATGAGGCTGAGATTCGAGTGACTGGTTATCCGCGACCGGAAGTACAATGGCTCAAGGATGGTGTGGAAATTGAAAATGACGATCGACACAAAATTGTAACGAGCGTCAATGGAAATGAAGTGATTAGTATGTACACAATTGATAGATTTTCCGAGAGCGACGCTGGAACTATAACAGTGAATGCGACAAATTTTGTTGGAACCAGTCAATCAGTGGCAGAACTTGCCCTAACGCGATTCCCACCCAAATTCTTTGCGACACTACCAAAATCATTGAATCTCGACGAAGGAAAGCCACTCGAACTATCAATTAATGTCGATGGAAGTCCAATACCGGTTGTTAAATGGTACAAAGACGGTGAGGAAATAAAACCCGATGGTCATATTAAATTGGAGAAACTTCCAGACGGTTCAATGAAACTTTCGATTGATAAAGTCATTCCCACGGATTGTGGAGCCTATAAAGTGGTTAGTAAAAATTCCGGCGGTGAAGAAACATCCCTTTGCGCTGTTGCCATCAAACGTGAGTAATTAAATTTAATCTTTACTTCTGAATTCTTAAATTAAAAAAAAAATTCTAATTCAAACCTTGTGTCTTATTTTACAGCCGAAACTCGAAAACCATCATTTTCAAAGAACTTGGAAGATGCGAAGGCTTTGGTTGGTCAACCTTTGAAATTAGAGGCGAGAGTTGACGCTTTCCCGAACCCACAACTGCAATGGCTGAAAGATGGTTTTCCGATTAGACCGTCGAAGGAAATTAATTTCGTAAATGAGCCGAATGGTCTCATTGGTCTTACAATCGATAAACTACGACCGGAAGATGCGGGTGTTTATTCCTTAGTCGTTTCTAATGATCTTGGAGAAATAACCGGTACAGCTAACGTACAAGTCGAGGAACTGGAGAAGAAACCAGAATTCATGGGAACTATACAACCATTAACAGTTGTCGAGGGTTTCCCCGCGAAAATGGAAGTCAAAACTATTGGCAAACCAGCACCAACGATCAAATGGACACATAACGGAAAGCAGGTAATATAAATTAAATTATAAATATTATCAAAACACCTTCACGTTTATTTTAGAGTAAACAGTTTATTAATAATAATATAAAATAATTAAACAAAATAATAATTCACAGATTTGCACGCTTATACAAGCCTTTTTCGCTCATACGAGTCCAAGTCCCAAAAACTTTCTGATTTTCAATTTCGCTCAACTTTGCATATCCCTTCTTTTTCTACCTACATTTTTCGTCACATGCGCATTTCTCTAATTTGAAATTGAATATAATTTTGAATTGCTAACACAGGTTTTTATTACTTTCGAATCTTTTGAATATCAAAAATATAACATATTATTTTTTATTCTTTTCGGGCTTCGCACTGGTGAATTAATTTCAAAAAGTAGGTTTCGAATCTTTTGAATATTATATCTTAATTATTTTTTATTTTTCTCAGGCTTTGCCCTCGTTAATTAATTTAAAAAAGTAGCAAATATTAGCTTCGAAATTGAAAAGAAGTAAAACTTTACAGTTTTGGCTCGTTTATTGGAAAAAGATGAAAATTGTGGGCGTTTCCGAAAATTCAAACTATTTTCTTTCTTTCCTATATCACTAAATAAACAATTCATTACTACATTATTTTGAAATTTAGCGTGGTCTTCATGAAATTTTTTGGTTTTGAATTTTGTCAAAAATAGACAATTTCACATTTTTGTCCCGTTTTTTAGGAAAAAATGAAAATTGTGTGCGTTTCAGAAAATTTCGACTTTTTTTCTTCTTCTATATTGAAGATAAATGTATAAAGAGGGAAGGTTATTCGTGTCGAGGCAAATAAAAGTAAAAATTACAACTTTAATTCTTACTACTTAATTATTTCTAAAGCTTACAATTGAAATTCTTTCAAAATTAAATTACCTATTGTTTAGAATTTTTAATTAAAATTATTCAAATATTTGATTTTCTTAGAATACTATAACGCTTCTTAGCATTCATCAATTCTTTTACAAAATTTTAACTAAAATTCTTTTTTAAATACCTAAATTCTTATTACAAAATTCTACGAGAATTTGGCTATGCACTTAAATAAAATTTTTGAAAATAATAAACTATTTCGAGGAATTTAATTTAAATGGAAGGTATTGTAAAAAATTTGAATTCTTATAAAGAATTTTATAAATTTTTTGAAGATAATTGAATTGTTTTTAGAATGTGATTAAAATTTTTTAAAACCTAATAGAATTTTTTTTAGAATTTTATTAAAAATTTTTTAAATAATTGAATTTTTTTGATACATTTTTTTAAAATTGTATTGAATATAATTCAATTCCTGTGAAGGTTTTATTTATAAAAAAATTAAATTCATAAAATAATATAATAATATAATATTCTTATAAAACGGTTCTTAAACAATTTTATTAATTTATATTCTTATAAAACCGTAAAAGGCCTCTAAATATTATTATCATAATTAAATTCATTTAAAGAATTTCATTATTTACAAAAATAATTGAGTTTTTGCGAAGAATTTTATTAACTTTTTTGAAAATCCTTATTAAATTCTTTTGAAGAATTTCCTTGAATTTTTTTAAAATAATGGATTGGATAAACATTTGGATTCTTTCGAAAAATTTTATTAAAAATTTAAAAAAAATTTTATGCACAATTTCTTTTAAGTTTCTAAAATAATTGTGTTTCTTAATAATGGAAATTAAACACTTAATTATTGGATTTTATTAAAATTTTTGAAAACAATTGAATTCTTTCGTGAAATATTATAAAATTGTATTGAAAATATTTGAATTTTTGCAAAAAATTTTACAATTAATAAAATTAATTGAATTCATTGAATATATCAATTGAATTAATTGAATTAATTGAATATAACGCTTCTAAAAGTCAATTGTTTTCTAAATTGTTACTGAAATTCTTTATTAAATCAATTCTTATCAGAAAGTTTGACGAGAATTCAATTATTTAAATACAAAAATTAATAATTGATTATTTCTAAAGATTGAAACCGTAACTCTTTATGATGATTATTTTGAAGAAAATAAATATTCATTTTCTTGTGTCAACTATTAGCGAGTTTAAAGTATTGCAAATTCTCAAAAAAAATAAAATCTCAAAATAGATAAAAATTGATAAAAGATGCATGTAAAAAATTTATCCAAATATGTAGTGTCAAATAGTAAAAAAAGTAGTAAATTGTAGGTTTTAGTAGATGAGTGCAAAATCTGTCTTTATCAATATACAAAAAAAATCATTTTATTTCAGATCGTTCCCGATGGACAGCATGTGAAAATAATTGATCAACCAGACGGAAGTCAGGCCCTAATAATAGGCGAAGTGAGACCCCAGGATGCAGGAACGTACGAGGCAGTGGCTAGTAATTCCCAAGGTGAAATCTCATGCAAAGGTGATTTGGAAATCGCTAAAAAGACCGACAACACAACTCCCGAGGAGAAACCAACATTCATGAGTCCAATTCGTGACACAACGGCTGAAGAGGGACAGGAAATGATCTTCAGTGCACCATTCACTGGTAATCCAATTCCAGAAGTAATCTGGACTAAAGATGGTCAGGAATTGAAACCATCGGAAAAAATAATGATGACATGCGATGGGAAAAAAGTGGGACTGGAAATTAATCCAGTTGAACATAGTGATGCCGGTGTTTATGGATGTACCCTAAGAAATCCACTTGGTGAGGACACATCTAAAGCCGAGGCGAACGTGAGAAAAGTCTATCAACCACCAACATTCGCTCAAAAATTCACCGACTTTCAACAAATGCCAAATCAAGATGCTAAATTTCCCGTCAGGGTATTTGGTATTCCTCAGCCGGAAATTAGTTGGTACTTTAATGACACGCCGATATTGAGGGACAGTAATAAATACAAAATACGAAGAGACGGCGACGCTTGTTGTTTGTACGTTAAAGATTGTCAATCATACGACGCTGGAAAATATAAATGCAAAGCAGTGAATAGAGAAGGAGAGGCTGAATGTGCCGCGACATTCTCAATTGTCGATAAAATGTGAGTTTTAAATTATTACTTATTCAGATTTAGAAAATAAGTTTTGTGATATTTTTATAATTGAAAAATTTAGAAATTATTTTTATTTTCCATTTCTTTTTCATTTTTAAGTATAATTATTTAAAAATTTAATTTTCTAAAATCTTAAAATAAAATCTTTTGAAATTCAATTATTTATGACAGTTGTAAACGCGTCTCAATTATTCAACAATTTTTTAATTACATACCTATATATATAATAAAAAATTTCAAAAAAATTTGAATAAAAAATCTATATTAATAATCGTTGTATTCCGGTAATCTGTTCGCATTTTGAAGTTAGTTGCTGTTTGCTTTTTTATTTCTTAACTTTTTTAATCATTTTTCTTTTTAAATATTTTCAATTTTAAAATTGTTGTATAATAATGGAATTTCTTTAATAATTTAAATTGAAAATTTTGAAATTTGAAAGTAATTGAATTTTATGAACAGTTTCTTTAATTGAATTCATGAGAAGAATTTTATTATTTCTTAAAAAATAATTTAATTTTTGCAAAAAATTTTACTAAACTTATAAAAATAATTGAATTCTTGCGTAGAATTATATTAAAATTTTTGAAAATATAATCAATATTAATTAATTCTGTACTTAATAAGTGAATTTTTTAAATTTTTTTATCAAAATTTTTAAATTTTGATTAGTAAATTATTTAAAAATTTATATTTGAATATAAAAAATTTTGTTATTTCCAGAACAATAATATAAATTGAATATCACTTTCCGCGCTTAAGATTGTTTAGTAATCTAAAAGAAATTGAAATCGATACATAAAAATAAAAAATTCTGTAATTTACATAGTAATAAATTATAAATAATAATAAAAACCTAGTTAACATTTGTTGGTTTAAATTAAAATTTACCAAAATTTCTCATTTTTAGTGATAAAAAGCAGAAAGTGGAGGCACCGTCTTTCTTGAAGAGATTGGGAGATTGCGAGGTGTATAAAGGAATGACAGCTAAATTCACCGCCTGTGTTACTGGATATCCAGAACCGGAATTCGAATGGTTCCACGAGGGTGGCAAACTCTGGCCTACTGATCGCATCCTCATGGATCAGGAAGGCAGCCTCTTGAGATTAACCCTCTATCATATTGACGAAAGCGACGCGGGAAAGTACAGCCTAAGAATCTTTAACCCTCACGGCGAGGACACCTGCCACGCTGAAATGATTTACGAATGTAAGTATAATTACAAAACAAAAAAAAACTTTATTAATTTCGAAATTATTTTGAATTCTTAAATTTGTAGTTTATTTTGAATTAAAAATATCAAGAAAATTATCAATCTTCCAAGCAGGGCTCGAACTAGGTCCGTAAATCCCGTAAAAGTCAGTAAATTTGTTTAAAGTCCGTAAAAGGCAGTTTGTTTTAAAAAAAGGTGCGTAAAGTCCGTAATTTCATTGAAAAAGCAAGAAAGGTTTGTAACTTTAACGATATAATTTGGAAAATTATTGAGAAGTTACAAATAATTGCAAAAATTCAATTATTTTTAATACAACTTTAATACCCATTTCATGAAATAATTCAATTTTAAAAAAAAATTCTTAATAACATTTTTCGAAAGAGTCCAATTATTTTCTAAAATTTTAATAAATCCTTCGAAACAATTTAATTGTTTTTATAAATAGTGAAATTCATCGGAAGAAATAAATTATTTTTCATAAATAATAAAATTCAATTATTTTTAATACAATTATTAACAAATTCGATTGTATTCAATAAATTAAAGGAATTTTTCAAAAGAATTCAATTATTTCTTAAAAATTTTAATAAAATTTAAGAAATAAATGTTTAATTTTAATTAGTAAGAAAGAGGATTATTGTACTAACTTGAAAGAAATTGTTCATATAAATATAATTGAAATTAAAAAATATAAATTTAATTTAAAATTTTGATAAAATTCTGGTCAAAAATTTCAATTATTTAAAAATAATTTTCCTCAATTCAATGATTTTCAATAATCTACTATTTTAATAAAATTTTCCAAAAGAATTCAATTATGTAAAAATTTTTTAATGAAATTTTGCGCAATCATTTCATTATATTCATAAAATAATTAAAATTTCGCAAGGAATTCAATTATTTATAAATTTTTTATAAATTTCTTTACAATAATATCATTATTTTCATAAATAATAAGACTCATCACAAAATTTCAATTATTCTAAATTCAATTTTAATAGAATTTCTCGAAAAATGTAATTATTCTTAAAAATTTTATTACAATTTGTCAAAAGAATTGAGTTATTTACAAATTTGTTGATAAAATCCTTCATGAGAATTGAATTTAATGAAACATTCAATTATTTAATAAGTTAATATTTTTTGTATTTAAATAATTGAATTTTATTTGAATTTTTTTATAAAAATTTATTTAAAAATGAATTTCAGTTAAAATTTTATAGATAATAATTGAATATTTAAAGCATTAAAGCATGAATTTTTAGAAATAATTGAATTCTGAAAAGGTTTTAAATTAAAATCTTTGAAAATTAAAATTTTAATTAACAATTCTGTGAAATTAATTTTTTTCAAAAGGTTTAATTGAATTTTTATTGAAATTTTTTGAAGTTGTTATTTTCTAATCCTTATTAATAAAATCAGACTTTTGTCTGTACATTGCATAGAATTCAAAATTTCTATTATATTCCTTATTTTTACACTCTAAGGAATGCGAAAATACTATTAAGAGAATTATGTGTGTATGTGTATATGTGTGTATGTGTGTATGTGTGTATGTGTGTATGTATGTCCGCAAATTTTCGACCGCGTATCACGGAAAAACGGTTCGATCGTTTGAAGTGAAACTTGGCAGTCTTTTAGGCATTAGCCTAACTTAAAATCCTAGCGATAGTAGATTAAAAAATATTAATATGGACGAAAGTTATGCCATTTTTTCAAAAATTCGAAAATTCGAAATTTTTAGTTTTTTAATATACTTTAGTGAATTGTACTTAAACTTGGTACAGGGTTAATTTTAGTGTTTCTTATTAAGATTTAATCGTCAGAATAATAAAATTTTGAATAACAAATAAAAAGTGTTAGATTTAAATATTGAAAAATTAAAAAATTAAAAGTTTAAAAATTGAAATTTTTTTGTAATTAATTTTTATACGGTTGTATTTCTTAGGTCAACAATAAAAATTTGTTGTTGAAATCATAAGTTTACTTTCTTAAAAAAATTCTATTAGGTCAGAATATTAACAATATCCATATAATTAATATGAGACTTTTGTCAGTATATTGCACAGAATTCAAAATTGCTATTATATTATATTAATTAATGATCAAAAAATGAAAAACTCAAATTTCATTCTGATGACTAAATTGTAATAAAAAATACTAAAATTAACCCTGTATCAAATTTAAGTAAAATTGATGACAATAATTATTTCAAAAGATTAATTTTGAATTTTAAAAATTTTGATAATATATAGCACTACCTGTCGTACCCGTCTTCGACGGGTTTTAGTTTCTACCAATACATTTAACAATGTTTCTACCAATCTGGAAAATCAAAAATACCCGGGAATTTAATTTCACCGGAAAATTAATAATTAGTAACCATTAGCTATTTCGGTAGTATAATTATACTATTTGAATAGTCTCCACCCTTTAGCAAAAAATCAAAAATTATCAAAAATTCGAGAAACCGAATTTCTTAAAATTTAACATTTTTTTCTTCTCTTTTATATCATTAAGCTTCATTATTTTTGTACTCTTCAAAAATACTTTACTTATATTTAATAGTCTCCACCCTTTGGTAAAAAATCTAAAATTATGGAAAATTAGCAAAAATTCAAAAAACGGAATTTCTTAAAATTCAACATTTTTTCTTCTATTTTATGGCTTTTGGCTTCATTATTTTTGGGCTCTTCAAAAATACTTAACCTAATTTGTTATCTCCACCCTTTGGTAAAAAATCTAAAATTATGGAAAAATAGCAAAAATGCAAAAAAATGAATTTCTTAAAATTCAACATTTTTCCTTCTTTTTATGGCATTTAGCTTTATTATTTTTGTGCTCTTAAAAATACTTTACTTATTCAATAGTCTCCACCCTTCGGTAAAAAATCTAAAATTATGGAAAATTAGCAAAAATTCAAAAAACCGAATTTCTTAAAATTTAACATTTTTTCTTCTTTTTTATGGCATTTAGCTTAATTATTTTGGTTTAATGTAGCAAATTTCTTACTTTACATACTGATCTTTAAATAAAAAACTTTAATAACTTTTCCTGAAAAGCTTGCTTAAAGATTAAAAATCACTATTTTCTTAGAAAAAAGTTGATCTAAAAAAACGAAAAAAAATTTCAAAATACGTCTTTTTTAAAAATTTTATTGTAGAAATGGGTTTTATTTATCTGAAAAAGTTAGCTAATGATAGTTTTGCATTTATTTTACAAAAGATAAAAAATTTGCATTTTTTTGATTTTTCGAATTTTTTGGAAAAATGTCATAACTTTCGTTCAAGTTAATATTTTTTAATCGGATAAGGCTATGATTGTAAGTTACGTTAATACCTAATAGTAATATAATATCTTATTTAAAAGTTTTTATTTCGATCTAATAAAAATTTATTTCGTTTAAATAATTTTATTTAGTTAAATCAAATAAATCTTAATTGGATTAATTAAATAAATACTTGACTCTAATAAATGAATTTATTTAACACAAATAATTTCTAAATTTTATATTTTTTTATGGATTGCTTCTAAACTTTCTATAGTTGAGTATAACATGTTATTTATTAACATTTTAGCATAATTTTGCAAAAAATAATACTTTGTAACTAAAATGGAAATATAAAAATATTTTTAAAAAATCGAAAATTTCTAAATTTTACATTTTTCAATGGATAGCTTTTAAACTTTATATAATTGAATATTACATATTATTTAGTCACATTTTAGCATAATTTTTCAAAAATACTTTCTTATAACGAAGATGTAAGTATAAAAATGTTTTGAATATCAAAAAATTGAAAAAATTATCTTGATACCAATTGCTATGAAGCTTAATTCAATAGTATTTGTGGGCTCTCTGATTTAACTTTTAGAGATATCTTGATCAATGTAAAGACAAAAGTTAAACACGGTGTTTATTTTGGTTTAAAACATTTTCCGGCTTTGTCCAAATTTTTCCTGGTTTATTCGACGGGTGTTTTTTAATAATACATTTAACAGGGTGTCTACCAACCAGAAAAGACGTAAAATATCAGGGAATTTAATGTAACCGAGAAAAACTGGATCTACTTGCTATACAATTAGTTCGAATTAGACTGTACTATAACTCAAAAAACTGGAGGGAATTTTAGATTTATTTTAATACATTATATTGATTGAAGTACTACAAATTGAGAAATATTGTTTTCTGCATTTGAATTAGTTAAAAATAACTAATTTGATAATAAAAAGTCGGTCACTGTTTCAAATGGTATTATTTTCCTAATGAAATAGACAATAGTAACTAATTATTATTTTTTCCCTGTCAAATCAAATTCCCGGCTATTTTCCGGTTTTCTAGGTTGGTAGATACACTGTTAAGTGCATTATCAGAAACTACAACCCGTCGAAGACGGGTACGACAGCTAGTAATATATATATTTAATTGAAGAATTTTCAAATAATTGAAATTTCGTAAAATTGAATTGTAAACCAATGGATTTGAAAATTGTCAAACAACTTTTTTGAAAATTATTAAAAATAATTAGTTAAAAACTTCTAGAAAATAATTGAATTGAATTGAAATGTTGAAAATAATTTTGAAGAAGTTGCAGTAACAAAATTCTTATAATATGAAATAATGATTTTATCAATTTGCCATCTTCATGTTTTATAGTTATGAGAAATTTAATTTCTAGTTTTAAGTAAAATATTCTTTTATTTTACTCGGACTGGTTATATTTTTGTCAGTAATAATTGGTCCGTAAAGTCCGTATTTTTAAATAATTTCACAGGTTCGAGCCTTGTCCAAGTCAAAATGTACATTTTGATTTGGAAGATTGATAATTATCTTGATTATATTATTTTTTACCGAGTGATAAATACAATTTAATACTACTACAATTTAATTTTGAATTTATTTCGAATTTTTCAATTGATTTTGAATTAATTTTGCATATTTTTCGAATTTTGAATTTATTTGCAATTTGTTAACTAATTTGAATTTGTCAAATAGCTCTGGAGCCAAGAGTGAAGAAACCATTAGCAGATCAGTACATCGACTATGATAAGCGAAGATCAGGTCTTCCGTTACCCTTATCCGACAGACCGATAATAAGTCGTATGATGGATCGACATTTGACACTGTCATGGAAACCATCGATACCAATTGGTCCCAGAATTCCAGTCACCTATCTCGTTGAAATGTGCGAATTACCAGACGGCGATTGGTTCACAGCACGCTCAGGTCTACGAACATGTGTCTGTGATATTCGCAATTTGGAACCGTTTCGCGATTATAAATTTCGAATTCGCGTTGAAAATAAATATGGAATCAGTGATCCATCACCGTTCGCACAGACATATCGTGCCAAATTAGAACCTGAACCACCGAAATTCTTTCCCTATTTACCGCCTGGAATTGATTTTAGACCCGAGACGAGTCCCTATTTTCCCAAGGACTTTGACATTGAACGACCGCCACACGATGGCTATGCACAAGCGCCAAGATTCTTGCGACAGGAGCACGACGCTCAGTATGGCGTGAAGAATCATAATTGTAATTTGTTTTGGTTTGTCTACGGTTATCCGAAGCCAAAAATGTCCTATTATTTTAATGACGAATTGATTGAATCGGGGGGAAGGTATGATCAGAGTTACACGAGAAATGGACAGGCGACGTTGTTTATTAATAGAATGTTGGAGAGGGATGTGGGAATTTACGAAGCTGTCGCTACAAATGAACATGGACAAGCGAGACAGAGAGTGAGATTGGAAATTGCTGAGTATCCGCAATTTATTCAGAGACCTGACGAAACTGTCATTATGCTGAGGAAACATGGTAGAATTGAAGCCAGAGTTATTGGTGTTCCCTATCCAGAATTGAAGTGGTACAAAGACTGGAAACCTCTTGCGCCTTCAACGAGAATCAAAGTAAGACTTAATTTTCTCATCGTTGTCACACAAGGCTGGAAAATAAATATCAAATTTTGAATAATTTCATATTCAAAATTTTCAAAATTCACTTATTAAGTATCTAATTAATTATTCTTATTTATTATTTTCAAAAATTTTAATCAACTCGGACGTAAAAGTTTATTCAACTTTAATCAAGTTCTTCGAAACAATTAAATTATTTAGAATATAATTTTAATAAAACTCTAAAGAAGAATTCATTTATTTTGAATATAATTTTGATTTCTCGTAAAATTTTAATTATTTTTTAAACAAATTTTAATAAAATTCTTCGCTGGAATTCAATTACTATCATAATTAAAAAAAATTCATCCCAAGAATTCGATTATTTTGAATAGAATTTTATTAAAATTTTTCTGAGTTTCAATAATTATTTTAAAAAGTTTTTGGAAAGAATTCAATTATTTTCAACAGTTTTGATTAAGTTCTTTATAAGGATTCAATTATTTTCAATTAGATTTCAATAAAATTTCTCGAAAGAATTGAAATATTTTCAAAACTTTATATAAAATTCTTTGAAATAATTGAATTATTTTCAAATTCTAATAAAATTCTTTACGTGAATTAAATTATTTTCATAATTAATAAATTTCTTCTCAAGAATTTAATTATTTTGAATAGAATTTTAACCAAGTTTCTCAAAAAATCCAATTATTAAAAAAAATTTTCCCAGGAATTCAATTATTTTATATTCAAAAATAATAAAATTCTAGAAAGTAATTGATTTATTGTCAATACAATTTTACGAAAAGATTCAACTATTTTCAATAAAATTTCTTAAAAGAATTCAATTATTTTCAAAAATTTTTATTAACATTTTTCATAAGAATTCAATTATTTTGTAAATTTTTCATTAAATTTTTTATGAGAATTGGAATACTTTTAGTACAATTTTCATTAAATTCTTTGGCAGAATTCAATTACTTTCAAAAAATTTTAATAACATTTTTCGTAAGAATTCAATTTATTTGTAAAATTTTGATTAAATTCTTTATGAGAATTGAAATATTTTCAGTACAATTTTAATTAAATTCTTTGTCAAATATCAATTATTTTCGAAAACTCTACTAATAAAATTCTTAGCAAGATTTCTATTATTTTTATAATTTAGAAATTTTTTCGTAGGATTTTCTTCTGGAATATAATTTTGTTTCCATTTGAAAATTGAAATTACCACGAATTTTAATACTAAATCTTAAATTTTTTTTCTATATCTGACAATAATTATTGAAATTTACCGAATATGAAGTTGAATTTTAAAAAATAAATTTATTAAAAATTTAATTTATAAATTATACTAATTTAATTCGTTAAGAAGTATCATAAAATTATTTCTTATAAATTATTTAATGAGTAACTTTACTTAAAAATTTCCAAAATAATTGCATTTTATAAAAGTTGTGTTTACAATATTATTAGAAATAATTAAATTTCAAAAGGTTTCCAATTGAAATTTTAGAAAATTTTAATTTTCACTTCTGAAGCAATTACTTTTTAAAAAATTTTAATTAAAAATTCAGAAGTAATTAATTTTTGGAAAATTTTTATTTACATTTCTTTGAAATTAAATTTTTGAATACGTATTTCGTTGAAAAATTTTTTAATAATCGAAATTTTGTAAAGTTGAATTGTATACAAGTGGATTTCAGAATTATTTTGGGTGAACTTTCTTTTTTTCTGGAATCATTGAATTCTGAAAGAACTTTTTCAAAAACGTTAAAAATAATTAATTTACAGCAAAATTTTAGTTAAAAATTCTAAAAAATAATTAAATTTTGAAGTAATCGTAATTTTCTTAGTTGCAATTTTTAGAAATTATTAATTGCAAAAGGTTTGAAGTTAAAATTTAAAAAATTTTATTTTCTTTGGAAAAATAAATAAGAAGTACTTAAATTTACCAAAATTTAAAATTTTGACAAAGTTATTGAAGTTTTGAATAAAATTCTACGAGAATTTAATTACTTGAATACAATTTTCTTAAACATTTTTGAAAATAGTTGAATTTTCAAAATTGCAAAGAATATAATTTAATTCCTATGAAGAGTTTCTTAATTTATAAAAATAAATGAATTCTTGCAAAGAATTTTATTAAAATTTTTGAAAATTATAAATACTAACAGCCAATCAGTTGATAAGTGAATTTTTTAAAATTTTGAATTTGCAATTATTCAAAAATTGAATCAATTTAAATTTTCAAAGAATTCAATTCAAAAACTTTTTGAAAATAAATTATTTCTAAATTCTTATTATAACGCTTCTAATTGTTATAATTATTAATTATTAATAATAATTGTTAATTGTTAATTACTTGAATACAAAAATAAATAATTGATTCTTATTTTTAAAAATGGCAACGATGGCAACTCTGCCTCTATTTAGGGTGTTATTGAAATTTTTAAAGTGAGAAAGAAAATCCAAAGACAAGGTTACTTTTAATAATTAATAATTTGCTACTTTTCTACTACTTTTGGTAAAATTTCCATATATAAAAGACTTTTATTTAACTTATTATTTTCCTTATAGATTCAATTTGTCGAGCCAGACACTTCAATTCTGGTGATTGATGACGCAATTCACAAGGACGAAGGTCTTTACTCGTTGAGCGTAAGAAATGTCGCTGGTTGTATCTCAAGTTCAGCGATGATTCACATTGAGGAAAATGAACACGAATATGGTTACAGAACGTACACGAGAAAACCGGACATTAAACCGAGAAATAAACCATTCGCGGACTATTATGACATTGGCGATGAATTGGGAAGAGGAACGACGGGTGTAGTCTACCATTCAGTTGAGAGACCAACCGGAAAGAGTTTCGCCGCCAAAGTTATGCACGGTGGTGGCGAGTACAGATCATTTATGTACAACGAAATGGATGTCATGAATAATTTCAGCCATCGTAAACTTATTCGTTTACACGACGCTTACGAAACCGATCGAACGGTGATCATTGTCACTGAACTGTATCCTTTTTCATTTGCATCAGGATTTTCCATTTTTTATTTTTAAAACAATTGAGGGCTCGGATCGAAGAACCGACGCTTGTAAACGCATAGAACATTGCGAAGCGTCGGTTCTTCGATTCGAGCCCTCAATTTTTTATACTCGATTTTTTTTCAATTTAATTCTTTTTTTTCTCTTTTTTCCTATTTTTATTTTCTGTTTCATTTTTTTTTTTTTTTTGTTTTTTGAATATTTCATCGTGAATGTATTTTTCTTAATAAATGGAAATTTAGAGCTGGAGGAGGCGAATTAGTTGACAATCTCACGAGACAATCGTATTACACGGAAAGCGATATTGCTGGTTACATAAGACAAGTGCTTTGGGGTTTGGAATATATGCACAATAATAGTTACGCTCATCTTGGTTTGACGGTAAATTTTTTCATTTATTTACTAACAACAGGCCTCGGATAAAATGAATTTTTTGACTTTTATCGACTTGTAATTTTCGTTGCCGTTGTTACTTTAAAAGATTTGCTTTTTGAAATTTAATGAAAATTCTTCATTTTTTAAGAATATAATTTTTCTAACAGTTTTTCTTTACATTTAATTATTTAAACAACTCGTATAGAAATCGCCAAGATATTTCTATCGGCAACTTCAATATTTTTGATTAAATAATTGAACTTTCCAATGGCACTCGAGTACGACTGAAACTATCCTGGCAATAAGTTTATTCTAAATTTTTAAACAATTCAATTATTTTCCAAATTTTCAATTAAAACTCTTCAAAAATACTATTATATTTCAAAATAATTTTTAAAAGTAAACAAATAAAATTGATTAAAATATAAAATTTACTTTAATGAAATTTGACAAAATTTTTAATTATTTCAATTTTTTAAAATGATTTTTGGAAATACAGATTAATTTAAAAAAAATTTAATTACATTTTTTCAAGAAACAATTTTTTGGAATTGTTGAATTAAATTATTCAAAACTTCAATATTTTTTGTTAAAAAAAATTAAAAACTTATTCTTATTTATTTTTCGACAGGAATTAAAATTTCATATAATTTCAATGAAAAACCTTTTGAAATTTTTGAATAAAATTATTGAAAAACTTTTAACAATTTTTAATGAAAAATAATGTAATTAATAATTTTTGAAAATATAAATTAAAATACTTTTATACTTTTGCTTCCCTTAAATTTTCAAAGAATTTATTTAAACAATTTTTTTAAATTTAATTAAAATTTTAACTCTCATTTTTTTAAAATTAATTCCTATCAGAATTCAACTACGAGAATTGAATTTTTTAAATATATAGAATAATTTTTGTAAATTCATAGAATAATGTATTTTCAAGAATCCAAATATATTTATAGATAATTTTTAAAGATGAAAAAATAAATTTCTTTAAAATATAAAATTTTACAAAATTTCCAATTGTATCAATTTTTTAAAATTATTTTCAGGAATTTAAGTATATCTTCAAAATATTGTAATTACTATTTTTCAAAAACTTAATTTTTTCAGAATTTCCAAATTAAATATTTCAAATTTCAATCATTTTTGTAAAATAAATATTCAAATACTTATTGTTCTGTATTCGCTTAAAATTTCGAAATACTTTCAATGTAAAACCATCGGAAACATTTTTTATGAAAATTTAAACTGCAAGTATTTCAAAATTCAATTATTTTTTTAGAATTTTTGAATAATATTATTCAAAACTTTTAATTTTTAAGGAAGCTAACAAATTAATAATTTTTTATATTTAAATATTATGATACATTTACAGCAATTAGAATTTCAAAGATTGAAATTTATAAACTTTTTAAAATTTAATTATTTTTGAAGAATCCTACTTTAACACTTTATATTATTTTCTAAAGTTTCAACTAAATTTTTTTTTAAATCAATTCTTATCAGAATTCAATTATTTATGTAAATACAAAAATAAATAATTCATAGAATAATTAATTATTTTTAAAAATTGCAAATGTACCTCTTTATTGAGTTTTTGAAATTGGGGTTAAATTTTCTTACTACATAACAATTCGAACTATAATACAAAAGATTGGAATATAACAATACTAACTTAACGTAAAGACAGATTATGTCGATTATTATAATATAATATAATAATTGATTTAAGGATCAATTTTTTTTTTAAATGTAGAAAATAATTGAATATTTGAAAAGTTATAACTTTTCAAATATTCAATTATTTTATAGATTTAAAAAAAATTATAGCAAAAATTGAATATTAGTATTAAATGATTGATTTAGACTTTTTCGACTTTTATTTACATCTTTAATCGACTAAAGCGATTTTTTTATCCTCAAAGTCAATCCAAGGCTTAACTAACAAAAAAAGAAGACTAAGCGAAACTCATCGAAAATTTTGTTTTACAGCTTGGAGATTTGTTAGTTTCACATACAGGTGGTGATGATTTGAAAATTGGTGATTTTGGATTATCAAGAAGAATTGGACATCAATTGATGAATTTACATTATGGAATGCCGGAATACGTTGCACCGGAAATTATCAATGGCGAGGGTGTTACATATCGTACGGATATGTGGTCGGTGGGAATTATCACATACATTTTACTCTCGGGAATATCGCCATTCAGAGGATTGAATGACAGAGAAACGTTAACAAGAATTAAGGAGGGTAAATGGGATTTCGACGAAAGATGGAATTTTATTTCCGACGATGGCAAGGACTTTATTCGCAGTCTTCTCGTTTATCAATGGGAGAGACGAATAGACGTTTACACTGCTCTCAGACATCCGTGGTTAACTTATGCCGATAGAACATTTACAGATCCGTACAAAATTCCCTCGGAGAATTTGAAGAATTACTATAAACTTTATAAGTAAGTTTTCGTATTTTTTTATTTTAGTTTTCTTTTACTATCGTTCATTTCAATTTGATTAGAAATTAAATTAATTTAGTGAATTGAAAAGGTAAATGGTTTGTTGTGATTTTAGGGACTGGTACACTAACGCCTCTTGTAGAACGTGGTACAGGAGAAGGAAACTTAGCAGTGCTTTTGAGCATCCTTCGAAAATGGTGTATCCACCCGGACATAGATACACACCGGAGCCGAGTCCAGAAAGAACTTACAGTCCTACCAAGAGACCACCTCCGAAAGCTTGGGAAAATAGAATCCCTTCGAGGGAGCCAATCGACACGGAAATTGGTCTCATCAAGAACGAAAGCCAGTTAGTTTTATTTTTAACTACAACTTAAATTTTAATCTTAAATTCAAATATCGTAACATTTGGATGTTTAAATTCTAAAATTCCAAATCAAATAAAAATTCCGAATTCAAATTCAAATTCAAATTCTATTTCAAATTTAAAATTCCAAATTCAAATTATAATTCTAAACCAATAAAAAATTCGGAATTAAAATAAAAATTCCAAATTCAATTTAAAATACAAGAGTTGAAATTTAATTTTCCAGCTATCAGAATGGTCCAGACACTTATTTACTACAACTTCGAGATACTGATTTCCCTGTAAGATTGCGTGAATATATGAAAGTCGCTTATAATCGTGGATCAGGATATCCAAGACCAGTTGATGATCCCTACGATTGGAGAGTAAGTGAATCAAAAATAATTTACTTCCTTCCAAGAATTTATTTTTTTTACATTTTGAAGGTATCAAAAGATCACGAAATGAAAAGAATTTTATGAACAATTTTTACATTTATTTTGAAATATGAATTTAAACAAGATTGCTATAGAACAGGGAATTTTATCAAAAGTACTGAAAAAATAATAAATTTCCAAAATTACTTCATAATCTTTAGTTTTTGTCATCCAAAGAAACATGTTAAATTAATTTTAATAATTCTCAAAAAATTAATTTTTTTTAAATGTATATATAAATAATTTTTGTATTTTTATTATTGTTGAAAATAATTGAATTTCTTCGAAGATTTTTATTATTTATGAAACTAATTGAATTTATGCAAAGATTTTTATTAACATTTTTGAAAATCCTAATTTAATTCTTTTGAAGGATTTCTTCGAACTTTTTTAAACTAATCTAGTTTCTTTATAATAAATTTAATTGAAAATATTGAAAGTAATTAAATTTTATGAAGAATTTTTTTCAAGTTATTAAAATAATCGTGTTAGATAATAATTGAAATGAAACATTTGATTATTGAATTTTATTAAAACTTTTAGAAAATAATTAAATTGTTCTCAGAGTTTTATCACAATATTCTAAAATAATTTAATTCATTCAAGGAATTTTACTAATATATAGAAAATAATTAAATTCTTTTGAAGAATAGATACTAATAAAGGTTTTGACAATAATTGAATTCTTTCCAAAAATTTCTTTATATTATTTCTAAAAATTTTAATAAAACTCTTCAAAGAAATTTAATTATTTTCAATACAATTTTAATAAAAATTTTCGAAAAAATTCAATTATTATTAAAGATTTTAAAAAAATTCTTCTAAAGAATTGAATTATTTTCAAAAATTTTAATAAAGTTCTTTAAATAAGAATTGAATTATTTTCAATATAATTTTTCGCTAAATTCCTCGAAAGAGTTTAATAATTTTTAAAAATTGTAATTAACAATTATTGTTAACAAATTTAATAAAATTCTATACAGGAATAAAAAATTATTTCAGATTGAAAATTATAAAAGTTACAAAAATTATTTTAAAATTGAAAAGAATAATTAATTATTAACGCTAAATTTCATTACGTTCGTTAAAATTTTCTTTTATTAATTTATTCCACTAATCGCTTAATTTATGGATAAAAATCACAAAATTAGTCTATTTGACACGTCAACTTTGAAATAATAAATTTTATCTATTTCACTTCTTTAAATAATTTATATATGAATTTACAATATTAAATTCAGTCATTTTTGATAAAATTCAATCATTTTTTTACACTCTCGTCGTGAATTGTATATTTTTTGATTATTTGCAAATAGATAACAAATTGACAGTTTTCAGTACTTGATACACTTTAAATTCATAGTTTAGAATAAATGTAAAAATTTTCCATAAAATTCTTTTAATTTCATAAGTTTGACAACTTTGAAATCATTTTTGCAAAGTATTATAATTTTTTTTATAAATTAGTCGACGATTTTAGTCGAAATATGGTGAATTGACTGAATAAAATATTTTCTTTCTATAGACACCAGTAATAAGGGAACGTCGAAGATTCACTGATGTGATGGACGAGGAGATTGATGACGAGAGAAAAGCAAGAATCAATCAATATGGCAATGTCGATACAGGAACATTGAGACGTCTTCGTCACGAAATTGGAATTCGTCTTGATAGTTACGCAGAGGCTGAAGCATTAATGGAATCAAAGAAAGGTGGACATATGCCATTTTTCCGAGAAAAACCACAAAACCAACCGATACAAGAGGATAAAGTTGCACAACTTGGATGTTTGGCGGTTGGAAATCCAAAACCAATTATCCAATGGTTCAAGAACGATATGGTCGTTCAGGAGAGCAATCGAGTTAAAATTACCGAAGACAATGAGGGACGTTCGATTTTGAGTTTCGATCCCGCCCGTGAATATGATATTGGAATTTATAAGGTTGTCGCGAGAAATAAAGTTGGACAGACTGTTGCCAGAACAAGAGTTTTACTCGCAACTGTTCCGTCAGCTCCAGATTCACCTCAGGTAAAATCTAATACCAATTTTTAATACATTTTAATTTAAAATCATCTGAATTGAATTTCAATTTCAATCATATTTTCAAAAAAATAATTCTATTTTTTCAAATATATTTTAAAAGCAGGCCTCGGATCTACTTTGAGGGGCAAAAAAAGACGTTTTATTCATTTAAAAAAGTACAAAAGAAAGTCGAAAAAACTAACGTTTTTTCTACTTTCTTTCGTATCTTGCATGGATAAAATAAACATTTTACTCAGAGTTGTCACGAAAATTTAATTTTTTCTTTTTCTTGACTTTCCCCTGATTTTGAGAAAATTGTTTAACTTTTTCTCTTAGTCCAATAATAAGTTCAATTCTAAGTTTTCGTAAAATTAAATTATTTTTAAAAAATTGCTTAATGTTTTCTAACATTTTTCTTCAAAAATCGGAATAACTTAAAATGGTTATAAAATTGTTTAAAACATAAAATTTATTTAAATAATAAAAATTCATCTATTTCTAAAATTTACAGCTCTAATTCTTTTAAAATTCAGTTATTTTCTAGAATTTTTAACTAAATTTATTCAAAAATTTAATAACTTTTTCAAAATAAGTATTTAAATTTTATTATTAAATATTATCATTTGAAATTTAATTATTTCTAACAACTTTACCTATAAATCTTTCAATATTCAATTATTTCTAGATTTTTTAACTAAAATTCTTCTCTAAAACAAATATTTTAAATAATTTTCAAAGAGTTATTCGAAAATTCTATCGTTTAAATACAAAACACTCTTCATGGTTTTTTTAAGTTATTAAAGTAAACTATTGAAAATATTTGACCAAAAATATTTTAAAATTTACAATATAAAATTATTAAAATTAGTTTTTTAAAAATATTTTAAATGATCTTTTAAAGATAAGTTTTTTTGTATATATATATATAATTTAAAAAATTATTGATGAAATGAACAGAAAAAAATTTTTGTTTCAATAAATCTTATGTTTTAAAACGTTTTTCATTTGCCTGAAAATGGGTGGTCTCTCAATTTTGACCGGTAGTGTACCTACTGTTAAAAAATTCAATTATTTTTAAAAGATTTTACTAAATTTTAATTGTTTGGAAATTTTTCAGAATTGAAAAACTATTATCGTTCAAAAATTATTTAAAAATATTTTTAAAAATTAATTGTAAGAATTTCTTTATTATAATTTTTTGAAAATATTATACCTTACTAACTTAAGAAAAAAACTATGGAGAGTCACAATTATTAAATTGTAGAAAATAATTAAATTTAGGAAGGGTTATAATTGTAATTTTTAGAAATTATTAAAATTCATAAATTTTACTCATTTTCCGTAAACATTAATATTTTCCTACTGTAAAAAGAATTTTGTTAGGAAAAGTAATTTTAATGTTGGTAAATTGTCAGGGAAATTGATAAATTGAAAGTTGTGACCACCCTGAGTAATAAAGGAGCGCGAATTTCAATCACACGGGTTTACAACAAAAACCAAAAAAAAAATTCCATGATCCGATTAAAAATTCTATGAGATTTCCATGATTCCATGAATTAAAATGAAATCCCATGACAATTCCATGATTTCCAGGTTTTCCATGACTTGTAGAAACCCTGATAAATAAAATGAATAAACAATTAAATTTATGATCACTGTATAGTGATCGTAAATTTAATTGTTTATTCGTTTTATTTATTTTCCTAGAACTTTAATTTAATAATTTAATTTTCTATTTTGAAATAAGGAATCCGATGCATCGGATACAGAGATTCTGTTGCGCTGGAAGCAGCCAAAGTACGATGGTAATTCACCAGTACTGTGTTACAATCTTCAATACAAAGAAGGCGATTCGACAAATTGGATCGATTTGGGCAACAACATTGATCACGAATTTTATTTGGTGCGAGATTTAAAACCAAATACAAGTTATGACTTTAGATTGGCCGCTCGTAATCGTATAGGATGGAGTGATAGAGGAATTCCAGCGCACGTGATAAAAACACGAGAAAAGGGTGTACCAAAAGTTCAAGTAACAAGAGCAATGAAACACCTTCAACAATTAACAGAATCAGGTCAAGAAATTATCGAGGACGAAAGTAAACCACACTTTGATTATTCAATCGAGGATAGTCCAATAAATTGGTCAACTGAGGGTCAATTAACAAGTAAATACAGTTTTATTTCCGAATTATCACGCGGACAATTCTCCGTTGTTGTCAAGGGTGTCGAGAAATCAACGGATAAAGTGATAGTTGGAAAAATATTGGAAATTAGTTCTGAGACGGAGGAACAAGTTAATGCCGAATACGAAGTACTGAGATCATTGAGACACGAGAAAATTGCTCTATTATTGTCGGCTTACAGAGCTCCTGAATCGTCGTTGGCTGTATTTATTTTGGAGAAATTGCAAGGCGCCGATGTACTCACTTATTTATCGAGTCGGCATGAATATACGGAGAATTGTGTGGCGACGATTATTTCACAAATTTTGGATGCTCTTCAATATTTACATTGGAGGGGATATTGTCACATGGACATACAACCGGATAATGTTGTAATGGCGTCTGTAAGATCGGTACAAATTAAATTAGTTGACATGGGTTCGGCACAAAAGGTGACAAAAATGGGCGCACTTGTTTCGCAAGTGGGTCATCCGGAATATCGAGCGCCCGAAGTTCTTAATGAAGAAGCAGCTTTTCCACAAACGGACATTTGGATGGTCGGTGTACTCATGTATGTTCTATTGTCGGGGGTTTCTCCATTTAGAGGCGAAGATGATAATGAAACAAGACAAAATATTTCCTTCGTTAGATTCAGATTTGAATATTTATTCAAGGAACTTAGTCAGGAGGCGACGAGATTTTTAATGCTTATATTCAAACGCACACCAAGGTTTGTATTATTAAAACAAAATTTTATTTTATTACTATTTCACTCGTTAATTAATTAGTATAATTATTAGTATTCCTAATTAATAATCGTTAATTATTGGCTTTGCACTCGTTAATTAATTGAAAAAGTAGCAAAAAGCATCAAAAAATATCTTTAAGACTGAAAAGAAGAAGTGAAACATAGTAGATATCGAAAAATTAAATTTAACGATTTAAAAAATTCGTTTTATGTCGATTCAATATGCAAAAAAGTAACTTATTTTATTCTGGTTAGCACGAAAATTTGTTAATCTATTTTCCTAATTTTAAGGAAGAATATTAGCATACTTTTCTATCCTACTAATTTCAATTCTAAATTTTTCTAAAAATTTTTTTTTTCTAAAATTCAATAATTTTCCAAATTTACAGTTACAATTCTTTCAATTACGTATTTTCAAAAACCTAATTTTGTTCAAAATTTCTGAGTTAAATTTTTCAAAAAACCAATAATTTTTGTTAAATAAATATTTATAATACTTAATATTTATCATCCCACAGGAATTAAATCTTTAAATAATTTCAATGTAAAACCTTTGAAAATTTAATTATTTCTAAATATTACGATTGTAATTCTTACAAAATTCAATTATTTTTTAGAATTACTGAATAAAATTCTTCAAAACTTTATTTATTTTTTAGAGAAAGTCAGGGAAAATAAAATAGGACAGGGAAATGTCAAGGAATTTTATCAAAAGTGATGGAAAAATAACCAGTTTCTAGAATTATTTCAAGATTTTTAATTTCTGATATTCAAAAACATTTTTCAAATACTTAGAAAACTTAGATTCTCCATTAATTTTTTTTAGATTGATTTCATATTTTTGAAAATAATTAAATTCATTTTAACAAATTCTGAAAAAAATTAATTTTTGAAAAATTTTAATTTCATATTTCAAAGATAATTGAATTTTAAAAAAATGTTTATATCAATAATCGTTATATTTTTATTATTTATACAAATAATTAAATTGTTTCGAAAGAATTTATAAAAATTTTAGCAAATAATTGAATTCTTACGAAAAATTTTAAAGAATAATTGAATACTTTCGTGAAATGTTATTAAAATTGCATTGTAAATAATTGAATTCCTGCAACGAATTTTACTATTTATAAAAAAAAATAATTGAATTCTACAGAAGAATGTTATTATTTATAAAAACAATTTAATATTCTTGCAAAGAATTTTTAATATTTATAAAAATAATTGAATTGTTTCGAAGAATTTATTAAAACTTTCGAAAATAATTGAATTTTTCGAAAAATGTTATTGAAAATTTTAAAATAACTTTCTTCAAATTATTAATTATAATTAATTTAAAAGAGATTTTAATTAAAAAAGAAGTTGCAATTTTCAAAATTAATTGAATTTCACAACGTTTAGAAATAAATTTTTAAAAATTTCCAATCCCTGTGAAGAAATTAATAATTATAAATTTTTTTTAATTATATCTAAGTTTTGAATAATTTTATTTAAAATTCTGAAAAAATATACAGACTTTTAAAAAAGTCGAACTTTCATAGAATTTGATTTTAATAATTGAAAAATAATAAAAAGAGTTACGATTACAATTTTTATTAATTAGTTAATAATTTTAAGAAGATTTAACGCGGTATTGCAGTAGCTCCGACGAAATGATAATATTAAAAATATTTGAAATTTTCTAAAATTATGTTAAAAAAAATTATATTTTTTAAAAGAATTTTATTGAAATTAGGGGCCGTTCAAAAAATACGTAACGTTTTTTAGGGGAGGGGGGGGGGGGGTCCAAATTTCCGAAAAGTAGCGTTGTGTTTTTTGAACGGTTCCTTATTGAAAATAATCGAGAGAACAGTTGTATTGAAATTTTATTGTAAAAAATTGAATTTCTGCGAAGAATATTTTATTTTATTAAATTCTTTCAAGAAAGGAATTTAAATAAATTTTTTGAAAATAATTAAATTCTTTCAAAGAATTGTATTATATGAAAATAATTGAATTGTTTTAAAGAATATTATTAGATAGATATTTTGAAAATAATAGAAGAAATTTATTATTTTTGAAAATAATGCAGTTGTTTCAAAGAATTTTATTATTTTTTAAAATAATTGAATTGTTTCAAAGATTTTTTTAGATTTTTGAAAATAATTGAATTCCTCTATTTTATTATTTTTTAACAATAATTGAATTCTCGCGATAAATTTTATTAAATTTTTTTTAAATAAATAAGTGAATTTAAAAAATTATTTAAAAATTGAAGTTAATATTTTTATTTTCAATTTTAAAACCTTTTAAAATCTAATTATTTCTAAAAATTTCTACTATAACGCTCTAAGTATTTAATTATTTTTTAAAATTTAAATTGAAATACTTTTTTAAGTCAATTCTTATCACAAAATTCTACGAGAATTTTATTACTTAAATGCAAAACTGAATAACTGATAAAATAATTGATTTTTTCTGAAATATTGTTCCTCTTTATGGTGGTTGTAAAATTTTTCAAGCTAAAAAAGGAAATTCAAAGACAATTTAAGTTTTTCAACAAGATAAATCGGTACTTCCTGAATTTCTAAATATTTTTAAGGAAATAAATATTAATTTTATTTCAACTACTAGAGGGTTTCAAGTAGTGCAAATTCTCAAAAAAAGGAAGAAAAAAGGCACAAATCTAAAGAAAAGTATCTAAATATGTAAATAGAAAAAAATTAAAAGTAATAAATAGTAGATTTTAGTAATGAGTGTGAAATCTTTACTATTCTAAAAGAATAATTTTCTATTTCTTTTTCAGTAAACGACCAACAGCGGAGGAGTGTCAAGAGCACAGATGGTTGGTCCCAACCGAATTCATGATTAGAAAACGCGAGAGAGCCGTATTTCTTGGCAATCGATTGAAAAATTATTCTGACGAATATCATCAAGAGAAACAAAAATTGGCAACACACAGCGAGAGTTTATCAGAGGTTTTTGGATCGACGAGACAATTAATAAGATCGAATAGCATACAAGATGAATTGTTTACCACATTTTAAGATCTAGTATAATGAGATTTTCCAAAAATCACGTATTTATTTATTTATTGAATAATGTTTATAGTCCATGAGTCTAGTCTGTTGTGAAAGATATTGAGAATATGATTGAATGAAATTTTCCGAATGTAAAAGAAAGATTTAACTATTATAGAGTGAATGTAAAGGAAAAGTCAATTTTAACGGAAGTCAGTGAACAAAAAAAAAATTACACTTTTTAAAGGATCGTGAGAATTTCTTTGATTTTGTTATTATTTATTTGTTATAACTTGCAGTTATTACGTGTGTTTTTTGTCATTTGATAATAATTCAGATGCAATTTTATCAAAAAAAACAACTAATGTGCAAGTAATATTACAAATTAATATCACGTAATAAAGAAAAAAAAGCAATTTAATTTCCATTTTTTGTTTATTTTAAAAGTTTTCTTTTCGAAATTCAGAATTTTTGTTTTAATTTATTATTTAAATATGTTCTTTATTTACAAGTTTAATTTATCCCTGCCATTTTGCATGCTTTCATGAAAAAAAAAATTGATAAATATATTGTGCACTCAGCAATAAGTTATTTTCTAAAACTCTGCCATACTTTTAGAAATACTAATTTTTAAAGGATCATAATACTTTATACGTTTTAATGAAGGATGTAAAAATGGTTTTTTTTACGTATAATTATCAATCCTTCATATAAAAAGGCAGTAACGGTGCAAAACTTGAAAATAAGTTTTGGCAGAAACAGTGATTTTCGGAGAAAAAAATCTGATAAATGTACAATTATTTTGCCATTTTAATCATCTTTTTGCATAATGATTGAGATATTCTTTTACTTTTACTCCAAATGCTTCTTTATCTTTAATGAATAATTCGGCAGCGTCTTTATTCAATGGATCGTCGAAATTCAGTAGGTCCTGCGCAAAAAAATAGATTAAATTTGTAATAATTTCCAATAAAAAGTAGAATTAATAGCCAATTCATTAATTAAAACCAATTGATTTTAATTAATTAATAAAAAAGTAGAAAAAGAGGGGCAAAACTTACAGTAAATAAAGAATTTAAACCCCAAACAACATCGAGAAGTTTTCTAGTTGGGGCCCAACCTAGACCGTCTAAATTACTTTCTCTTAAAATCGAAAGACAAACGGATCCATCTTCACTAATATTGGGATGCCATAATTTTGTTAAACATTTAACATTCGGTGGCTAAAAAATATTAAATTAATAATTAAAATACTATATTTATAAACTTAATCGGGTTTGCCAGAGGTCAGGGAAAAGTCAGGGAATTTATGGAAAAAATTAAAAATTTAGAATTATTCATAAGAAAATTCTGAATTTTGGTGTCTGTTTGTTTGCCTTATAAACTATAAAATTACCACGAATTTTAATACAAAACCTTCAATTTTTTTATTTATGAGAATAATTCATTTAAAATAAGTTAATTCATGAAGAACTAAGAAAATTTTATAAGAAATAAAATTATTTCTTATAAATTATTTAAACAATAGTTTTATTTAAATAATAATATAAGAGTTGCGTTTATAATTTTCATAAATAATAAAAATTTCACAGGAATTCAATTATTTTCATAAATAATAAAATTGTTTACAGGGATTCAGTTATTTTCATAAATAATAAAATACCTTTCAGGAATTCAATTATTTTTTTAAATAATAAAACTCGTTGCATAATTTCAATTATTATTTAATACATTTTTAATCGAATTCCTCGAAAAATATACCTAATTAATCTTAAAATTTTTTTCAAAATTTGTCAAAAGAATTCAATTATTTAAAAATTTGTTAATAAAATTCTTTATGAGAATTCAATTTTAAGAAACATTCAATTATTCAATAAATTATTTATTTTTGTACCTATTTAAATATTTGAATTCTCGTCGAATTTTCTGATAAAAAGGTTTCAAATTTGAAAATCTGAATTTTTCATACTATTAACTAAACAATCCTGTTAAGTGAATTTTTTTTTAAATTATTTGAAGTTTTTATTTTCTAATATATATTAAATTGAAAAATTTCCAAATAATCGAAATTTATTAAAAATCAATTGTAAACAAATGGATTTGGAAAGTCTCAAAGAACTTTATCAAAAATTATTAATAATAATTGTGACGCGTCGCGAAGAAAAGCACCTAAGAAGCATATCGAAAATTTTACAGGTGGAGGAAAAAAGAAAATAGAAAATCAACTCTTAGCACGAATTTCTGTTTTGTAAATCATTATTACGAAAGTATTTCAGATAAGCATTTGATAAAAATTAATTTTGAGTTCAGATAGTTAAAAAGTAATCTTTAATTTATCTGAAACAATCATAATCCGAAAATCGGTTTTTTGCTTCTTAGGTGCTTTTCTTCGCGACGCGTCACAATTTATTTAAAGAAGAATTTTAGTTAAAAATTCTAGAAAATAATAGTTTATTTAAAGAAGAATTTTAGTTAAAAATTCTAGAAAATAATAATTTATTTAAAGAAGAATTTTAGTTAAAAATTCTAGAAAATAATAATTGAATTGAAATGATGAAAATAATTTTAATGAAGTTACTGTAACAATATTCTTATAATATAAATTAATGATTTTATTACTCCATCATCTTTAATTATTAAAGAACATGAAAAAATCGAGCACTCCGAGTCGAAGACTCGGAGTGATCGATATCTTCATGTTTTATAATAATATTCTTACAAGTTGTTGAATTTCACAAAGGTTTGAATTTGAATGTTTTGAAAATTTGAATTCTTTTGAAAAAATAATAATGATTAAATATTTATTTAAAAATGAAGTTATTGATATTTTTAAATAATTCTACTTTTGAAAAAGTTTGTAAATAAATGTAAAAGAACATTTTTTGAGTATCTAATAATTTTTAGAGTGAATCAGAATATTCTTTAGGGTCAGGGAAAAAGTTGGAATTTTGTCTGAAAATGAGGGAAAAGTTAGGGAAAGAAAAAATTAAATTTTTGTGGCAACCCTGTTAATATCTCGTGAAGATAAAAATATTGAATGGAAGTATAAATAAAATAACGTACGATCATGTTATATTCTTCGGGTATAAATATATGAAAGCAAAAGCGTCCGCCACACCAATATCCTTCGTCAGGGGTTATTAAAAGATTAAATTCATGAAGCCGATGAGGATCATTAAAGGAAACTTTACAAGTGCTTGGTAAAGTTTGCTCCATTTCTTGAACCTAAAAACAATAAGAAATACTGGCAAAAAATATCGAAAACTTGTCCTAATAGTTAATTACTTTCATATGAACATAATTAATATTTGAATAAAAATTTAATTAATATTTAATGGAAATATTTACCTCCTTGACCAGTAGTTTATCTCGAACAGATATACGTTTATAATTCAGATCTTTGTTTTTTGAATTAGAAACATCTGCATCCTTTTTCAGTTTTCCTCTAAGAGTAATCATTCCTTTTATGGAGTCTCATAAACTACCACTGTGAGATTAAAGGTAATTTTCATTTAATAACGCTTAAATAGCGTCAAACATTTTTCACATTCAATGAAATTTAAATATAAAATAATAATTCAAATAAAAAATAAAATTGACAAAAAAAATCGTATTTAAACAATATATTTATTTCCATACCTTTTGTTGTTTACATAATTTTTTATTGTATATTGATTTTCTTTCAATTTTCAAAAAAACGTAAAAAAAAATATACTTACATAATTTAAAAAATTAAGAAATGTTTACTTTCACAAATTAATTTTTTAGGACTTTTTTTAGCACAGTAAAACATTTTTTGAGTAAAAACTAACTTTAATGATATACCAAATTCATCGTCAAAGAGAAAAATATTTTTAGAAAATTAATAAAAAATAGTGAAAGAGGAAAATTTGATTATAGATATACTAAATACTTTCTACTGATTAGAAATTGACTTTCAAAGAATTTTTTTTCCCTGTAAAATCCGCATAAAAAATGGAGCAAAAAATGATTTGTCGGTTAATCCTAACATAACCTTAAAAATAAAAAATTACTAAACGTAATGGTATTTGACTCACCAAGAAAAAATATCCTTCAAGGGTAATGAGTAATATTTTCAATAATAATACGTTGTTCTTCAAAAATAAGTAGATTAAAATATTAAAATCCTTAAAATATTAGTAATCTGATGGCAGTAAATGTTGAACATAACAAAACGTTGACTTAGTCGCTTGAAGTTTTAAGCGTTTATAAACGATTCAAATTGTTTGGTATAACATAGCTAGAAATTCTACGTTAATTTACACTTATTTTATTAGAAAACAAACACTTTTTAGTGATATTTTTCACTAAAATATACAAAAAACTTGCGGTTCGCGCACTACAATAAGTTTATTTTTTGTTAGCGACACTAGCGCCATGACGTAAACAACAAAAACTAAAAAACATCAAACAAACAGGCTGCCATCATGCTAGCCAACATGAAACATTTTTCGCGCAAAAAATTAAATTACAGTAGAAAAATATTTATTTTTTAAACAAATTTTAAAACGATTGTAATAGTTTGTTAATTATATATTAATATAACTATTCACATATTTGAAAATTTTATTTTTATTTTATCTTTTTGGTTTATTTTTAATACTTTCACACAACTATGGAGAATATATGGAGTAACTTTCAATGGGTTTATTTATAGGTTAGGTTCAAAGTGTAACAACAACAACACACTACATTTTTTTCTTTCAGAGAAAATACTTATGACTTTTAAAATAGAAATTGTCTATGAGATTTGACGTGACCTTAACTTTTGACTTGATCTTTGGACAAAGACTCATGAAATTTATTCTTTGTAACTGAAAATAAAATTTAAGAATAGGAAACACCGTTATTTAAAAAAATTCCGGAAATTCGTATATTTCGTCATACATATTTGAGCTGCCTGAAAAAAGCACGAAAAGAAACGTGTTGTTGTGCTCAAGTGTAGTTCCTATTGAATGAATGATTCCTGCAAGAATATTTTCTTTAATTAATCTAATTAAAAGTGATTTAAAAATGTTTGCAAGAGTGACATTTTATCCTTCGCTATTTTATAATGTTGTAATGGAAAAAGTATCAGCGAGAAGATGGTTTGATAGAATTGATGATACCGTTATCCTGGGTGCTTTACCTTTTCGAGGAATGACAAAACAGGTAAACAATTTAATCTTTTTTGATAGTTTGTACTGTGAAATAAATTTTAAAAAATAATAATAATTATTGTTAATAGTTTATAATAATTTTTATATTGTTTAATTCATCATTTATTAATATAACTCCATTAATATGTATAAAATGTAAAAAAAATATATCGTAATATTAATTATAAATTCACTCAACTCGTTAAGAATTTCATCATTTTAAATAAATGAATTTTAATGAATTTTATCTATTTTTCTAGTTAATAGCTGAAGAAAATGTTAAGGCTGTAATTTCCATGAACGAAGATTATGAATTGACACTTTTTTCAAATAATGGAGAGGTAAATATTATATTTGAAAAGAAAAGTAATCTATGCTGGGACTTTTTTGTTATTTTTAACCTATTATTATTATATTATAACAATCGACATAATCTGTCAACACGTGAAGTTAGTGTTGTTTTATTCCAATTTTTTGTTTTATAGTTTGAATTGTTCTTCTAAAGTTTGACAGTTAATTTGTGAATAATAAAATAAGTGGAGTAAGAAAATTTGACCACAATTTCAAAAACTCAATAAAGAGGTACCAGAAAATAATTTTCAAAAATTAAAACAATTAAAAATTTTGTAAAATTTTATATTTTAAAGAATTTTAAAGATTTTATTTATTTATTTATTTATTATTCTTTATTTATTTAAAGAATTTTATTTTTTCATCTTCAAAAATTATTCTATTTGAATGTGTAAAAGTAGGATTCTTCAGAAATAATTAAATTTCAATCTTTGAAATTCTAATTGCTGTAAAAGTATAAGAATATTTAAATATAAAAATTTATTAATTTGTTAGCTTCCCTAAAAATTAAAAGTTTTGAATAATATTATTCAAAAATTCTAAAAAAATAATTGAATTTTAGACGACTTGCAGTCTAAATTTTCATAAAAAATGTTTTCAATGGTTTTGCATTGACAGTATTTCGAAATTTTAAGTAAATAAAGAACAATAAGTATTTAAATGTTTATTTTACAAAAATGATTTCAATTTGAAAGATTTCATTTGGAAATTTTGAAAAAATTAGATTTTTGAAAAATAGTAATTAAAATTTTTTGAAGATATACTTGAATTCTCGAAAATAATTTAAACAAATTGAAACAATTGAAAATTTTGTAAAATTTCATATTTTAAAGAATTTTATTTTTTCATCTTTAAAAATTAGCTATAAATATTATAATTGGATTTTTAAAAATACATTATTCTATGAATTTACAAAAATTATTCTATTTAAATAATTCTATTCGTAGTTGAATTCTGATAGACATTGATTTTAAAAAAATTAGAGTTAAAATTTTAGAAAATAATTGAATATTTAAAGCGTTGTAAAAAAAGTTTTAGGAATTAAGTAAAATTTAAAAGATTTTAAAATAAATTCCTTGAAAATTTAAGTGAAGAAAAAGTATAAAAATATTTAAATTTTTATTTAAAAAAATTATTAATCAAGCAATTTTTAGAAATAATTAAATTTCAACAGGTTTTTCATTGAAATTATATGAAATTTTAATTCTTGTTGAAATTCCGAAACAATTTGTTTCTTAAAAAAATGTAATTAAAACTTTTTACAAATTATTGTATTTCCTAAAATAATTTTAAAAAATTGAAACTATTGAAAATTTTGTCAAATTTCATTGAAATAAATTTAATACCTATTTTAATGAATTTTATTTGTTCATCTTTAAACATTATCTATAAATATAATTGGATTTTTGAAAATACATTATTTTATGAATTTACAAAAATTATTCTATTTAAATAATTCAATTCTTGTCGTTGAATTCTGATAGCAATTTATAAAAAAAAATTCAGTTAAATTTTAGAAAATAATTGAATATTTAAAGCTTTATAACAGAAATTTTAGGAATTAATTAAATTTTAAAAAAAATTTTATTTAAAAAAATTATTGATTAAATTTGTTTTTTTTTACAAATTCTTAAAGTTTTTCAATAATTTTATTCAAAAATTCTAAAAAAATAATTGAATTTTGGATGAATAACAATTGTAATTTTTAGAAATAATTCAATTTCAAAAGGTTTTTCGTTGAAATTAGGATGAAATTTTAATTCCTGTCGAAAAATAAATAATAAGTTTTTTAATTTTTGTTTAACAAAAAGTACTGAAGTTTTGAATAATTTAATTCAGAAATTTCGAAAAATTGTTTCTTGAAAAAATGTAATTAAAATTTTATTTGTTTACTTTTGAAAATTATTTTAAAATATAATCGTATTTGTGAAGAATTCTAATTAAAAATTTGGAAAATAATTGAATTTAATAAAGTTCAATTATTTAATCAAAAATATTTAAAGTTGCTGTTAAAAATATCTTGGCTATTTCTATACGAGTTGTTCAAATAATTAAATTTAAAGAAAAACTATTAGAAAAATTATATTTTTTAAAAAATGAAGAATTTTCATGAAATTTCAAAAAACAAATCTTGGAAAGTAACAATGGCAACAAAAATTGCACGGGCGTTTAGTTTTGCTAGTTACATTTGAAAAATAATCTGTGGGACATTTTTGTTATTTTTTCTTTTTATTATGTTTAAGCTATTATTAATTTGTTAATGAAATTATTTCAGGAATGGAAGAAGCATGGCGTAAATTTTTTACAACTTCCAACAGTAGATATTTTCGAAACTCCCTGTCAAGAAATGTTGCAAAGAGGAGTCGAGTTTATTAATAAATTTCAAAAAAATCAAATCAATGAAAATTGTGATCCATTAAAACCAAAGGCAACCGTTTATATTCATTGTAAAGCAGGAAGAACTCGAAGTGCAACATTAGTTGGCTGTTATCTTATGAAGGTTTGCATAATTGAATAATATTAATATAATTTTAATAATTTTGAATTTTAATTTTCTTTTCTGACATTTTTTATACTTTACATAAAACAAATTTTTTTAGAAACACGCCTGGACGCCGGAAACTGCAATAGATCATATAAGAAGTAAAAGAGAACATATTTTAATTCACACAGCTCAATGGAGAGCGTTAAAAACATTTTATAAAGAGAACATAGCAAAAAATCTAGAGAAAAATACTAGTGAAAATAGTTAATGAAAAATATTATAAATATTTTTTTAAATTTATTAATTATAGCAATTTATTTTTCTTTCTGGAGATATATTCAGCGTTTAGGGAAATTGGAAAATTAATTTTACGGAATTTTTTAATGAAAAAAAAAATATGACTCGCTGGACATTCGGAGGTACCTCAAATTAAGGGAAATATTGTTAACATTTTAAAATGGAAAATAAATTGAATATTTTACTATTTTTCGACTTTATTTGCTTTCATTTTATCAAAATTATTATCAAAGTATAAATGCGCAATTTCTTTTGTTTTAATTAAAGCAGATTGAATAAGCATTTCCGATTTTCTTCTTGACATCTTTTGCATTGACATTCCACAAATTAAATTTGAATTTTTATTCGTCTGGTAATATTTAGAAGTTTTGAATAATTGTAATAATGGTTTTGTCCAAACATCTGCGTTAAATGAATCCGAGTATATTTCCTAGATAAATTGGAATTAATTAATTTTAACAAATTTTTAATTAGGTAGAAATGAAGTTTCATGAATATTTATAATTACCTTTGGAACCATGCATCTGGCTTTGACTGCTGTATCACTGCTTAAAATAATTAATGTTGGAACGTCTGTTATGACATCTAATTTACTCAAAGGCAGTCCATTAAATTCATAATCGTCGACTCTTAAATGAAGTATCACAAAAGGTAAATTATTAGACTTCTGTTCTTCTTTAATTTTTGTCTCTAAATATTCCCTAAAAGATTACAAAATTTTTATTATTAGATTAAAATTATATTTTAATTATTTAAATATAATTTTAATTATATTTAATTAAATATATTAATCTATATTATTCATAAATTATTATAGGAAAGCTTATTTTTATTAATGCAAAATACGGTCAAATGCGGTTTTTTTGAATTCATTTTTCAAGAAAAACTGGATTTTATTTATTTTAATGTCTTGTTCTCTGTAGAATTAAAAACTTAATTGTTTCCAAATTTCTTTTGTTCTAATTAAATCAAATGTTTACTAATTCATATTTAGAGAATAAGTTTTTTGATACAATATTTGTAAGAAAAATTTACAAATTAATTTATTTTCCATAATTTTGCGTTAATTTTTCGTAACTTTCTACGGTTTTGAATCTGAAACAATAATTTAATACTTGCATAGAATTCTATGAAAATTTTTAAAAATAATTACATTCTTCCCATCAGGAATTAAATTAAAATTAAATTAAAATTTTTTAAATTAATAGAATTAATCAGAAAAATTTTATTTGAATTTTTAAAAATAATTCAGTTCTTATAAACAATTTTATCATCAGTTTTGAAAATAATTGAATTTTCTTGAAGAATTTTATTAAAATTTACAAAACAATTGATTCGTTTCAAAGAATTTTATATGAATTTTTGAAAATAATTAAATTCTCTGGAGGATTTCAGTTGAAATTGTGTTGAAAATAATTGAATTCATACAAAGAATTTTAAATTTATTTTTGAAAATAATTGTGACTTTTATTTTTTATGAATTTTATTATTTATGAGAATTTATGAGAATAATTGAAATCTTACGAAGAAATTTATTAATAATTGAAATAATTGAATTTTATTCGAGGAACTTCCTTAAATTTCTATTCAAAATAATTGAATTCTTGAAAAGAATTTTATTAATTATGAAAATAATTGAATACTTGTGAAGAATTCTATTAAAATTCATTAAAAATAATTGAATTATTGCAAAGAACTTTATAAAACATTTTTAAATAATTGAATTCTTTCGATGAATTTTAATAAAATTTTTAGAAAATAATTGCATTTTTCAAGAAATTCAATAAAAATTGTATTAAAAATAATTTAAATTCTGCTTTAAGTTTTTTTCTAAAAATAATTGAATTACTAAAAAGAATCTAATTATTTATGAAAATTAATTAAATCTCTGAGGAAAATTTTATTAATGATGAAAATAATTGATGAAGAATTCTATTGAAATTAAAAAAAAATTCTATTATTTCGAAGAATTTTATAAAAAATTTTGAAAATAATTCAATTCTTTCGAGAAATTTTATTGAAAATAGTTGAATTCTTTTAAAGAACTTTATTTAAACTCTTGGAAATAATTGAATTGATTACAAATTTTTTTTTTAAATAATAGAAACTTTCCGTGAAATTTCATTAAAATTCTATTCAAAATAACTGAATTCCTCTGTAGAATTATTATTTATGAAAGTATTTGAATTTTTTAAGAATTTTAATAATTTTGAAAATAATTGAATAATTCTTGTGAAGAATTTTCTTAAAATTTAAAAAAATCTATTCATTTGAGAAATTTTATTGAAATTGTATTGAATCCGTTTAGATGCAAATATTTTTATATCAATATATATTATTATTTAACTTTTCGCCCCAGGGTGCGTTTTTGGCTTTAACAACAAATATAAAAATCTGACTAAAGATATTTAGCAAATACCTTTAGGTATCTCTTCAGGGGACCCAAATAATGAAGTAAAAAAATCGCGGTGAGAATAAATGCAAAAAATATACTTAAAAGTTGATATTTTCTTTTACGAAAAAATTTTCAAAAGTAGGGTGAAAAAAAAATTTAAATATGGACACCACAAAAATTAGCAGAATGTCACATAACTCCGGACATTTATTTAGGGTGATAACACCCTTCTATAATTAAAATTGCAATGCTCTAACTATTTCCGTTCGAAAGATAATGAATTTTAACTGTTTTCACAATTTAACTTTTCGCCCCAGTCTCCCCTATTTAAAAATAAAAAAATTTTAATTTTCATAATAATAAAAAATTGAATATTGCGTTACGCGCGTAACATTCACTATTAATTATATTTTTAAATTGAATTCTAATCTAATTTACTTTTAATTTTAATGAAACTATACCTTAATTTTCCCCTTCCTCTGGTTTCCATTTTCTTCGATAACTCTGAAAGTTTGTCTTGACATTCTCGATAAACAACAAAGCTTATTAATCTTTTATCTTTCCTTAGCGATAAATTTTGATTCAAATTATTAATTGTGTCTGCTATAACATCAAGATTTGCATTTTTATCACTCAATGCTTCTTCTAGTCCTAGTACTTTGTCTCTTAATTGTTCTCCCGACAAGCGAATGTACCGCGTAAATGGTCCAGTTGCCGCTTCAATTGTAACACTAATTTTCCCTTGTGACTTAAGATATAAAATACAAAAATGATCCAAAATTGAAGTTCTATGAACATGAGTTCCACAACAAGCTTCTCTGAAATTCAAAAGAATAATTTAAAATCAATAATTTGTACATGTGAATATTTTTCTTTTTTTTGAGCTTACTTTGATTTTAAATCCGGACTATCAATCGAGGTGATTTTAATTCCAGTCATTGGATACATTTCCCCGGGTATTATTCTGAGATCATCTTCCATCATCATTTCTGACATATTGACAGTTTTCCTTTGAACCGGTACATCGGATTCAATGCATTTATTTACAAGATTTTCAATTTTTGTGATTCGCTCGTTATTCAGTTTTTGACCAAATACACTGCACTCAAATGTTAATTTATCTTTTTCCACATAACTGCCACGTTGTTCAATTGTTGGCAAAACTCTTCTAAGCGCTGCATTTAATAAATGAGTCGCCGTGTGATTTCTCATAATACTTAATCTTCTTCTTGAATTTATCCAAACTTGAGAGATTTCTTCATTTCTAATATTGAGCTCCAATTCATTCAAAGGAATTTTTCTGAAAATTATTCAAAAACAATTTTAATAAAATTTAACATTTTTAAAAATTGTAATTTAAAAAAATTGTCATTCAAAAAATTGTGATTTAAAAAATTGCGATTCAAAAAATTGTGATTTAAAAAAATGTGATCTAAAAGATTGTGATTTAAAAAAAGAATTATAAACACTTATAAAGATGATTTAAATAATGAGACAAAAATAGAAATTTTGTAATTAATAATCACAATTCATTTTTTTAATATTAAAAGTGAAATTTAAAATACCTAGAATCGTTATTAATAAGATGTCCCACATGAAAAACGTAACCGCGAATTTTTCTCACTTCGTAAATATCGAAAAGAAGATTTTTAATTTGAATAAAACCGTTATCAAAAGCTTGGCCTCCCTCATTAACATAAAAAGGAGTTTTATCCAAAACAATATAGACTTCTGATTGCCTTAATTCATCTTTTTCCAAATGGCAATTATTTACTTCCGGAGAAATCTTCAATTTACCTACAAAACAAAACAAATCTGAACTTTAAGAATTTGATAAATTAAATAATAAACATTTAGATGTTTAAAAAATAACTTAATGAACCTAACAAATTATATAATAACTTTTATATAGATTTTTGTTAAATTTATAAAGAAACTAGAAAATTATACGCGCGCCAGCGGGCGGAACGCAGTATTCCATTTACGATTATTTTGTAAATTAAAAAATTTTATATTTTCAAGAATAAAAATCAATTTTTTAATGATTACAGATTCAAAACTTAAAGAATTCACTAATTAAGTACATAATATTAAATATTATTGTTTATTATTATTAGAAAATTTAAATAAAATTTTTCGCAAGAATTTCATTATTCTCACAAATAATAATTTAAATAATAATAATTAAATAATAATTTTTTAGAGCAATTCAATTATTTTTAACAATTTTGATGAAATTCTTTTTAAAAAAATCATTATTTTCAAAATTTTTAATAAAATTGCTTCAAAAAATTCAGATAAAATTCTTCGAAACAAATAAATTATTTTTATGAATAAATTATAAAATCCTCCGCAAGAATTCAATTACTTTCATAAATCAAAAAATTCTTTAAAGGAATTCAATTATATATTCATAAATAATAAAATATTTCGGAGGAATTCAATTATTTTTAATATTTTAATACAATTTTAATAAAATTTCTCGAAAGAATAAATTATTATTTTAAAAAATATTATTTAAATTCAATTATTTTAAATAAAATTTTAATAAAATTTCTAGAAAAAAATTCAATTATATTCAAGAGAATTTTAATAAAATTTCTCTAACATGTTAAATTATTTTTAAAAACTGTAATAAAATTTTTGTCAACAATTCAATTGTTCTCAAAAGTTTTTACTTTTTAATAAAATTCTTTGTAAATTTTAATTATTTTTAAAATTTCCAATTAAAATTATTTTAAAAAATTACATTATTTTTACGAAATTTAATGAAATTCTTAAAAAAAATGTAATTATTTACAAAAAATCTAATAAAATTGTTTGAATGAATTTAATTTTCTATGAACAATGTTAATATTATTTAATAGGACGATTATTAATTACAATTAACACGATTAAAATAAAAACTTAAAATAAAATCTTTATAAAAATCAATTACTTTCAAAATTTTCAGTAAAAATTATTTTTAAAAAACTCCATTATTTTCAAGAAAATTGAAATACATAAATTCTTCAAAACAATTCAATTAGTTTTAAAGATTTTAAAGAATTTAAATAAAAATCTTGCTAAGAATTAAATTATTTTCAATAAAATGTTAATTACATTCTTGAAATGAATGAAATTATTTTTAGTACATTAATTTTAAAATTGAAAATATTTAAAAAGGAAAATTGTTTCAAAAGTTTGGAAACAAAAAAACAAACAGCAACTAACTTCAAAGTGCGAACAGATTACCGGAATACACGATTATTAATATAGAGAGAAGATTTAATGTTAGAATTTTTCACTGATTGAGAATTTTAATTATTTAAAAATTATTTTAAAAAAACATTTATAATATAAAATTATTATTTAAGATTTACTCGTTAGGTTTTTTAAATTATTTTCTAAATAAACAGTTCTTTAAAAATTCAAAATTTAGAAATTACCATTAATGATAAAACCTAATAGTTTACTTTTCACAGTCGGAAAAGAATAACCCTTCTTCTCGGGAATATAATTATATTTGTACGAATCGTCCGTTTTTGGAACTTTAGATTTTTCAAATAAATTCAATGACAAATCGGAAATTGTCTCCATATCCTTTTTTCCCTCCGTTCTTGCTTTGGAACGTGCTTTTACCTTATTAAGTTCCTCCTCAAAATCGCTGACATTAAATTTTAACGATTCAACTTCAGCTAATTTTGAAATTATCTTCACATTCAATCCATGTGTGTCATACAATCGAAATGCAAATTCTCCCGGTAATGTCTCAAGTTTTTTCCTTTAAAAAAAAGGGATTTTAGAAAACAAATTTATAACAAATCTGTCTATAATAATAAAAGCAAAAAATTCTTCCATGAGGAAGCAATATAAGCAAAAAAGAATCTATTTTCCTTAAATAATAAATAAGGAAAACAATACCCAGATAAAAATTTCTTTAGATCTTGATAGCCGAGAATTAAACCAGGAGTTACATCATTCGAGAGTGATGCTAATTTACACTGACCGTCTATCATGTTTTTCCACTTAATAAAAGTTGTGTTTCTTAATGAATAGTACATATGGGTTTCGTAATCAATTATGTGCTGCATCTAAAAAACAGAAAGACAAATTAATTAAAATAATCCGAATAATGAAATGTTAATAAAGAAAGGATAGTTTGTTTTCTCAATACTTGTTTGATATTTTTGTGCAATTCTGGATATGCTTCTCCAAGACTTTCAGCGACGTGAAATGTTAATTCGTGTAATAATACATCTTTCTTAAATACTTCATTGCTTATGTCTAATGCTTTTCGCAAAACTCTTCTTAATTTTTGACTGAAAGAGAAAGAACTCAAGTTTAGCTGATAACTGTAAAAAACTGATTTAAATAAATAAAAACAACTTTATCCCAATGTTTTCGTTTCATTTAAATTATTTATATACGTACTTGTTGTCAGGCAGAGCACCATCAGCTAATGCAACAGTCACCATTCTTGCGTGATCGGCTAAAATTCTATAATTAACATCCAAATTTTCATTTTCTTTATAAGCCGGTGCTTTGGCAAATTTTTGAATAGTTTGGAATAAGGGTACAAAAAGATCAGTGTCATAATTGGATTTTTTTCCTTGTAAAGTAGCGACCAATCTTTCAAAACCCATTCCAGTGTCGACATGATGCTTCGGTAGGGAAATTATACTACCATCATTTAATCTAAAAAATGAAATATTAAATTTTCTATTTAATATATCCTGTTAATTGTAGTATTAGTAAAACATAAATATATATAGTAAATAAATACATATAATATACAGTAAGTCAGAGTTGAATTAAATTAAAAATTTAATTCTGTTTTTCCCTGATTTCCAGACAAAATTTTGACTTTTTCCCTGACCCTAAAGAATATTCTGATTCACTCTCAAAATAACTAAATACTCAAAAAACTGTTCTATTACATTTATTTACGAATTTCTCTAATATTGTAAAATTATTCCAAAAAAATCAATAACTTTATATTTAAATAAATATCTAATCATTAATATTTTTCCATGTGAATTAAAATTTTCAAAAATTTTAGATTCAAACCTCTTTGAAATTCAATAACTTTGAAGAATATTTTCTAATAATTAAAGATGACCGAGTGATTAAATCATTATTTTATATTATAAGAATATTTTAACAGTAAATTCTTCAAAATTATTTTCATCATTTTAATTCAATTATTATTTTCTAGAATTTTTAACTAAAATTCTTTAAATCAATTGTTTTTAAAAATTTTTGACAAAGTTCTTTGAGAATTTTCAAATCCGTTTGTTTGCAATTCAATTTTACTAAAAATTTCAATTATTCGCAAATTCTTCAATTAAATAATATATTAGAAGATAAAAATTTTAAATAATTTAAAAAAAAATTCAATTAAATTTTTTCAAAAAAATTGATTCTACAGAATTGTTAGTTAAAAGTATGAAAAATTCAGATTTTCTAAGATTTTATTTTGAAATCCTTTCAAAATTCAATTATTTCTAAAAATTCACGCTGTAATGCTTTTAATGTTCAATTACTATCTGAAATTTTAACTAAAATTCACTTTTAAATCAATTTTTATTAAAAAATTCTACGAGAATTCAATTATTTAAATACAAAAGCAAAGAATTTATTGAATAATTGAGTGTTTCTTAAAATTGAATTTTCAATAATAATTTTATCAACAAATATATATACATTATAATAATCGTAAGTTTCCTTTCCGTTAGCAAATTATCTGCATTCATTTGTTTGTTTTGAATATTAATTTTTGTGGGTTATTTTTATTTTTTTTAATGTCAAAAAAAAAACGAAAAAAAACTCGTTTTATTCACTTCACAAAATTGACCAAATTTCCATTCCATATTTTTTATTTTCCTGATTTTTTCCTAATTTTGATAAAAAATATTTACTTTTTTCTTATCCTGCTAATAAATTGAATTTCTGCTACGAATTTTATTATTCATGAAAGAATTCAAAATAATTTAATTCTTGCGAAGAATTTTATAAATATTTTTAAATAATTCCTTTCTTTCGAATAATTTTATGCAAATTCTAATTTAAATAATTGAATTAATGAAAATTTTTATTATTCATGAAAAGAATTAAATTTTTACAAAACATTTTTTAAATAATTGAATTCTGTTTGGAAATTTTATGAAAATAGTATATATTGAAAATCATTGAATTGCGAAAAGTTTTTAAAGATAGTTAAATTTTACAAAGAATTCTATTAAAAAATTTGTCAATAATTGAATATCTGTGGGAAATTTTATTAAAATTTTTTGAAAATAATTAAATTCCTAAAAAAACAGTTTATTATTTATGAAAATAATAGAATTATTGCAAACGATTTATTAGAATTTTCTAAAATAATGGAATTTCCAAGAAGAAATTTATTATTTTTTAAAATAATTGAATTATTGTGATGAATATTGTTATTTATGAAAATAATTGAATTTTGAAAAAAAATTTATTAAAATACCTCAAAATAATTGAATTTTCGGGGGTAATTTTTTTATTTATCTTTAATAATCTTTAATAATTTTTCTTTCGAAAAATTATTCTTGTAAATAATTGAATTCTTAGAAAAATGTTAATAAAATTTAAAAAATTGAACTATTTCAAAAAAATTTAATTAAAATCGTATTTAAAACAATTAATTTCTTTCGAACAATTTTATTAAATTTTTTAAAATAATTATTCAATTCTTCCATAGAATTTAAAAAAAACATTTTTTTAAATAATTTATTTTTTCGAGGAATTGAAATTAAGTTTTTAAGAATAATTAAAATTTTTGAGCAATTCCTGTAAAATTGTATTAAAAATAATTGAAATCCTGCTATAAATTTTATTACTTATGAAAATAATTGAATGGTTTTTAATTTGAATAGAATTTTATTATTATTCTCAAAAATAATTTAATTACAGAGAAGAATTTTATGAAAGTAAGTGAATTCTTCATTAGAATTTTATAAACATTGTTTTAAATAATTATTTTTTTCGAAATATAATAAATATTATGAAAATTTTATTATTTTAAATAATTGAATTCTTGTGTAAAAACTTTATTTGTGAAAATAACTGAATTTTTCGATTATTAATTTAAAATAGTAATAAAAATAATTGAAATTCTTCGATGAGTTTTATTATTTATGAAAATAATTAAATTCTTGCTTAGAATTTAATGAAAAATTTTTTTTAAAAATTGACTTTTCATGAAAAATTTTATTATTAGTGACAGTAATTAAATTATTGTAAAAAATAAATTGCATAAAATTTTGTTAAATAATTGATTTTTACGAAATTTTTTTGAAAATTAGCGAATTTAAGTAGTAAAAATTCTATAAAAAAAAATATTATTTATATTCTTTGTTCAGAAAGTTGAAGATTATTTTTAATTTAGGTATTAAATATCAATTTTTGCGAAATTCAATTTACCTCGTACAAGAAGTTTTCAATTTTGAAAATCTGATGTAAAATTTGAAATTAGTATCAAAATTTGTTAAATTTTTTTTATGTACTTTAAAGTTTAAAAATATAATATAATTTGAAAATTTAATTCTAATTATTAGTTTTTTAGTTGTGTGTCATAATAAGTATTTCTTTAAAAATTACATAAATTAAAATGACTTGAAATTGTTTACAATGAACATTGCAATACAACATTCCCGCGCGCTTGCGCGCGGATAATTTGGCTAGTTTTTAAATAATTGAATTCTTTTGGCGAATTTTAATAAAGTTTTTATGAATAATTACATTTTTCGTATGAAAATAATTGAATCCCTCTAAACCATTTTATTATTTATAAAAATACCTAATTGAATTATTGCGAAGAAATTTATAAAAATTTGTAGATAATTGAATTCCTCTGAAATTTTAATTATTTACGAAAATAATTGAATTCTTGTGAAATTTTCATTATTTATGAAAATAATTAAATGTTTGCGTAGAATTATATTAAAATTTTTTTAAATAATTAAATTGTTTTGGAAAATTTTATTTTATTAAAATTTTTGAGAATAATTGAATTTCGAAGAAGAATTTTATTATTTACAAAGATAATTGAAATTTTGACAAGAATTTTTTTAAATTTTTTAACACAATTGAATTTCTACGAAGAATTTTATTACTTTTGAAAATAATTGTATTACTGCAATCATTTTTTAAAAGTGTTTTTAACTAAAATTATTCTATAAATCCATTAGTTTTACTATTTAATTAAATATATATATTAAAAAATTTAACTAATTTCAGAAAAATTTGAATTCTTAAAATTTTCCAAAAATCTACTTAAGTTCTTTCTAATGAAATTCATTCAACATTGAAATTTTCTAAAATTTCAAATTGAAACCTTTTGAATTTCATCTATTTATGAAAATTGTAGAAGCAACTCTTTTAAAATTCAATTAATTTTGAAATATGGAAGTGAAATTATTCGTTAAATAGTTTCTAAGTAATAATTTTATGATAGTTCTTTAAGAATTGAGTTATTTAGAAATAATTTATTTTCAGAAGTAGAAAAAATTGAAGGCTTTGTATTAAAATTTGTGGTAATTTCATAGTTTATGAGTCAAACAAAAAAGACACCAAAATTCAGAATTTTCTTATCAATTCTAAAAATTTAATTTTTTCCAGGACTTTTTATAAAATTCCCTTACTTTTCCTTGAATTTTCTTACTTCCGTGACTCTAAGTAAATATATTGTTATTAAATATATAGTAAATAAATAAATAAACGGTAAATAAATGTATAGTAAACCTTTCATGCTGAATGAAGACTATATTCCAAAGTTCAATGAGATTTACAGGTTTATTAACATCCTCGCTAATGTGAATTTCAGTACAAACACCACATGGTCCTGTTGAACTCATTTCCCAAAAATTATCCTTAGTTCCAAAGGCTAAAATATGATTTTCAGGAACACCCAAACGTAGCCAAATATCCTTACATTCTAAATCAGGTTTTAAACCCAATTTCTCATCGCCGGAATAATAAGTCACGTATAAGAGATCTTTATTAATTCCATAAACATCAGTTAATAAATTCCACGCGTATTTACAAGCCTCTTCCTAAAAAACAATACAATATCAGGGTGGTCACAAGTTTCAATTTATCAATTCCCCTGATAATTTACTGATATTAAAATGATTTTCCCTGGCAAAATTTTTTTCACAGGAAAATATGAAATTTTACGGAAAATGAGTAAAATTTATGAAATTTAATAATTTATAAAAATTACAATTATAACCCTTCCTGAATTCAATTATTTTCTCTAATTTACAACAAAACTTCATCTCTAAATCAATTATTTTAAATAATTTTCCGAAAGTTCTTCCACAATTAAATTATTTAAATACGAAAATTCAATTTTTTATAATAATTGAAACTGTCCAATGCTTTTTTTTAAGTTTATTAAGGTATACTATTTTCAAAAAATAAAAATAATCTCCGAAATTTTAATAAGCCCAAAAAATAAATTTTTATTTGCTTTATTCGAAGATAATTAAATCTTGAAAAATTAAGATAAAAAATTCTAAGAATTAAGTAGTTTTTAAAAATATTATTTTAATGTAATTACATTCTCATCAAAAATGAGAAAGTATTGGATTTGTGCGATTTTGAGAAATTTCTAATTTTGATAAATCTTTACGTTTCATGACCCCCTGATTCCAAAAAAATGGTTTTTAGAGAAGTGTCTGTCTGTCTGTCTGTCTGTCTGTAGAAAATTTTGTCTCGACGATAACTCGAATAAATTTTAACGAATCGTCTTGCAATTTGGGGTGCTTTTTTAGTCCATTAAAATAAAGCCTGAGTTCGTTGGACAGCTCATTTCGTCAAAAAACCACAAAAATACAAAACTTTTAAATTTTCAAAATTTTGTATTTTTTCCAATTTTCAAAAAAATATTTTTTTCTAATTTTTTCCTTAAATTTTGTACAAAAACAAACAACTTTTCCTTTAAAACACTTTTTGTACAACAAAAAACAAAAAAGTTATGAATTTTTTTAAAATTTTGAAATTTTCAAAATTTTGGATTTTTGACATTTTTTAAAAAAAAAAATTTTTTTAATTTTTTTCCTTAAATTTTGTACAAAAACAAACAACTTTTCCTTTGAACACTTTTTTGTACAACAAAAAACAAAAAAGTTATGAATTTTTTTTTCCAAAAAAGTGCAAAAAATTGAGATTTATAGTGAGTGAAGCATTAGCCGAAACATTAAAAAACATTAAAAACATGTCAAAACTTTCACTTTTTTCTTTTAGATGCCAAATTTAGGTAAATATACAAAATTAGGAACAAAAAAGAACTCAAAATATCCGAAAATTTTGCTGTTTTTGAATTTTTTCGTAATATTTGTTTTTTACATTCTCATCAAAAATGAGAAAGTATTGGATTTGTGCGATTTTGAGAAATTTCTAATTTTGATAAATCTTTACGTTTCATGACCCCCTGATTCCAAAAAAATGGTTTTTAGAGAAGTGTCTGTCTGTCTGTCTGTCTGTCTGTCTGTCTGTCTGTCTGTCTGTCTGTCTGTCTGTCTGTCTGTAGAAAATTTTGTCTCGACGATAACTCGAATAAATTTTAACGAATCGTCTTGCAATTTGGGGTGCTTTTTTAGTCCATTAAAATAAAGCCTGAGTTCGTTGGACAGCTCATTTCGTCAAAAAACCACAAAAATACAAAACTTTTAAATTTTCAAAATTTTGTATTTTTTCCAATTTTCAAAAAAATATTTTTTTCTAATTTTTTCCTTAAATTTTGTACAAAAACAAACAACTTTTCCTTTAAACACTTTTTTGTACAACAAAAAACAAAAAAGTTATGAATTTTTTTAAAATTTTGAAATTTTCAAAATTTTGGATTTTTGACATTTTTTAAAAAAAAAAATTTTTTTAATTTTTTTCCTTAAATTTTGTACAAAAACAAACAACTTTTCCTTTGAACACTTTTTTGTACAACAAAAAACAAAAAAGTTATGATTTTTTTTTCCAAAAAAGTGCAAAAAATTGAGATTTATAGTGAGTGAAGCATTAGCCGAAACATTAAAAAACATTAAAAACATGTCAAAACTTTCACTTTTTTCTTTTAGATGCCAAATTTAGGTAAATATACAAAATTAGGAACAAAAAAGAACTCAAAATATCCGAAAATTTTGCTGTTTTTGAATTTTTTCGTAATATTTGTTTTTTACATTCTCATCAAAAATGAGAAAGTATTGGATTTGTGCGATTTTGAGAAATTTCTAATTTTGATAAATCTTTACGTTTCATGACCCCCTGATTCCAAAAAAATGGTTTTTAGAGAAGTGTCTGTCTGTCTGTCTGTCTGTCTGTCTGTCTGTCTGTCTGTAGAAAATTTTGTCTCGACGATAACTCGAATAAATTTTAACGAATCGTCTTGCAATTTGGGGTGCTTTTTTAGTCCATTAAAATAAAGCCTGAGTTCGTTGGACAGCTCATTTCGTCAAAAAACCACAAAAATACAAAACTTTTAAATTTTCAAAATTTTGTATTTTTTCCAATTTTCAAAAAAATATTTTTTTCTAATTTTTTCCTTAAATTTTGTACAAAAACAAACAACTTTTCCTTTAAACACTTTTTTGTACAACAAAAAACAAAAAAGTTATGAATTTTTTTAAAATTTTGAAATTTTCAAAATTTTGGATTTTTGACATTTTTTAAAAAAAAAAATTTTTTTAATTTTTTTCCTTAAATTTTGTACAAAAACAAACAACTTTTCCTTTGAACACTTTTTTGTACAACAAAAAACAAAAAAGTTATGAATTTTTTTTTCCAAAAAAGTGCAAAAAATTGAGATTTATAGTGAGTGAAGCATTAGCCGAAACATTAAAAAACATTAAAAACATGTCAAAACTTTCACTTTTTTCTTTTAGATGCCAAATTTAGGTAAATATACAAAATTAGGAACAAAAAAGAACTCAAAATATCCGAAAATTTTGCTGTTTTTGAATTTTTTCGTAATATTTGTTTTTTACATTCTCATCAAAAATGAGAAAGTATTGGATTTGTGCGATTTTGAGAAATTTCTAATTTTGATAAATCTTTACGTTTCATGACCCCCTGATTCCAAAAAAATGGTTTTTAGAGAAGTGTCTGTCTGTCTGTCTGTCTGTCTGTAGAAAATTTTGTCTCGACGATAACTCGAATAAATTTTAACGAATCGTCTTGCAATTTGGGGTGCTTTTTTAGTCCATTAAAATAAAGCCTGAGTTCGTTGGACAGCTCATTTCGTCAAAAAACCACAAAAATACAAAACTTTTAAATTTTCAAAATTTTGTATTTTTTCCAATTTTCAAAAAAATATTTTTTTCTAATTTTTTCCTTAAATTTTGTACAAAAACAAACAACTTTTCCTTTAAAACACTTTTTTGTACAACAAAAAACAAAAAAGTTATGAATTTTTTTAAAATTTTGAAATTTTCAAAATTTTGGATTTTTGACATTTTTTAAAAAAAAAAATTTTTTTAATTTTTTTCCTTAAATTTTGTACAAAAACAAACAACTTTTCCTTTGAACACTTTTTTGTACAACAAAAAACAAAAAAGTTATGAATTTTTTTTTCCAAAAAAGTGCAAAAAATTGAGATTTATAGTGAGTGAAGCATTAGCCGAAACATTAAAAAACATTAAAAACATGTCAAAACTTTCACTTTTTTCTTTTAGATGCCAAATTTAGGTAAATATACAAAATTAGGAACAAAAAAGAACTCAAAATATCCGAAAATTTTGCTCTTTTTGAATTTTTCGTAATATTTGTTTTTTACATTCTCATCAAAAATGAGAAAGTATTGGATTTGTGCGATTTTGAGAAATTTCTAATTTTGATAAATCTTTACGTTTCATGACCCCCTGATTCCAAAAAAATGGTTTTTAGAGAAGTGTCTGTCTGTCTGTCTGTCTGTCTGTAGAAAATTTTGTCTCGACGATAACTCGAATAAATTTTAACGAATCGTCTTGCAATTTGGGGTGCTTTTTTAGTCCATTAAAATAAAGCCTGAGTTCGTTGGACAGCTCATTTCGTCAAAAAACCACAAAAATACAAAACTTTTAAATTTTCAAAATTTTGTATTTTTTCCAATTTTCAAAAAAATATTTTTTTCTAATTTTTTCCTTAAATTTTGTACAAAAACAAACAACTTTTCCTTTAAACACTTTTTTGTACAACAAAAAACAAAAAAGTTATGAATTTTTTTAAAATTTTGAAATTTTCAAAATTTTGGATTTTTGACATTTTTTAAAAAAAAAAATTTTTTTAATTTTTTTCCTTAAATTTTGTACAAAAACAAACAACTTTTCCTTTGAACACTTTTTTGTACAACAAAAAACAAAAAAGTTATGAATTTTTTTTTCCAAAAAAGTGCAAAAAATTGAGATTTATAGTGAGTGAAGCATTAGCCGAAACATTAAAAAACATTAAAAACATGTCAAAACTTTCACTTTTTTCTTTTAGATGCCAAATTTAGGTAAATATACAAAATTAGGAACAAAAAAGAACTCAAAATATCCGAAAATTTTGCTGTTTTTGAATTTTTTCGTAATATTTGTTTTTTACATTCTCATCAAAAATGAGAAAGTATTGGATTTGTGCGATTTTGAGAAATTTCTAATTTTGATAAATCTTTACGTTTCATGACCCCCTGATTCCAAAAAAATGGTTTTTAGAGAAGTGTCTGTCTGTCTGTCTGTCTGTCTGTAGAAAATTTTGTCTCGACGATAACTCGAATAAATTTTAACGAATCGTCTTGCAATTTGGGGTGCTTTTTTAGTCCATTAAAATAAAGCCTGAGTTCGTTGGACAGCTCATTTCGTCAAAAAACCACAAAAATACAAAACTTTTAAATTTTCAAAATTTTGTATTTTTTCCAATTTTCAAAAAAATATTTTTTTCTAATTTTTTCCTTAAATTTTGTACAAAAACAAACAACTTTTCCTTTAAACACTTTTTTGTACAACAAAAAACAAAAAAGTTATGAATTTTTTTAAAATTTTGAAATTTTCAAAATTTTGGATTTTTGACATTTTTTAAAAAAAAAAATTTTTTTAATTTT